GGGGAAGCTGGGCAAGATGAAGGAGATAGCGAGCGACAGCGATGAGTTTGACAAGGCTTTCTTGAGCTTTGCGGACGGGATTGTGACCCAGTCCAAGCTTGTGCTGGCGCGGCAGAAGTCTGTGAAGCGTGGCTCAAAGAGAGCCGCCGGAGACGAAGCTGAGGAGGTCCTGGAAGCAGGCGAGTCAGCTTCAATGCTGCCAAAGTCAAAGCTGTCAAAGAAAGAAGCGAAGGACGAAGTGACGAAAAAGGACAAGAGCGACAAGAAGAAAGATAAGGACAAGGACAAGTCGGACAAGGTCCAGGAAAAGGCCAAGAGCAAGAAGAAGAAGAAGAAGGCTAAGGAGGACAGCGACACGGACGAGGAGGACGCGAGCGACAACGAGGCGCAGAAGAGCAAGAAGGCCAAGAAAGACATCGGCGAAGAGAAGAAGGCCGGGCCGAAGGCGAAGGCGACTCCGAAAGCCGGCAGGGGTAGGGGAAGAGGCAGAGGCTAGGGCGACCTGTAGACGCTGTAGACAGTTCGGGCCGGCGGCCAAGCTGGTCGGCCCAGCTGCTCATCCGTAGGCTCTATCCAAGCTGCTTCTCTCGCGCCTGCTGTGCCGGCAGCTCGTGCCGTTAGTTTTTGAGAGCTGCGTCGGGCCTTTGGCTGGGTGAGTTCAAATTTCAGAATCGCAACAGTCCGCAAGAGCCACAGTCGCAAGACAAGGCTTCGAGCCGAGGACCTAGGCCTATAAGTAGCCACGATAATTAAGCCTAAGCCACCTAAGCCAAAGCCTAGGGCCTAAGGCCTGAGACGTTTACTGAGATGTCCCAGCGCCATTTCGACGCAGTCGTGCTCAGGACTTCGCGGGGTTACAGGTCGCCGCGTCCGAAAAAAAGGCGCCTGCGCTTTGCTCCGCTGCTAGATTCGGCTGGCCTAGTTTTTAGGGCTTCAGGCTTCGGCTTAGGGTAGGGCCTTAGGGTTTTAGGGCCTTTAGTGTAGTTAGGGTTTCGGTTAGGGTCTAGTTTAGTTTAGTTTAGGCAAGTTTAGGGCCTATAGGGTTTAGGGCCGGTTTTAGGATTTAGGGCCTAAGGCCTAGGACCTAGGACCTAGGACCTAAGGCTGGCCTAAGGCCTAAGGAAGGCCGAAGGCCTACGTAAACATTAGGCTTCGGGCTAGGGCAACGGGTTTAGGGCCGGGTTGAGAGTTTAGGTTTAGGGCAGTTTAGGGCCTAGGGCCTAGGGCCTAGGGTTGAAGTCTAAGTTTAGGGAGTTTAGGGCCAGTTTAATTAGGGTTTAGGGCCAAAGTTTAGGGCCTAGGGCCTAAGGCGCTTGGAGTGTAATTTTAGGGTTCGTCGTAAAGCATCGTAGGTTTTCGCGGCCAGGGTTCAGAGGAAAAGTTGAGAAGATTGGTTGAGAGTAATTTAGAATGCCAGCTGTAGCGGCGTCAACGTCAAATAAACTTGCCTCGCGTTTGGAACTTGAAGCCCAAAATCCCAAAACCCCGCAAGAGAATCCAAGACTACGATTCGTATTGAGGCGCTACGCGTCATCTTAGGGGCCTTCAGCGGCATTTAGGATCTTAGAGTCTTAGAGTCTTAGAGTCTTAGAGTCTTAGTGACTTAGCGTCTTAGAGTCTTAGAGTCTTAGAGTCTTAGAATCTTAGAGTCTTAGAGTCTTAGAGTCTTAGAGTCTTTAATTAAGCTTTAAACTTTAAAGTAAAGTCTTAAAGTCTTAGACTTAGACTTAGACTTAGACTCTTTAGTAGACTGTTAGACTCTTTGCTTGCGGCTCAGTGAGGGCTGTAGTCAGCGTAGCCGTAGCCGTGGTAGTCGTAGCAGTCCTGTCGCTAGCCCGCGCTCTCGACAGCTCGTTGCCGAAGGCGAGGCAGACAGACATGGAGCCTAAGCAAAAGAAGCCACGGTCTTTGACCAAGCAAGACTCCGCTGAGCCTGGTCTCATGATAGCGGCCTCGCGCCGGGTGGTGTTAGCAGCTGACATCGTCGATGGCACCATGCTCCACGCGTTGGCCCTCGAGAACTTGCAGCAGTTCAAGTCCATGCATCCCGACAGCCCTTTGTGCTGCGGACAAGCGGCAAGTCAGCCTGAAGCGCTGGAGCTGTCGTGGGCGTCAGCCTGCTCCGGCTCAGAGGGCGCGTTCTACGTGATGGAGGCCATGAACGCAGCCTACAAGCGCATGTCCGTGCCAGTTTCGCTGGAGCACGTTTTCAGCTGCGAACGCCTCTTGGACCGTTTTGACTAGACCCTTGTTACTGTCGCTTCTGCTTCTCAAACCTGCGGTAGACCGAAGCAAGGCTCAAGTCCCTCTAAGCGTAGGACTTTTGTTAGGCGCGGCCTCAAGATTGCTCATAAGTAAAGTGTAAGTTGAATTTTGCGTTGCGTTTAGTTTCTTGCTGAAGCTCTAAGGCTCTAATAAGGGGCTTGAGGCTTAAGCTTAAGGCTTAAGGCTTTAAGGCCCTAAGGCTTAAGGCTTAAGGCTTAAGGCTTAAGGGCTTAAGGCTTAAGGCTAAAGGCTTCAGGCTTAAGGTTTTCAGGCTTAAGGCTTAAGGCTGGCTTAAAGGCTTATGGCTTAAGTTCAAGGCTTAAGTTCAAGGCTTAAGGCTTAAGGCTTAAGGCTTCAGGTTTAAGGCTTAAGGCTTAAGGCTTAAGGCTTCAGGTTTAAGGCTTAAGGCTTAAGGCTTCAGGCTTAAGGCTTAGGCTTAAGGCTTAAGGCTGGCTCAAAGGCTTAAGGCTTAAGTTCAAGGCTTAAGGCTTAAAGCTTAAGGCTTAAGGCTTAAGGCTTACGGCTTAAAGCTTAAGGCTTAAGGCTTAAGGCTTAAGGCTTAAGGCTTAAAGGCTTGCTTAAGTTTAATGATGATGCTACGGTTAAGGCTTAAAGTTGGCTTAACGCTGACTTAAAGCCTGCCTGCAAGCCGCCTCAAAACCCTTCAAATACAAGTAGGAGTTGTTCATCGGCTGCTATGCTCCCAAGGTGCGCCCGAGAAGCAGAAGTGGATCCAGGCCTTGTTGGCAGTGGGCCCATTGCGCGACATCGACTCTGACGACTGGCCTCCTGCAATCGACCACGAGAGCTTCGGTCACGTTGAACATGGCGGCATTGGCTTTGGCCATTGCGTGTTTCAGGACATCACGGAGTTGAAGGGGCTTGAGGCCGCGTGCTGCAAACATAACAGGTCATGCGACGTTCCTTCAGTCGACATTTTGGTGGTTGGGACCTCTTGCAAGGATCTGAGTAGGCTGAACCATACTGCGGACGGCGCAGGCGCCGGCAGTAGGACAAGCAAGCAGGTCCTCGCGCAGGCTTCAAGCCGGGGCGGCTCAGCGCAGACCTTCGCTGGCCTTCTCGGCTATGTTGAGAGTCATCGCCCGCTCTGCGTGCTCTACGAAAACGTTGATGCCATCAACGACCAAGCTGGTGCATGCGAGGACAATAACCTCAAGATACTGCTGGGCAAGTTCCACGCTTTGGGATACGAGGCGCAGCCAGTCATGACTGACGCGTGCGAGTTTGGGCTGCCTGTTCATCGCCACAGAGTGTACATATTGCTCGTGAACAAACGCAGTCCCAAGCTCGACTTGCTCAGCAGGCCACTTGATATCGTCATGCAAAAGTTTCGCCAGCTTGTCAGCAGTTGCGCTCGCTCACCGCCTTGTCTCTCCAAGGTGTTGCTAGACGACGATCATGAGGCAGTTGAAAAGAGTTATGAAGAGCGGCTGGCGCGCGCGCAGAAAAGCCAGGCCAAGAAGAGCCCTTCTACAAAGACAGTCAACTGGGTCAACCAGCACATGAAACACGCAGACTCCCTGGGAGTACGGTGGGCCTCGGCGCCGGGTGAGGCGCTGCAAGGGAACAAATGGTTCCAGCTGCTCACAGAGCGGGAAGCCGACGCGTTGAAGCTTTCAGAGGTGGAAGCGCCTAGCGCGGGTTTCAGGAACCTTGCTCAGAGCATCGGCCGCAACAACTTTGTCACCAGGCAGGAAGATGGCACGCACCTTGGCCCTACCATGCTACCAGGGCAACTGATGTGGACAAACCTGACACAACCTCAGCCGCGCTTGCTCAGCGGATTCGAGGCCATGATGCTGCAGGGCTTTCCGATCGGCCCGTGCTTGATGAGAATGAATGAGGAAGGCTACCTCGTGACAGCAGAGGCCGCGACAGCCAAGCAAAAGGAGTTTCCCACCGATTCTTTGCTCCAAGACCTCGCGGGAAACGCAATGGCGTTGCCAGTGGTCCTGAGCATGATGCAAGCCGCTTTGTCAGCCTTGTGGCTGCAGCCAGCGCAGCAGGAGTCCAACGCTATGGCTGTTGAAACGGCCTTAGGCGCCATGTTCCTGCTGTCATCAGGGGGCCTCGGGCCGGGAGACTCGCAGGCTGCGGAAGACGACGATGAAGACTTCTGATTCGGATCCATTGTCGCGGCCCGCCCGCGCGTCTTGATCTTCTCGAGCAAGCGGCCCAAAGAGGACCTAGTTTTGGCTCACTCGAGACTCTTGACTCTCGACGATTCTTGCGAGCGGAAGATCGATGCGAAAGGGGGGGGGGAGAGACCGTATGACGACGTATGACGTATGACATAGCATGGCATAACATAACGTATGACGTAAGCATATGACATACGAGGCATGACGTGTGACGTATGACGCATGACGTATAGACATATACGACGTAATACTTAATACGACGTACGACGCTGGCAGCGGCGGTGCTGCAACAATTATTAGCAACTTGTAAGCAATTTCAGCAGCAATTGTTTTAACAATAAAACAATTGTTCTAACAATTGTTGTAACAATTAAACAATTGTTCTAACAATTGTTGTAACAATTAAACAATTGTTATAACAATTGTTGTAACAATTAAACAATTTTAGAAACAATTATTGTGCTTATAAAACAATTACCGTTGTGTATTGGTGCCCACCGGCAGCGCCGGGCTTCTAAGAACACCTAACCCTAAACCCTACACTTTGGGGGGGCTTATGAATTCGCAACTAAGGAACTCAGGGAAGCTTTGGTCCTGGCGGTCTGGATTGACAGCAAGCTGGCGGACCCGGAGGTCAACGATGGGATCTTCATCCGGCGCCTCGTCATCGTGGTGGCTGTCTGCTGCCTGTGCCCTAGATGTTCCCTTGGGAATTCTTTTGTGTGTTTTTGTTTATATCAAACCCAAGAGGGGACTGAAGATACTGTTTTTTTTTTTTTATGAAGGTTCTAAGGGGAGTTTAGGTGCATCGTCCTGACCTTCTTTGCCACGGCGACTGTCAGCAACACCGCAGCGAGGAAGCTCCACGAGAGCTGCGTGGAGAGCCTCCTATGCGCCCCGGTCGACAGGTTCTTTGACAAGCAGCCCGTTGGCCGTCTCATTAATCGCCTGTCCTATGACATGAAGCAGGTGGACGAGACGTTCGTGGGCACTATCATGGTCATTGCCCAGTTCCTAGCAGGTTTCATTACCACACAGATGTTCATCTTTACAGTGATGCCTCGTAACGTATGTGTCATGGCCCTTCCGTTCTACGCCGCAACGCTGTTCTTCATCTACATCTACCGTGGGACGGCTGTGCCGCTGGTGTTCCACTCGAAGCACTCACTGTCCAGCGTGCAGGACCTGCAAGCAATTGTCGTTGGCCAGTGCGTGTCCATCCGCGCGAATGGCATGCTGGACAGCTTCATGAAGCGATACAACCACTACTCGCAGAGCGTGATTCGAGCACAGTACCTCATCTACTACGTCTGCCGGGCCTGGGCGCAGTCCCGCGTCTTCCTGAGCTTCGGCTTCATCACTGCCATCCTGGCTCCTAATCTTGTTTAGGGTTTGGGGTTTAGGGTTTAGGGTTTGGGGTTTAGGGTTTAGGGTTTAGGGACATTATTATTTTCATTAAGGTTCTAAGGGGAGTCTAGGCTCTTGGTGGCCTCTGGGCGGGAGTGTCTCTGGGCACTTTGTCCACGTGCGTGGGCTTCTGCTTCTTCCAGATGGGCCAGTTCGAGGGCATCTCCATGACCTTCACCTTCCTCTTGAATGTGATGAATGCCCTGCAGCGCCTCATGAAGTACGTGGGAGTACCGGCGGAGGCGGCCTACGACACGCCCAACGACTACAGCGTGCGCCAGAAAGTCAAGATCGACCGTGGCGAGCTTGCGCCTAGGTAGGCCCTGGAGGGATATCTTACATTTTCTCTCATTGGGTTTAAGGGGGTCATACCCTAAACCCTAAACCCTCTTAGGAACATCTTTCAGAGGGTTCTGTGGGGCCATCCCAGGTGTGTCTCCAGCTGAAGCAGGGCATCATCGGCGAGAACCAACCGCGTGTGCAGGTTTGCCTTCGTGGCTCCTTTGTCCTAGGATGCCAGTAGTGCCCCTATTCCCTTTTTTTGGGGGGTTAGCTTCCCTTATAAACCCCTCTAAGCAAAGAAGGGTACCCCCTTTTAATCCTGGGTTGCTCAGCATCCTAGTGTCGTAGTGGGGCAACATATTACATGTTTAAGGGCACCTAAAACTCAAGAAGGGATAGAACTTCTTACGTTGTTTTTTTTGTAATGCTAAACCCTAAACCCTAAACCCTAAACCCTAAACCCTAAACCCTAAACCCTAAACCCTAAACCCTAAACCCTAAACCCTAAACCCAGGCTCAGGCGACGTCCTTCTCCAGTCGAGCCCCGACGGCTTGGGCTTGAATTTTGCGAGCGGCGTCGCCCTGCAGGAGACCCTAAACCCTAAACCCCATAAACCCTAAAGCCTAAACCCTAAGCCCTAAACCCTAAACCCTAAGCCCTAAACCCTAAACCCTAAACCTGCAGGAGCTGGCTCCGGAAAGCAAAGCTTTGGGAGACCTCCGCGGGGACTTTCGGATCCTTGGTAGCCAATATAGGTGCCCTTTACCCTTTTTGTTGCGTTTAGGGTTTAGGGTTTGGGGTTTAGGGTCTAGAGGGTCACTGTTCTAGCATTCATAGTCATTAGGAGGTTCCAGGCTCAGAAAAAAACCCACCCGCCCAAAACATTAAGAAATAAAAGGTTTCCATCCTACCGAGCCCCCCGACGAACAATCTGACCCCAATGTTCGGGCGATTCCGGCCAATCTGACCCCAATGTTCGGGCGATTTCGGCCAGGCCGAAAAGTCACGAACATTGGGGCCCCCAATGTTCAGGCGATTTCGGCCAATCTGACCCCAATGTTCGGGCGATTTCGGCCAATCTGACCCCAATGTTCGGGCGATTCCGGCCAATCTGACCCCAATGTTCGGGCGATTTCGGCCAGGCCGAAAAGTCACGAACATTGGGGCCCCCAATGTTCGGGCGATTGGCCAATCTGACCCCAATGTTCGTGATTTTTCGGCCAGGCCGAAATCGCCCGAACATTGGGGTCAGATTGGCCGGAATCGCCCGAACATTGGGGTCAGATTGGCCGAAATCGCCCGAACATTGGGTCAGATTGGCCGAAATCGCCCGAACATTGGGGGTCAGATTGGCCGAAATCGCCCGAACATTGGGGTCAGATTGGCCGAAATCGCCCGAACATTTGGGGGCAGTTTGGCCGAAATCGCCCGAAGGTCTAAATATAAATATATATATATATATATATATACATATATGATGGAGAGGGTTTTGGGTTTAGTAGCCCAGTTTGACCCTTTACCCTTTTTTGTGGGTTCTGGGTTCCCTTACAAAGTAACGAACCATAACGCTATATATCCCCCTGGGAAAATATTTGTTATTTTGGTTTATGTAAAACCCAAGAGGATATCAAACATACTATTTTTTATTGAGGTTCTAAGTGAGGGGAGTATAGAACAAGGGTACCCTTAGTATAATATAGCTACTGGGCTATTAATTCTAAGGATCATCGCCGTCAACAGCGTGTGTGATTCTGCCGAGCGGATGGCGCGCGAGCTGTGCAATCCAGCTGCCGCAATCTGGTTGGACTTGTGGAACAATGAGTTTGAAGGGGGGCTCAAGGTGGAGATTGAAGAACTCACCGCCGGATGCATTGTCATAGTTGGTAGCATTTTACATGTTTAAGGGTACTTAAATCCAATAAGGAATCGAAGTTTAGATTTTTACGGGTACTTAAACCCAACAAGGAATAGAAACTTGGAGTTTTAATACTATCTCAAATCTCAACCATGAGCTAGGATATGCCACAGCCAAGAGCGTGCTGCATGGGGTGACACTCTCGATCCCCCCCCGCAGCAAGTGCGCCTTTGTGGGGAAGACCGGCTGCGGCAAGTCCACCACCTTGCACCTTTTTCTAGATCAGTGTTAGGGATCCTTTTACTTTTTGGGTTATGGGCTTTCTTATATATGAACAAAAAGGATCCTTTTTTCTTCCGAGGGGAACAGGGATTAAGTTTTGGGGTACGTGGGAATCATTGTTTTGTTTTTTTGCCATCTTCCTGTACCTTACTCCTAAGATACAGCTCACATCATAATTTCATACCCTAGGGCTCCAAGTACACAAATAAGACCTACATTGGGGTCTGCAGTCTGTAAACAATACCTACTTTGGGCTATCATTGGAGCCTTAGGGTAAAACCCTGAACCCTAAACCCTAAACCCTAAACCCTAAACCTAAGGTTCCTAAGTTCAGTAACTTGAGGCTCTGCATCCTACGCTTCTTGGAGCCCCGAAGCGGGCGCATCGTGATCGGGGGCCGAGACATGGGCAGGCTTCTTGGCTTTCTTCTGGCTGGCTCTTATTAGGGTTGAGGGTTTAGGGTTTAGGGTTTAGGGTTTAGGGTTTAGGGTTTAGGGTTTAGGGCCCTAAACCCTAAACCCTAAGCCCTAAACGTTCAGAAGAAAAATCAGGCTTGGTCTTCGCGCAGTGCGAAGCATCGTCGGCCTGGTTCCTCAGGACTTAGGGGTACGTGGAAATAATCTTTAGTGTTTGGGTACGATAATTCCGAAGAAGCAGGTAAGATGATGATTTTTGCTAGGGTTCCAAGTTCAGTATAGAGGATCCCACGATCTTCGAGGGCAGCATCCGCTTCAACCTGGACCCATTTGATGAGTATCCTGGGACTCGATATTTTTACCTACAGGTTTCGCAGTAGCTACCCCTAGATTAGTAGGAATAGCTGGGTAGAACCCATAACATAACTGTTAGAGTCACTACCCCCTTAATGCCCCTTAATTTTTAGAGATAACCCAGTAAAAAACTGTAGGTCAAGAGAGCTCCCAGGTATCCAGATGCCCGGGTTTGGGAGGCGGTGCAGGGCGTGCAGCTAATGACCTTCATCCGCTCTTTACCAGACGGCATCGACACCCATGTCGATACTTTGCCATAGTGTGGTAGCATTTTTACATGTTTTAAGGGTACTTAAACTCAAAAAGGCATAGAAGCTTGGATTTTGAATACTCTCCCAACCATGAACTAGGACAGAGATGGCAGCAACATCAGCTTTGGCCAAAAACAGCTCATCAGCCTGGCACGCATCTTTGCCCTAGCGGGGGGTAACATTTTACATTCTTTCAGGGTACTCAAACTCAAGAAGGAATAGAAACCTGACTGTCTAATACCATCCCAACCATGAACTACTACTATTTGCTTATAACTAAGAACCCCAAAAGAATAATCCCTCTATCAGCCTTAATCAGGAACATTTTTCGGGGGTTCTTTAAGCAATGAGTACACCAATCCCTATATCAACCTTAATAAGGAATATGTTTCTTCGGGGGTTCTGATAAGCAATTAGTACCCTAAACCCTAAACCCTAAACCCTAAACCCTACACCCTAAACCAGTAGACTAGGCATGGTGATACGTCAGCCACCTGTCCTTCTCCTGGATGAGTGCACCTCCGCCTTGGACCCGGTCACCCAAGAGGCCTTTGTCATGGTTTAGGGTTTAGGGTTTAGGGTTTAGGGTTTAGGGTTTAGGGTTTAGGGTTTAGGGTTTAGGGTAACATTTGTCATTTGTAAGGGTACTGAAACTCGAAACTCCATAAGGGATATAAGTCTAGATTTTGAATACTATCCGAACCCTAAACGCTAAACCCTAGTTGCTCAGACTCAGAGATAGCGCCGAGTAAACCCTAAACCCTAAACCCTAAACCCTAAACCCTAAACCCTAAACCCTAAACCCTAAACTTCCTAAACCCTAAACCCTAGAGGCGGTGCAGAAGAGCATCCTCCACGACTTCCCCAAGACCACGATCATTGCCGTGGCACATCGTCTTGAAACTGGGCAAGCCCGATTGGGAGTATTTTGATATCTTTGCTTACTGGGTTTAAGAGGATCAAATCTTACACTTAAAGAATATCTTGCAAGAGGGTTAAAAGAGAACCCAAAAGCCCTAAAACCCAAAGGCCCAACCTAGATCAGTGTTAGGGATCCTTTTTACTTTTTGGGTTATGGCTTTCTTATATATGAACAAAAAGGATCCTTTTTTCTTCCTAGGGGAACAGGGATTAAGCAACCTAGGAGACAATCCTGGACTTCGACCAGATCTGCGTGTTTCATCAAGGCAACGTCATCGAGCGAGGCACAGTCCAGGAACTCAAAGAGGCGAGGGGCGCCTTTGCAACGATGCTTTGGTAGCCCATGTGGTACCCTTGTTTTTTTTTGCTTTACATATACCTTTTAATTATATACTATGGTATGATAATATTAAATATAGTAGTATTGTTAGAGTAATGTTTTTTGGTTCAAGCTTCCCTTATGACAAGTAACCACTCCCAAAAGAACGGTGCCCTTAAGGTAATCCGGGCATGTCCGCAAATAGGGGTAACCCTTGATGTACCCCCCAAATACGATGATCCTTCTTATAGGAACCCCCCAACAAAGGCATACCCCTAGTTTCGGAAACCCTAAACCCTAACCCTAAACCCTAAACCCTAAACCCTAAACCCTAAACCCTAAACCCTAAACCCTAAACCCTAAACCCTAAACCCTAAACCCTAAACCCTAAACCCTAAACCCTCCCTTAGTTATTGGGCTACCAAGGATGCTGCAGGCCAAGAAATCGAAGGTAAAGGCTCTGAAGTGATCTGAGCCGCGTGAGGCCACGGCATCTGCAGGAGTCTGACGGCTTATAAGGATAAGCTGCAAGCCAAATTTAAGGACCGACAACTCGTTTAGTTTATGATGGGATCCCGGAATTTGCAGGTTCCTATGCAACCTGGGATGCTAACCAACCGGTGGTGAAACCGACAGCTACCCGACATTGGTCGGCCTGTTGTGGATCACGGAGTACCGGTTTGCGGCCGCCCTCAGAAGTAGGAGTGGCCGTAGGATTTCAGCAACCTTTTTGGCCCGGTGGTGTTCCCCTTCCACAAGCAGACATATCAATGCAGCACTACACAACATGATACAGCATGTAATGGTGGTTTCGGCAACACAGGGTTTTCTCCCACACGAGGTTTTCCCTGTGCCTTGCCAAGATTGGTCAGGCAGAATGTGGCTGACATTGGCGTCGTATACCGTTGCTGAAAACTTCTGACTCGTTCAGCTCTACTCCGTGTGGGCCCTCCTTCTTCAATGGCATGTTTTTTATGGTTGAAATATATCTCTACTTGGTGATACGATTGTACTATTGAATTAAAGTCTTTTGTTTTTGTTGTATTCCTAGTTTGCTAGTCTGCTACAATCTTATCTTGCGCATGTTCCTATGTTAGCATATTGCATGACGACATTTTTTACATGGTTGTACTAATACCCTACAACAAGGCTTCAAATACCCCGAAGTAGGTATTATTTACAGACTTTAGACCCCTACAGCCCTTAAAAACCCTAAACAACTCTAAAAACCCTAAAACCCAGGGACCCTGAAAACCCAAAAACCCTAAAACCAATCGAAGCCCTGTAAATCCAGAACACTGGGCAGGCGTTTGGTCGGCATCGCCTCAGCTGCAGTTGTAAGGCCCCCAAGGGTTTTGAGGGTTTTGTTATAAAGGGCTTTTTAGGGGTGCTGATTATAAGGGTGGTTGAAAGTTCTTTTTTAAGGCTTTCAGAATTTTAAGGGGTGTTTTATGGGGCGTTGTAGGCCTTGGTCGAAGGCGGATTTGGAATCAGAACGCGCTCACACGGCCTGTAGGGACGCATTGGGGCTCTTGGTGCGTGTGCGCGCGCACGTGCGTGCGCATGGTTTCTCCGGCTTTGGGAAGTTTGGGGCTTTCAGGGTACATGGCTTATAGGGTTGAAGGTAGGGTCGGGAGCTCAGAGGTCTGAACCCTTAGAGGCCTTAGGTGATTTTTACGGAGGGCTTTCACAAGCCTGTCTTTGAAGGGCTGGGTTTTGGGGGGTTTAGGGATGGTTTTAGGATAGGAGACATGGGGCCTCAGAAACCTCTTGGGGTCCAGGTTTGTCTTGTTTTTGTTTTTTTGGGGCTGGGGTGTGGGTGGGAGTGGGGGGGGGGGGGGGTTTTGGGAGGTTAGGGTTCAGGGCGTGTGGCTTAGGGCTTTGCAGGATTGTAGGGTTGAGGGTGGGTTGTTTTCGCGTGGAAAAGTTTGTTCCGGTATGTCGGTGCCATTTTTCTCGCCTTTGTCCATGATTACAGGGTTTAGGACTACCAGGCTTGGGGAGATCCTATGCGGCTTCAGTGTGACTGGGTGATATACGTGCATGCTGCACGCCTTGGCAGTGCCAGTTGCTTTTCCTTCCTGTGGGTGGATCCCACTTACGGAGCACAGACCCTCTCGGGACGACAAGATCTCCTTGACTCATGCAAGTATTTGGCCATGTCTGTGACTGCTCCCTTTACAGCGGTCTTCCTCACAACAACCCTTGAAGTAGAAGCTGTGCTGCCTCGACTTCCTGGCCATGTTCTTGAACAAGTGCGCGATGTTGAGATTGTGCCCCAGTTCGAAGAGGTACCTTCCCATTTTGTCAAGAAGGCGGTAAAGATTTTGTCCTAGCAAGCCAGTCGCCTGCAACGTCCTGGTTGCTTGTCTCATGTTTCAGAAGTCCTCGCTCAGGCTGCAAACGATGCACGTTCACTTTCGTACCGATGCTTTCAGTTGGGATATGTCTCCCCAAGCACGAGTCTTGGAGAGAAGTGTCCATCTTTCAGTGTGCTGGCGCCGACCTCAGTCCATGCTTCAAAATAAGAAGGACTACCGGGCTTCAATTTATTGAGCACTGGTGTGCAGGTCATCCTGTACAGAAGCTTCGATCGCCACCGCGATCAGTTGCAGCCCGCGGACATGTTGGCAGTGCAGGTGCGACTCCAAGCCAGCGCCTACTGTTTGGGTGTATACACTTTGGGTCTCTTATCTTCTTAAGAAACGATCTACAGACGCAGCCAAGCGTAGCGTCGAGAGACTGACTGTCAGACTCAGGAGAATACTAATTCACAGTCAAATCATCAACAACATGAGAACCCCTGCAACAACTTGACGAACCACAGAGCTAATCGTGCTCGTGCTCACGTATACTACGAAACCATCATAGTTTTTACATGAAAATCAACTTATGACAGTACATTATATTATGTCATTATTAATGTTGTCGCGTGGTCCTTTCGAGGAGTTGGGTTGCAGGCTTCGTGGCTTCAACAGATGAGATGTTTCTGGCCGTTCTTGAGTCAATGGAGTTTTGTTACATTCCTCCAAGGTGAACCCATGAAGCCTATAAACCCTAACCCTTAACAAACATCTGCCTAGACTCGGGTCCCGCGTGCGGCCTGGCAGGCAAATGCTACACAGTAGTGAGCTTGCAACCTTAAACCCTAAGCCCTAAGCCCTAAACCCTAAACCCTAAATCTGCAACTTTCAGACCCCTGTGAACCCTAAAGACCCTTAAACAAATACATGGTCTGCTTAGCAGGGTGGCAAAACAACCCTAAAGCGTAGAAACCGCAAAACCCAGTAAACCCTATAAACCCGATAGTACCCTTGAAACCCTAAGCCGGAAAAACCCGAAACCAGTGAGCCTAACCCCTCTAATTCTAAACCCTACAAACCCTAAAACCCGAAAGCAGCGAACCCTAAAATCCGAAACAAATGAAGGAGATCCACTCTGAAGTGATGGACACGTTGGGCGCGCAGCTCGACAAGGCGGCCAGTCCTTGGGTTCTAAAGAAATCGGAGGCCTGGGTTAGGGGTTTTTAGGGGGTTTTAGGGGTTTAAGGTGTTTTTTGGGGGGCTTTCGGGGTTTTAGGGGTTTTGGGGGTTTTAGGGTTTTTAGGGGTTCTAGGGTTTTAGGGATATACGGCCGAAACCCGAAACCCTAAACCCTAAACCCTAGACCCTAAACCCTAATGTGGGACCTGCTTTAATGTGGGGGGCCCCCCCCCCCCCCCGAACAGTCGGGGCGTGGATTGGGTCCTGATTACACGGCCCCGGGGGCTTATATGATTTTAATAGGGTGGAGTTTAGATATGTTTAAAAGGGGCAGCGATGCCCGGTTATCTTTTTTAAAGGCGCGCCACGTGGAATTTTCTTACGGCGCCCGGACGGTTTGACTTTAAAGCGGACCCCTCAAACAGTCAGGGGGTCCTGAATAATTCGGCCAAATTGACTTTAAAGCGACCCCCCCTAATAAAGCAGGTCCAACATTAAACCCTAGACCCTAAACCCGAAGCCAAAACCCTAAAGAAGGCTTACTAGGGCTTACAAAGGCTTCTTTGGGATGATTTAGCCTTGAGTCGGGGAAGATTGGGGGCCCTTACACCCCTCTCCCTTCCCCCCTGCCCCCCCCCCCCCCCCTTGTGGTTCCGAAGGATCAACTGAATTTCGAACCTTGCCTGAAGGCCATGGAGCCTGCCAGCCAGACATGGGCGCAGGCAGAATTCACAGTTAGGGTTTAGGGTTTAGGGTTTAGGGTTTAGGGTTTAGGGTTTAGGGTTTAGGTTTAGGGTTTAGGGTTTAGGGTTTAGGGTTTAGGGTTTAGGGTTTAGGGTTTAGGGTTTAGGGTTTAGGGTTTAGGTTGAAATAATCCATATTCGCTAGACGAGACGAACAGTTCATTACCCTATACTTCCAGGGCCCTAATAATTGAGTGACTCGAACCCTTAAGGACACAATAATTAGGGCCCTGGCAGAGTGTGTGATCGGATCCAAACGTATGCTATAATGCAAGTGCTGGCTTTTGAGTTGACAGGGGTACCTTACACAGGCTGCGGCTTCGCATGACAGGGACCCGAAACCCTAAGGGCATGTTAGGGTTTAGGGTTTAGGGTTTAGGGTTTAGGTTTTAGGGTTCTGGTAATGCTCAGATGGAACAACATGTTCAAACCGACTGAACGGACTTAGCGACTCTTTGCCGTTTGGGAGTGTGAGCAAAGCCCAAAAAACCCTGAAACTCCCTCAGCCCCAAACTCCCCAAACCCTACGGGAACCTAAGCCCTTAGCCCTAACCCTAAACCCTAAGCCCACAAGAAACCCCCAAACCCTACCCCAAGCCCTAAACCCTACGGGAAACTCTAAACCCCAAACTCCAAACCCCAAACCCCAAACCCCAAACCCCAAACCCTAAACCCTAAACCATCAACCCTAAGGATGGAAGCCTCGGGCTTTAACCCTAATCCTACAGGAACCCCCCAAACCCAGAAGCCCCCAGCATGACGTTGACCCTGAACAACTTCCCGCAGGCCGCCCCGGAAGAATTCCGTGCCGCCCTGGAGGCCTGGAAGCAACAAAAACAATACTGAGTTTAGGGTTTAGGGTTTAGGGTTTAGGTTTCAGGGTTTTGGGGTTTTGGAGTGTTTAGGTGTAAGGGTTTCAGGGTTTAGGGTTTGGTCGGGGTTTAGTGTTTAGGGTTTTGGGGTTTTTGGGCGCTTAATAACACAAGAGCAATAGCAAGTCAATAAGAGCAATGAAGAAGCCAAAACAAGAAGAACAAATATCGCTCGCTCCCTCTCTCCCTGTCCCTTTGTCCCTCACTTCGGCGTCTTGAGCTCCCGTTTATATGTGCTCTCCGGATATACCTCTCTCTCTCTCTATATATATATATATATCCCGAGAATAGGGCATGTACCTCATTTGATAAACTTGGGCCCCAAAGTCCCTGTATAAGAGGTACTTGAAGGCCCAAGCATTCCCGATTTAGGTACATGGACCCTTAGGGTGTATATATACACATATACATATACATATACATTTACATTTACATTTACATATACATACCTCTTGGGCCAGAAAAAGACCCTTTCAACGTGGAGTTTGGAGCTTGGGGCTTGTAGGGGGGGTTAGCTCTGGGGGAGTCTGTGATGGGTGATGGGGGGGGGGGGTAATATTAGGGGGCCTCCAAGATGCGATTTCTTTGCCTAAGCCCCATAAGCCCTCAACCCTAGACCCGAAACCCGAACAACAATTCACAAAAAAAAACCACCTAAAACCCGGCAAGTCAAGTCACTGCTATAATTCCCGGGTTAGAATCGTAGAAGCCCCTCAAATAGGTGGGTTTGGGTCCTGGCCCTGTGCCTCTACAGCTCATGCGGGGGGGCAGTATAGAATCCACCTTTCATGTTGAGCTCTTCCGTGGCAGCTGGACAAGTGAGACAACTCAATTCCCCCCGCGTTTTGGCAGGAAGTACCTTCCGATCTTATGTGGGAGTTCCGAAAATCGGGGTACCCTTTTTGGGGTTCCTATAATAAGGATTATACTATATTGGGGTAAGGGTAATTATCCTCTCTTTTTGGAAATCCCCATGTAGCGGGCAGAGCCCTATACTAAGCTGCCGCGGTCGTTCGCCTAGCTCATGTGCAGCGTTTGCAACCCTGAACCTTAAACCCTAAGCCCTAAGCCCTAAACCCTAAACCCTGGTCCCCAGTAAACTTCAACACCAGCACAAAAACCTCTCAAGCCCTGAAACCCGAAAAGCCCTGAAAGCCCTTTAGGGTGTAGGGTTTAGGGTTTAAGATTTAGGGTTTAGGAGCCCTGAAAGCCTGAAACCCTGAAACCCTCACACCCCTCACAAAAGCCCTGAATCCTCAACAAATACTTCTAAGAATTTTAAGAATTTTAAATCCTCATCCCCAAATCCCCAAAACCCTAAAACCTCTAAGGCCCTAAAAACCTTAAACCCTAAAACCCCCCAAGCCGCACAAGAGAAACCCTAAAGCCTTAAAAACCCGCAAACTTCTAGGGCCCTAAAAAGCGAAATCCCCAAACCCTAAACCCAAAACCTAAGTCTTAATCCTAAACCCTGAACCCCAAACCCTAAACCCTAAACCCTAAACCCTAAACCGCGCGAAGGACCTCAACATCACCGAGGTGGACATGGCGTCGACCAGTTCGCTGCTGGCCCGCGGGAAGCCCTGGTCTTTTCGGGGTTTAGGGTTTAGGGTTTAGGGTTTAGGGTTTAGGGTTTAGGGTTTAGGGGAAGCCTGAACAACTACCATATGTTCTTTAAATGTCTGGTTGTTTTTTCTATATGGTTAGAGTGTTTTATACTGTTCTATTATTGAATTATTGCATTAGTAAAACATGTTTGGGGGAAGAACCCTGAACCACAGTACTGAGCTGATACAATGCACGTTGGGGGGCTTGGAGTGGGAGCAGGCAGTTCAACACGCAGGCTGTTCAGGATTTGGGGCTGTGCACGTTCAAGGAGGTGTCGGGTTTAGGGTTTAGGTGGTGTTGGTATTGCATACTTTGGAGCCTCGCAAACGACCAAGGCTTGGGCATTGCTAGCGATTGGCCGATCGAGGACGCCGCGTGCACGGCACGATTGCCAGCGGATGATGGGTGAGTGTAATGTTTAGGTCAACAGCATCAAAGATATGCACGTGAAGGTCCACTCTGAAGACACAGTTACAAGCCAAGACAGAAGCAAATCGATTGGATATAACAATGTGTATATCGCATGCATGCCTATGTGACCTTAGGTTGGTAGCAGTATTCACATATGAATTTCCGGTTAGATCCCCACTTGCTGGGCAAGCGCAAAACTCCAAACTCGCCCACTTGTAATTCGGCAAAGTCGGTGCCAGAAGAGCATTTGTTTTTCCACAGCCCGTGCTTGCATTGCACTGGGATCGCATCTGTGCTCCATGCAAGCCTCTGTCTCGGGTCAGGAGGGTGTGGAGAAGCCCGAATGGGAGGCCCATTGCGCAGCAGCTGACCTAGTGAGACCTAGTGTTCGTCAATGGATGGTCACTGAAGCTGATGCAGACCATGTTTCTAGACCAGTGTTCTGATTTATTGTTGTAAGAGCTCCTGACACTTCAGCGCAAGCCGCAAAGGCCGCGTCATGTACTTGTAGAAGAGCCAGGCCACCCCAACATATCCCAACAAGAGAGAACGAGAGAAGACATTCCACCTGCCTCAAAGGTATATGTACAGACATACTGTATACAACTATATCAAATACCAAGCCCCAAACCCATGTCCACCCCTCCGTTAACATTCTTCTTGCCGGGCAGGCGGAGGCAGAGTCCGTCCTGCCACCTGCCTGCGTTGGCCGTGTTGCTCTTGGCAAGGCCTATAGAGATAGAGACGTAGAAATTTCGATACAGTAAACATATATACAGGAATTCAAAACGTGTCGGGTATACATAAGCGTGTGTGTGTATCTAGATCTACATATCTATCTATATACATATATATATATATATGTGTATGTGAAATGTGCACGTCTCTGTTCTTGAACATGGCAACGCATGTGGCGCTGCCAACGCTCTTCTTATCATCAAAGCAACATAGCCCAACATAGCCCATGACATGCCGCACTCTGAACAATGTTGGTCTATGTGCAACACACGGGGTTTTACGATATCGGGCGTACCCTCTGGGGTTCTTATTACCAGGGAAGCCTACTATTTGGGGTCTGTTTTAGGGGTCCCCTATTCGCGGAAACCCCCCCCCCCCCCACCCCCCCCAATAAATTACAAAGAGAAGTGCCCCCACGCTACCCCTCTTCCCTGCCCCCGCCACCCCCAAGGTGGCGGGTGAGGGAGGTACCTGTCCTTGAGGCAGGAGCTGCGATCTTGTGAGGAACATGGGTTAGGGGACGGGTAGCATGGGATTTCTTTTGAGCTGTGTACAGCCTTATGCTTACTCCATAAAGCTCGCAGATTCGGGCGCTTTTTCGGGAGGGTTTTTTTGCTCTTGGGCTAGACAGATCATTGCGCTCTTTCCAAGGAGGAATCATGAAGCTGAGGGGTGCTGGCGGAATCTCACTTCTTGGGTTGAAGGAGGGTTTTAGGGTTCAGGGTTTAGGGTTTAGGGTTTTAGGGTTCAGGGTTTAGCTTTCTGAGAGGTCATCTTAGTCCTGCCTGGAGGCACATCCCGTCCCCGAGCGTGGACAAACCTTTGGGCATGTGGAGTGGAGCCTAAGCACCATGGCCGCATTTCCCAAAGAGCCCCAGATCCCTTAGTTAGGGAATATGGCTTGATTCATACAGGGATCCTTACTATGATTTAAGGTCTATTTCGGTCCGGGGGCATCCAACAGGTCCAGGTGCTCACGCGACCATCATAGCATTCCGGGATCCCCCTCAGCTGGTGGCACCCCCGAATCCCAACATCCCTAAAAGCAACCGTGGCAACCTTAAACCAGGGTTCATAGGGCTGGTGGAAACCCAAAGCCTCAACCCTGAGCAATCTTGTTGCTTCCGTCTGGCTGGGAGTTGTTTGTGGTCTCAGCAAGGACAAGGGAAAGGCCTTGATTCCTTGCTAGGATCTGATGTTTGCTGTCGGTGATGCATTGTTCTGTTTCCGTGTCTCGATTATTTGTTTCGAGTCTTGATGTCCGGCACTGTGAAAACGCTTGCCGATTGCTCAGTGCTGCAATGGTGTTGCGGTGCTAGTATGGTGTAGGGTTTAGGCTTTTCTGGCTTGGGCATGTCTGCACGAGCAGCGGTCACCGTTCACTCAGGGAGCAAGAGTCACTATCTTTGGTGTGATCTTCTCGTGAAAAACGAACCCTAAAGTTGGGGATCATATACCCTGACGATAGTCCCCATGAAGACACATGAAGCCTAGACCCCTTTTAGGGTTCATTTGGTCCCCCCGTAAACCTTCTTAAGGCTTCACTTGGTCATCAACGCCCCCCCCCCCCCCCCGCCCCCTCCCCCCCCCAGGATGCGCGGGCAGTTCAGCCTCGGCCAAGCACGGGCGGCTCATCCTTCGAAGTGGGCAGGGATACGACCGTTCTTTGGCCGCAACGCAAAGACGAGTCAGATCCTAAACCCTATAAGCCCTATCCCTAGTATGTTCAGCTATGCGGGCCCTAAACCCTAAACCCTGAACCCTAAACCCTAAACCCTAAACCCTAGACCCTAAACCCTAAACCCTAAACCCTAAACCCTAAACCCTAAACCCTAAACCCTAAACCCTAAACCCTAAACCTGGCAAGCCAAAGCCCCGAAGGCTCCCCTGGCGGCCGCGAGGATGTGGTCCAGCGCTCGCAGCTTTCTGGCTTAGAGCTTAGAGCCTTTAGGATCGATTAGGGTTCAGGGTTCAGGGTTCAGGGTTCAGGGTTCAGGGTTCAGGGTTCAGGGTTTAGGGTTTAGGGTTTAGGGTTCAGGGTTCAGGGTTCAGGGTTCAGGGTTCAGGGTTCAGGGTTCAGGGTTCAGGGTCAGGGTTCAGGGTTTAGGGTTTAGGGTCAGGGTTCAGGGTTCTGGGTCAGGGTTCAGGGTTTAGGGTTTAGGGTTTAGGGTTTAGGGTTCAGGGTTCAGGGTTCAGGGTTCAGGGTTCAGGGTTCAGGGTTCAGGGTTTAGGGTTTAGGGTTTAGGGTTTAGGGTTTAGGGTTTGCGGTTAGGGGAAGGTTGGAAGGTGAAGAGTCAGGGTTTAGGGATTTCAGTTTCAGCGCAATGTGTTCTGCCATGCTGGCAGCCACCAAGTCCAAGTTGCAAAAAGGGGTTTGGGGTTTAGGGTTTGGGGTTTAGGGTTTAGGGTTTAGGGCTTGGGGTTTAGGGTTTAGGGTTTAGGGTGTAGGGTTTAGGGTTTAGGGTTTAGGGGTGCCAAGTCGTGGGCCATCCCGAGATGACACCAGCATTCCTACAAAGATCTTGCCTCCGCATGCGATGAGGAGCCCAACAAGGGTCTCTCTAATGGCGAGCATTTAGGTCTAGGGTTTAGGGTTTAGGGTTTAGGGTTAGGGTTTAGGGTTTAGGGTTTAGGGTTTAGGGTTTAGGGTTTAGGGGCTCCTCTTCTACAGAGCCTTTTTTTCCAGCCAGCCCGGATGCAAAAAAAAGGGTTCAGGGAAGGGTCGACACGTCCACCTTGTAAAGCTACAGCCCACACAAATCCCTGGACCAAGGTCCGTGGAGCCGCTGGTGCCATTGGTTTTGGATGGTTGGAGCCGCGAGGTCGATTCAGAATTCCAGGCTGGTGGGGGATGCGGAGGCGGGTGGTTGTGTTTTTTTTGTTGGGGGTCCCTGTACCATACTCCCTCAACCCTAAACCCTAAACCCTATAAACCCTAAACCCTATCTGCCCTTCCCCTTCCTGTTCTGGTCAGTGTCAGTGGTGTCGGCGTGGGGTATGCCGCGTGGCGGGCGTGGCGAGGTCTGCGTGGAGGTGTGTGTGCCATTACTCCCAAAGCTTCACGATATGCCGGGCAGACGGTCCTTGCAGCACATCTTGGACACATCCTCTCTCTCTCTCACTCTCTGTCTCGCTCTTACTGTCTCTGTCTCTCGGTGTCTCTGTCTCTGTCTGCTCTCGCTCTGCCATGTTGATCGTTGCCCTGCTCTTCTTGTATTGGTCTCGTGATGTGTCTGCCAGTTGGGTTAATCAGAGGTCCAGATGCAGGGATCTAGCCTTTGTCATAGCGGGGTAACATTTTGCATTCTTAGGGGTACTTAAACTCTACAAGGGGCAATTTGTTATTATCCCAACCATGAACTAGTAGAGGGTCGCACCTCGCTTGGCTCGTCCGAGCATGAAGCCCGTTGCTTCGCCAGGCGCTCGCAGCGGTCCTGCGGGAGGCTAGGGGGCTGACACATCTCGGGCCTGAGCTACCCGACAAAGAGGCTTAGAGGGTTAGTTCCCCCAAAGAAGGTTTAGGGTTGAGGGCATTATGGTTTAGGGGTTTTGTTTGGGTCTGGGGTTTAGGGTTAGGGGATTATCGGCATCTTGAGTGTTACGGGGCTTCGGGCAGATGATATCACGCGATTGCGAGGTTCAGGAGAAGTTTAGGCTTGTGTGGTTGAAGGTATGCAAGGTAATTATGCAGGGTTGAGGGTTTATAGGATGTAAGGGTACAGAGGATACGTCAGAGCGCTCGTGGTTGACCAGGGCTTCATCCAGGGTTTGGGGTCACGGCGGTTGCGGGTTGTGAACTAATTTGGGTAGCGAGAGAGATCGAGTAGGGCCTTTCAGGGGCAGTTGCTTTGACTTATTGGACCCCTCACGGATATACCCCTAAGAGGTTCCCATAATTTACTCCTAATATGGCCCTGTTATTCCTTACGGGTGACAAAAGAACCCCTAAACAGAAAGGATTGTGGGCGAAGTGCGACTGTTGGTGGACCAAACGCCGTGCAGCTCAGTCCTTCTTCGGCTAGTTCGCTAAAAAGTGGGGTTCCCCTGTGTAGGCTTGAGGGTTTAGGGTTTAGGGTTTAGGGTTTAGGGTAAAAGCAAGGGTTTAGGGTAAAGGCCGTAGCAGCATAATTCGGACAATTGGTAGGGGTTGAGGGCTGTTGCCATTTCGATGTTGGCTTGCGACTGCTTCCGGAATGCGAGGGATGCGATGCCCTAAACCCTAAACCCCAAACCCTAAACCCTAAACGGCCCATAGCGGAGACTTCCAGATCCGGTTTGAAGCGCTGCCTTGGACTGAGTATGCTTCCTCAGCCCATAGTTGAACTTTAAGCTTTTGGGGTTTCCTATTTAGTAGGAGCGAAAAGTGTAGCCTGAGTTTTTGCTTGGGGATAGGAGTAGAAACTATGTCCAGGGACATGCCAAAGTCTGAAAAGTTGCAAGAGGCTGCGATGTTGGCATTGGTTACAGGGCAGGTGCAGTGTGATCTTTCTGGCAACCCTAATTTACATGGGTTGGTAGTCTCTTTAAGTAGGGTTTCTGTTTATAGGGCCATTTCTTCGGGGGTTCTTGTTAGGGTATCCAAGGGCACAGATAAGGTTCCAAAAAGGGGCACAGATAAAGTAAGAGGCCGCCCTAAACCCTAAACCCTAGACCCTAGACCCTAGACCCTAAACCCTAAACTAACCGCAGGTGCCACCTGTCTCGTGCTCGTTGGGACTCCTTGCCTTTCTTGGGGGCTTTAGGCTCCCTTACAAGCCCCTTGAAACCAAAAAGGACGCCACAGGTCACTCTAACCCTAAACCCTAAACCTTAAACTCTTACCCTAGACTTGGGATGTTCCTTCATAGGGACTATAGTAGGGGATACTCTAATCCCTATTAAGGACTGTTCGTATAGGGGGGAACATCCCAACCCCAGACCCTAAACCCTACCCGAAACTCTTGGATCCAGCCCCAAAGAGCCCAATATCCCTTAATTAGGGAATATTGCTTAATTTATATAGGGATCCTTCTCTTAATATGACTTAAGGAATATTCCTTAATTAAGGGATATTGGGCTCTTTGGGGCCTCAGAATCTGAAAGCGGCCACCAAGGCATCTCCTGTATCGCTGCAATGGCCCAATTCAGGGCCATCCTCCCCAACGTGAAGGCCTCACCACCCTAAACCCTAAACCCTAAACCCTAAACCCTAAACCCTAAACCCTAAACCCTAAACCCTAAACCCTAAGCACACACTTACTTACTCTTCCACCCCAATCCTGCGTCGGCTCATTGCCCTCGTAGTGAACGTTAGTCAATCATCCCGAAATCTTACCCTGCAGTTTTTACCCTAAACCCTATAAACCCTAAACCCTAAACCCTAAACCCTAAACTCTTTTTTTTTGCATGGCTGCTTGGCAAAAACAAAAAAACCCTAAACCCACTTTGTCACAGTGCTCATATGGTCAGTTCTATAAATTATGATCCCTTTTGGGTACCCAAAAATGAAAGAGGGGTGCTTTGTAGTAAGGACCCAAAAGAGGCCAGATTTTAGAGAAGTGACCATATGTCCTCGGTGTTTGCCCTTTCCTCTGCAGGCAGACTCAACAGCAACCATGTGGAGGGTTGATGCCCCAATGTATGCCTTATTGTCCAGTTCTTGGTGATAACTTGTCGAAAAGCAAAGCTATGAACAGCTCCTCCCCCACTCCAAGAACTAAGGCCTATGAACACCCCCCCCCCCCCCCTTCTGCTATCGCACAGACAACCTATGCGCTAAACACATACCCTGCTACTTGGAGGCTCAGGGCACTTATAACCCCAAGTACAACTGCACATATAAGCCTCCGAAGTCCTCTAAGGAAGTTCTATGTACGGCTAGAATTGGGTTTATAAGTACCAAAGGAACCTCCAAGTAAGGAAATTCTGCACTTACTTCCCGAACATGCCCGGGAGGTGCACTGCCACTTCGCGCGCCTGTCGACTCGGCGGCGCAGCGAGCGCGAGCAGTCGCTGCCGCGTGCCGGATCATGCCTAGGAGCCCTTATGAAACCCTTGAGAGCCCTAACCTATAGCCCCCTTAGGAATTACTTTTTGTTTGTGTTTATGTAAAAACCTAAGGGAATATGAAAAGTAATATGTTGATTGCGCCTCTACAAGGGGAGTAGAGTAAACCCTTAAGCCTCAGCCACTACAAGCCCTTGAAGCTTTTGAACCGTCAGCCCAGTGAACCACCTGCTTCTGTAGTTGCAAGTAATGGGGGCTGAGGGTTTCGGGTTCAGTTCTTACCGGCATACACCCAGAGCCCGTACAAGCCTAATCAAGGCTACTTAATGGGGGAACCTAGGGGGGAAACCCTCTAAACCCTAAACCCTAAACCCTAAACCCTAAACCCTAAACCCTAAACCCTAAACCCTAAACCCTAAACCCTAAACCCTAAACCCCAAGCATAAGATTGAAAACCCATGATAGTTCGTACACATCAGCGGAAGGCTGACATGGCTACTTGCCGCTGCAGCTGCTGAGGCCTTCCGTGAAGAGGGAGTCCCTCACCTACTCCATCTACGAGGGAGCGGAACCTAAACCCGAAGCCCTAAACCCTAAACCTTAAACCCTAAACCCTAAACCCTAAACCTGAGAGTAGCTCCTTCGGCATCTTTGTGCATTGTGTGCAAGATACCGCCGGGGTGGTGGTTAGAGCCTAAACCCTAACCCTTAACCCTTAACCCTTAACCCTTAACCCTAAACCCTAAACCCTAAACCCTATAACCCCCCCCCCCCCCTGCCAGGAGTGGAGTCTGCGGCGACGATGTCGGGCTCGGAGCCATCAGGCGCGCAACATCACCCCAAAGCCCAGCTCTTGTGACGCCTTCTTCATACTAGTTAAAAGGTTTAGGGTTTAACATTAGGGGTTGCGGAAGCCCGTTGCAAAAGGGTTTAGGGTTTAGGGTTTAGGGGGAGTGGGGGAATGGGGGAATGGGGGGAGTCACGTAAATTGACTATAGCTGCCCCATTTAGCCAGTCCAGCCCATCGGGGACATTTCATGAGCAGTGCCAGTTAAGTTTGGCCCTAAGCTCATGCACTTCTCTGTTTAGGGTTTAGGGTTAAGGGGAATTGTTCCTGTCCTCGTGCAACTGATGTTGCTGAACAGGTGGTTTATTGTGAGCACAAGCAGTTTCTGGACATTAAAGCTGTATATTCACACTTTTGTCAACGCAGGGTACTATTCATGTGAGTGTACAAATCATGCTTAATTCATTTTCATCGCATCGACTTCGGTCCGTACCACCCTGAAGCTTCATTCCATGTAAATCGGCTGCAAAGATTGCAGTAGTGCAGTCGCAATTTGGAAGGCGGGCATAGCCCCAACTCCGCAACCCCTTAATTTACTGGTGCTTATAATATAGTAGGGACACAGGGAATTCAGGTTCCTGTATGATCCCTTAGCAATGGGAGTATGAGGCACCTAGTTCCCGAATTCCCTACGAAGAACTTGTAACCCTAAACCCGAAACCCTAAACCCTAAACCCTAATTAAACCCTAAACCCTAAACCCTCAGCATCCCTGAGCCGCCTAGGTGGGCCGTGCCTCGACGGTGCACTCAACGTCCTGCGATGTGGCCTCCGTGAGGCGGGCGCCGAAGAGGTGCTTCGGGGGGGGTGGGGGACCCTAATTCCTAAACCCTAAACCCTAAACCCTAAACCCTAAACCCGAAACGGGAGGGAGGGTGAGGGAGGGGTTGGCGGGGATCGGGCGGGCGAGCGGTAATTCGGGTTTGAGGGTTATAAGGGTTTAGGTTCAGGGTACATCAGGGCACTTCTGCGCATGTACAAACCTTTCGAGTCGACAGTTGAAGGTGTAAAGGCCCGAGGCAAAAAAGCTGCAGGATCCTTAGGCTTTAGGGGTTTAGGGTTTAGGGTTTAAGGTTTAGGGTTTAGGGTTTAGGGTTTAGGGTTTCGGATAATCCTCACCGCAACATTACAGCCAAGCTTGCCCCTACCACTCTCCAACAATAAACAGGCGCCGTTCATGAGAAGGTTGGGGAGTTGGGGGGTGGTTTGCTGCCATTTGGGGGACGGATTGTAAGCCCTTGAACATTAAAGCCCGCATGTTTAGTTCTTGGCAGGAGTTGTGCGATCTCCTCCGGCTAGAGCCCCATGCGCACGTCGTGCGGCCGAGCATCTCGGTGCACACGGATGGTTGACCCCAGACCTCGAAGGGCCTTCACCTAACGGCCTAAGATGGCCTTAAGGCTATATCATAGGTTCTATACCCCCTGAGTTAGGAGGGTCTTCCCTAACGGCCTCAAATGTCCCTAAGTTATATCATAAGTTCTATAGCCCTTGACTATGTTGACCTCCCAAGAAAATAGGGGCGGGAGGGGTAAAGGCTCTGGGCTTGCTTGGGGCTTGTCCGAAGAAGGCGGGGTTTAGGGTTTAGGGTTTAGGGTTTTTACAAATGAGTTGTGGGATGTGGGCTTTCACTGCACCGAAACCCTTGAGCCGTAGCCATTAACCCTAAACCCTAAACCCTAAACCCTTAACCCTTAACCCTTAACCCTTAACCCTTAACCCTTAACCCTTAACCCTTAACCCTTAACCCTTAACCCTTAACCCTTAACCCTTAACCCTTAACCCTTAACCCTTAACCCTTAACCCTTAACCCTTAACCCTTAACCCTTAACCCTACCCTTAACCCTTAACCCTTAACCCTTAACCCTTAACCCTTAACCCTTAACCCTTAACCCTTAACCCTTAACCCTTAACCCTTAACCCTAACCCTAAACCCTAAACCCTAAACCCTAAACCCTAAACCCTAAACCCTAAACCCCAACCCTAAACCCTAAACCCTACAGCACAGCAAGATCTGCCCAGAAGCGGAACCCTCCGTTGACTTCAGGCTCATCATATCTCTGAAATGGTGAAACCAATCCATTGCCGAAGGAACTGTATGGTTCTGGACTGGAACTCTGAGCCTGGAACCCTAAACCCTAAACCCTAAACCCTAAACCCTAAACCCTAAACCCTAAACCCTAAACCCTAACCATATACCTTGCAGAGGTGATCGTCTACCACTCTCACTGATGCTGCCTAGCAGCGGCGCCTTTCACGCCCTCATCCGCCTTGCTCTCAAGGACTGCTTGGGCTGAGGCTGGGGGGTTTAAGGTTTAGGGTTTAGGGGTTAGGGGTTTAGGGGTTTAGGGGTTTAGGGGTTTAGGGGTTTAGGGGTTTAGGGGTTTAGGGGCACACTGCTGGTTCGTCGTCTCGTGGGTTGCTGGCCGGTGGCGCCATGCCAGTTTGGCGGCCTGCCGGGAGGGCAAGTCGCGGATGCGCTAGCCTCAGCACACTGGCAAACTTACTGCGAAAGTATTGCTGACAAGAGTAGGGTTTGGGTCAATGCTGATATACAGGCGGCTTTTGACAGTATCCACCATGCATCCGTGGCCAGATTTGTTTGTGACCATACGAATCCGGAGCTTGCACGTGAAGCCCTTCAGCTTCTCCGGGTTATATGCAGACCTTCGCTTCGCTTTGTGTACCAAGGGGAGGAGTGGCATATTGACCAGACTAGGGGAATACAACAGGGGCACACTTTCAGCTCTATTTTGTTCAGTTACCTCATAGGTCATGTGGTGCAAGAGCAGTTCACACAATGGGAGTCTGAAGGTGAAAGCAGTTTTTTCGGTCAATGGGGATGGCTTTTTGTTGATGATCTTATTTTACATTTTGATGACTGGACTGTGGCTAAGCGACTTCTCCCCAGGATACAGCAGGCCTTGCACACCATTGGACTTCAGTTCAATCCCGCCAAGACCCAAGTTTTTGCTAGGCCTGAGATGTTGGCCAGAGGTCGACGGGAAGTCCCTGATGATCATGTGCTACACCAGTACACCTGGACATCCGAGACTGCTTACCTACGTAAGCCATTGCGCCACACTTCGGTCGGGGAAACCTCCTGGGACCTCTGGCTGCCTTTTGTCCAGCGTAGTGTACATCACGGAGTTGTACAGATGGCTCCTGTGCTTAAAGGTTTGACATGGGCACAGCCTGCATTGGCCCTGCATCTGCTGAATCGCTATGTTGGAAGCAAGTGGCTGTGGGCTACCCCGGTGTTGGTCCCTACAGCATCTGGTATCAAAAAGGTAAACACTCTTCAGGCCACTGCGCTACAGTCGTTCATGCACCTTTTTATCCCTGAAGATGCAGGGCGGGATCAGGCCATGGTTTTGCATCGTTTGAGAAAACGAGGGACTTTGCTCTACCTTCAACGCCACTCTGGTTTCTCCTGGACCATGCAGTGGAGAATGAGACTATGGGGTTACCTGGGTCATGTTCTTCGAAGACCTCCTCAACACCCGGCCCGCAAGTTACTGCTCGGCATGGCTTCCCTCCATAGACCCCAAGGTGGATTTCCTAATTCTCCACTGCACTGGCTCTTGCGGACGGCTAGCGCCGCGTATGGAGAAGATGTTCAGGTTGCCATGGTTCTTGCTAAAGCTGCTGACCGTGAGTGCTGGCGTGAGACTGGCAGAAGGCACTTTCACAGCATCAGCCTGGCAGAGATGCACAGTCATCTGCATGCCGGCCTGTGGAAGCGGTGGCAACATAGCATCTTACAGCATGTATCGTGGCTCTTCAATGTGGTCGTACTTTTCACTGGCTCGCAGCTCCGGATAGTGTGGGTTGACACTGAAGAGGGTCTGGTTGCCTGGGATATTGATGACATGTGTTCAGGCATTTGGCAGTTCTTTCACTATGCTCGCATGCGTTATCCGTTCTGGGTGTTTGAAATTAGCATGACCGAGACTCTGTATGAGTGTTATCCTGGTGTCGTGGGGCTGGCAAGTCGAGCCCTGGAGGAATATCATCAGGTCTGGAGTGTCTCTGTTGTATCAGATGAGCACATTGAGAGAGTTCGAGAGATTTCATAGCTTTTCAGGCGTTCAGGATTTCACAGCTTTCAGAAGCGTTCTGCTGCTAAGCAGCTTTGCCTGGCATCAAAGAGTCCCAGCTGCAAAAAAGGGGTTTAGGGGTTTAGGGGTTTAGGGGTTTAGGGGTTTAGGGGTTCAGGGGTTTAGGGGTTTAGGGGTTTCAGGTTTAGGAGGTCTTGCGTTGGACAAAGGGTTGAGGGTTTAAGGGCCAGAACCCCCTGGCCGACATTCAGGGACTCCTACTTGACGGCGAAACTACGTGGAGCTGCTCAACCCCCGCTACAGTAGATCCTAAAACCCCACAGAACCTGAACAAAGCCTAAACCCTAAACGCCTAAACCCTTCACCCTAAACCCTAAACCCTAAGCCCTAAGCCCTAAACCCTAAACCCTAAACCCTAAACCCCGCCCTGCGAATCTCTAGGAGAGGCGGCTGGGCGAAGCGCTCGGCTTGCTGGAGTTCATGCGGAGGTGCTTGGGACTTCGAGGGCTTAGTTTGGGACGACGGTTTAGGGTTTAGGGTTTAGGGTTTGGGTTTAGAGTTTAGGGTTTAGGGTTTAGGGTTTAGGGTTTAGGGTTTAGGGTTTAGGGTTTAGGGTTTAGGGCTTTGAAGTTTACAGGGCTTTTGGCGCCGGGAGGGTGTTGGGGGGATGAGGGGGCAAAGTCCTGAAGGTTGTACAGAGGGTTTCGGCTTTTGTCGGGCTGAATGGGACCCCGCCACGCCGCCGGCTACGAAGGCTGTGCCTCCCAGTAGCCTGCGATCATCACAGGAGACGAAGTTTGGATGTACAGAGGCAAATAACGTAGGGGTCGGATAATAATTGCTAATAGCATGCCCTTAGGGTCCCTTTCTAAGTATACGATAACACCCCCCCCCCCCCCAAAAAAAAAAAAAAAAAAAAGCCTGTTCTAATTATTAAGGTCCCTATATTACATGACTACAGTCCCTGTGAGAGCTCGACAGGCCATACTTTCAATTTAGAATGTTCATGTGGCCCCCAAGGTTGTGCAAACCTCAAGCCGCCCCGAAGCCTACTATTTGCTCAAGAACCCCCCCCCCACCCCCCGAACAAAAAAAACAACGCAGTTCTTCCTTGCAAGGGAAATATAGGACTGATTATCTTCGAACAGGGGGTTTAGGGCTCATACACCTTCGTGGCATTAGAGCCCTAGTACCCTGAACCCTCGTAGTACAGGGGATGCCCTAAACCCTAAACCCTAAACCCTAAACCCTAAACCCTAAACCCCCATTTTAGGGCTCATTTGGTCCCCAAGGAAAGGTGTTCCCATCTTCGCCCGTACCTTCGAAGACCTGGCCATGGACGTGGAGATGCATCCAAGGAAGGTGCACGAAGGGAGGGTTCGCAAGGTTTATCTAGGGTTTAGGGTTTAGGATTTGGGGTTTAGGGTTTAGGGTGGGTTATCCATAGAGTTTACATGGGGTTTGTGTAGGGTATATACAGGGTTTCTACAGGGTTTATATCGGGTTTAGGGTGGGTATCTATGGGGTTTACACAGAGGGCTTACATAGGTTCATATAGGGTTTTAGGGAGCTCTTAGGGTTTGGGGCAACTCCTTCGTCCCAACCCTCCGGGTTTAGGGTTTAGGGGTCCGAAAACGCCTGGCCAGGCCGTTGGCTTCATCGCCGAGCTTCTCGGAGTTGCATCCGAGGTCCTTGAAGCATGTAGGTTTAGGGTTTAGGGTTTAGGGCTAGGGTTTAAGGTTTAGATTTAGGGTTTGGGGGTTAGCCCAAAAGTAGGTGAGACTAGGGCATAGACCTTGGAGCCCAAAAGTGGTTTGAAGATCGTTTCGATGAAGTACTTGGCAGATCTTCAGGGCCTCGAAGCCTCTACCAGAGGCGCGTGCATACTTGTCGGCGTATCCGCCGTGGGGACTCACGGCCGTGGGTGGAGGCGGGGGGGGGGAAGGGGGGTGGGGGACGCCGGCAGGCGCACCACTATGTCCGCACTCAACCACAAAACCCTCAAGCCCAGCGGGGGGCAAAAAAGGGCTTAGGGTTTAGGGTGTAGGGTTTAGGGCGTAGGGTTAGTTCGCCCAAGGCAAGCACGAAGCCCCAAAGCGGAACTATAAGATGCCCTATGCGAACCCTAAGGGTCCACAATCAACTTGGGTTTAGGGACTAAACGGTTAAGGGTCAGGGTTAGGGTTTAGGGTTTAGGGACTTTTGGGTTTAGGAAAAGTCTGAGGCAGGAAGGTTGCGGGCGGAAACCTAGGGCCTAAACCTTGACCCCAAACAACCCCTAAACCCTAAACCCCACCCCTAAATCCTAAACCCCACCCCTAAACCCTAAACCCCCACCCCTAAACCCAAAGCCCTACAGCCATCAACCCCCAATTCCAAGCCCTAAAACCTAACCCCAAACCCTAAACCCCAAACCCTAAACTTTACCCCAAACCCTAAACCCCAAACCCCAAACCCTAAACCCCAAACCCCAAACCCTACACCCCAAACCCTAATTAAACCCCAAACCCTAAACCCTAAACCCTCAACCCTAAACCCCAAACCCCAAACCCCTAAACCCTAAACCCCAAACCCCAAACCCTAAACCCTAAACCCCAAACCCCAAACCCTAAACCCTAAACCCCAAACCCCAAGCCCTAAACCCCAAACCCCAAACCCCAAACCCCAAACCCTAAACCCCAAACCCCAAACCCTAAACCCTAAACCCCAAACCCTAAACCCTAGACCCTAAACCCTAAGCCCTAAACCCCAAACCGTAAACCGCCCTAAACCCTAAACCCCAAACCCTAAACCCTAAACCCCAAACCCCAAACCCTAAACCCAAACCCCAAACCCTAAACCCTAAACCCTCAACCCTAAGGATGGAAGCCTCGGGCTTGGCGGCCTCCCGGCGCTTGGTCTCGGCGGTGTTGACACGCGCGGTGCGGTACGGAGGTGGAGGCGGTGCACTTTATAAGCCCGGGGGTTTAGGGCTTAGGGTTTCGGGTTCAGGGTTTAGGGTTTAGGGTTAGGGTTTTAGAGGTTAGGGTTTGCTGATATGGCGCAGAAGCTGTGCAGGTCGAGATGTAGAGAAGCCTCGAAAGCTTCGCAAAATGCGAAGTGTGGTTGTGGAGGGCTGTCTTAGTTGTGAGTGAACTACTCAGGTTGTGATGCCTGCATGTGCTTGTTTTGCCGGTCAGGAATGCCCTCTAATTATCCTCCAAAACTGCTCGGATAAACCCTAAACCCTGAACCGTACACCCTAGAACCTAAACCCCAAACCCTTAACCCTTAACCCTTAACCCTAAACCCTAAACCCTAAACCCTAAACCCTAAACCCTAAACCCTAAACCCTGAATGAATACGAAGCCCCGCGAAGCCCAAAAGATGGTCGAGGCCTTGCCCCAGCAGTCTTGCGCCTTCGCTGCCGGCAGTCTGTGAGCCTTGGCCGCAGCTCCGGGTTGAGGGTTTAGGGTTTATTTAGGGTTTAGGGTTTTAGGGTTTAGGGTTTAGGGTTTAGGGTTTAGGGTTTAGGGTTTAAGGGTTTAGGGTTTAGGGTTTTGGGTTTTGGGTTTTGGGTTTTGGGTTTTGGGTTTTGGGTTCAGCGGCTCATGTACTAGCTTTCACCAGTCAGGCAGCTTTTCAAGGGACAGGAAAATACCCACCCACCCAGAGAATCCCAGAACATAAGGAAAATAGAGGGTCCTCAATATCCCTGTACGCCCTGAAACCCTAAACCCCAGGCCTTGAGGTTTGCTATTTGCTTAAGAACCCTAAAAGAATGAAAAAAACAATAATCCCTATACTGTCCTTAATAAGGAAGAGTGTTTTTTCGGGTTTCTTAAGCAAAGCCTAAACCTAAACCCTAAACCCTAAACAGCAAGTTAGTAGTTTACGGTTGGTGGTTTACTCTCCGGCCGAGGCGAGTGAAGCGCCAGGCAGATGCGTTGCCTGATCCGGAGGTGTGCCTTGCATCTCAGGGCTCAGGTCTTAGGGTTTAGGGTTTGGGGTTCAGGGGTTTAGGGTTTAGGGTTTAGGCTGCAGGGTTTATAGGGTTTAGGGCTTGGGGACCAGGATCTTCTCGTGCAGCGCAGTGTCGTGGCTGCTTTAAGTTTCAAGGCACCAAGAGCAGCTCACCTTGAGTCCTGACTTCCAAGTTCGAAGAGCGGATCTCAAGTTTTCAGCGGTTTACAGGGTTTATACGGTTTATGTGTTTCGCAGGGTTTATTGGGTTCGTAGGGTTTCTGTTTTTATAGCGTTTAAAGAGACAGTTTATAGGGTTTTTTAGGGTTTTTAGGGTTTAGTTTTAGTCTCTGTGTGTGTGGGAGGCCGCTGCTGTGGATATCGATTGAAGGGAAGAGCTTGGGACCCTAAACCCTAAACCCTAACCCTAAAACCCTAAACCCTAAACCCTAAACCCTAAACCCTAAACCCTAAACCCTAAACCCTTTAAGAGGGGCGACTCGCGGAGCGGAGCCAAGCAAACCCAGGCCCAAAGCCCTAAACAGCCCTAAGCCCTACAGGATTTAGGGTTCAGGGTTTGTATAGTACCACCCTTAAACCCTTAAACCCTTAAACCCTTAAACCCTTAAACCCTTAAACCCTAAACCCGAAACCCCTAAGCCAAACTGCAGAATCTGCCGATGGAGACCTCAGCGTCCGATGGGCGCTTTCGCGCGGGGTCTTCGGGCCGCTCGGCCCGAAGACAAGTCGCTCCCTGGTTCTTAGTAGGGTTTAGGAATCAGGCACCTTATCTCCCCGTACATATGTACATGTACATATACGTAGCTTTAAAGGGATTCTATAGGGTACATCATCCCCTACCCGGGAGCAGTAGGTCTTGTGATTTTAGAGGGTTTAGGGTCTCTCTTTGGGCGCGTAGGTTTGAGCATTGCGCGTTGGGGTTTGGTTCAGGGACCCTCAGGGATGTTGATTATGGGTTCAGGCTGTATAATTGGAATCTCCGCTGTGACTTGCTGCGTCCTTGAATCTGTTCGAAGCTCGGATGGTCTAGGGTTTATAGGTTTAGGGACGGTCTAGGTAGGCCCCGTTGGGACATGTCATATTCTCCCTTATTGGGTTTAACACCGTCATATTTGTAGGATTTTTTTCCCAGAGGGTTCTTTTGTCAGGGACAACCGAGGTTGAACTAGCACCCTGTCACCTTGCAGTCTTGTGTAGAACTTGGGGGTTCCGAAAAGAGGGGTACCCCTTTTTGGGGGGTTTCCTTTAAAAAGGATTTTGTAGTATATTGGGGTATGTAAGGGGAATAGGGGTACCCTTTTTGGGGTTTTCCTTTGAAAGATTTTGTAGTATGTTTGGGTATTTAAGGGGTACCTCTATATATTCGTAAACCCCCCCCCCCCCCCCCCGTTATGGCAGACGAGCAGAAAGCATGGAGTTCTCCATCAGCCTGCGGGCTGCACCACCCACCCCCCGCCCCGCTCCCCAACACCCCCCCCCCCCCCCCCAAACAAAAAAAGAACATCTGAAATCTCGGTAACTCCCTTGTCCTACCTGAAAGATGTGCTAGTGCAGGTCATGCGCCCCGTCTTCTGTACCTCCAGCTCCCCAACTCCGGCGCACCACGGCCAGGATTGCTGTTCGAGGTAAATAGAGCTTTTGGGCTTAAGCTGTTGGGTGCAGGGTTTAGGTTTAGCATCAACCGGCAGTTGCTCAATCCTTCTCTATACATAAACGAATCAACAAGAAAGAGCCCCGACCCGAACAACGCAGCAGAAGCCGAGCATGGTCTACTTCACTTTGTCATAGTGGGGTAGCATTTTACATGTTTAAGGGTACTTATCTCCATAAGGAATAGAAGTTATAGAAGTTTACATTCTTATTCTTATCCCAACCATGATCTAGCTCAGGCCATCTCGTCCTGTATCAGTCGCAGCGGCCACCTCGCCCCACGTTGGGCAAAGGCACTCAGGGCTCGGGCTTACGTGGGAGTTTACGAAAAGAAGAGACCCCTAAAATCGACCCCCCAAAATGGTAGGATCCCCTTCTGTAGGGTTCTGAGTTGTGGGGTGGTAGGGGGATTTTGTTGACTCTGCGGCTTTCACAACTTTTGGGCTTATCTTCTTTCAGGGCTGTAGGAACTCGTGGGCAGAAGGAATCCTAGCATGCATGAGCATGTTTCCGAGTATGTGGGGCGCGGAGGGGAGAGGCTCATGCAGAGTAATTGGCATCATGCTGTTCATGTGAAGCCGTTTATGTTTGTTTCGTATTCCAGAACTAGAAACTCAAGGTTGCAAGCATTTCTCAGCTACAAGGTGGGCATGTGTTCGAGTGTTCGGCTGCGCGGTAGGCGAGAATCTTCTTGGGCCTTGCAGATAACTCCTTCATGTACTGGCACTCGCAGGCGTGAACCGGTCAAAGCACATCCGCACCTGAAGCAGAAGCAGTGCCCGTTCAGTAGACAAGAGGATGCACAGAACGGAAGGGCGGTGACACACCCTGAATCCCAAGCTCTAAACCCCCTTATCCCCTAAGCCCTAAACCCTAAACCCCTAAACCCTAAACCCTAAACCCTAAACGCGGATTCGCCCCAGCTGTGCAGGAGGGAAAAAACAAAACCCTAAACCCTAAACCCTAAACCCCCAAGCCGTGTAAACCAAGCTCCAGGCTTTGGGAGTCTGGGCCGCCCTTCGTTTCTACGAGGCCTGATGCTGCCAGAGTGCCCACTGGGACGTTGAAGGGCTTCAGGGTGTTGTGGGGTTTAGGGTTTAGGGTTTAGGGTTTAGGGTTTAGGGTTTAGGGTTTAGGGTTTAGGGTTAGGGCCTACAGAGCTTCCAAGCCTGTAATATCCCTTTATGTCGTGGCTTTGTGCTGTGGTAGAGGTTTTAAGGTTTGCTAGATGGTTCTTGTACCTAGAACACAACCTCTAAACCCTACAAGGGGTTGAGGTGATTTCGAAGCAAGGCTATCGTACGTACATAAAGGGGTCATCTACAATAGGGTCATCTGCAATTTGCTTAAGACCCCCCCCCCCCCCCAAACACAAAAAAACATATGGCCCTTATGAGGAAGAATGTTTAGGGTTTAGGGTTTAGGGTTTAGGGTTTAGGGTTTTCATTCTTTGGGGGGTTCTGAAGCACATGGAGGTCATGTCTTTGGTGCCACCCTTTTTTTTTTTGAAGCCAGACCCTGGGCCCCCCATTTTACCACTCGCAGGCTCCCCCCCCCCCATGACCAGGACGCCGCTTTTAGGGCGCTTCAAGGTCGACCGTACCCAAATAGTAGGATCCCCTTAGAATAAGTAGCCCTAAACCCTAAACCCTAAACCCTAAAACCCCAAATAAATTAAGGAATACACCGTAAATCATATTAAGGATCCGCACATAATTTAGGCAGTGTTCCCTATAATGAAGGGATATTGGGCTCTTTGGGTAACACCCTCAACTTGGGATGCTCCCCCCTTATACTAACAGTCCTTAATAGGGCTAAAAATCGGGGGTACTCTGTAATCCTTATGGAGGACTGCAGAAGCACTCCACAGAGAGGTGTGAGTGGATGGTTTCGTAGACGGCTTAGTTTTTCATAGGGGATGGTTTCGTAGACGGCTTGTAGGGTTTCATTGGGCTTTTTGTAAATTGCAAGACCAACGTTCTCCGGCTGTTGCTTGCAGCTGGCAACCCCTCTTTTTTTCGCCCGCGCCCTCTCCTGAGGAGGACGCCAGGACGCCGTTCCGGGTGCTGCTAACCGTGGCAGGCATCATACGCCCGAGCGGTGCCGAGGCAAGGGTGCAAGATGTGTTTTGGGGTGCTGAATGTCCTGCGCTTCCAGGGCCCTATAAAAATTGAGGCCAAGCTGTATAAGGTCTCTCCTTACCTACCGTTGTATGGGTTCTACCTACTAATTCAGGGTCAGTTCCTACTAAACTGTAGGTCAACAAGAGTCTCAGGTGAAGCTTGAGGGTTTAAGTTTTCCAGGCCGTCTCAAGGATCACAAGCCCGGGCCGGGGGGGGGGGGGGGGACAAAAAAGCGGATGAGGGCAGCTCCCAAAGCCACCCCCTTAGAAAATTGTTCGGGGGTTGTTTTTGCGTCATGAATTACTGAAGTTCTGGCAGGACATGAGAGAAAGCCCGTCTCCAGGAACCTCTTGAAGCCTGATGGGTCTAAGCTTTAACAGGCCACATATTTAAAAAGCGTGAAGTTATCTTAGGGTAGTTACTTACATGGTCCCTTTACCTGGTCCCTTACCTCCTTTCAATGGTTCCGATGTACGGGCCCCCGGGTTCTATGGGGTATGTAAGGGGTTCCCTCTCACAGGCCTATATTAAGGGCCCATCTATAGCCCTAAACACTAAACCCTGAGCCCTGCGAGTGCTTGCAGAAAACCCTAAACCCTAAACCCCAAACCCTAAACCCTAAACCCCTCGAAAAACTCATGAGAAGAGCCCCTGTCAGGCATTGCAAGAAGGGGCGCTCAGCCTCGCGGCGCAGCGAAAGGTCGTGTCGTCTCTTCGGCAGACAGGGCTCCTGGAGCGCTCCATGTGGCTGGGGTTTAGGGTTTAGGGTTAGGGTTTTGGGTTTAGGGTTTCAGATGCAAGTCACCGCGATTTCCTGACCATTCCCGGCCGACTCCCCAAGCCCGGATGCAAAAGGGTTTAGGGTTTAGGGTTTAGGGTTTAGAGTTTAGGGTTTAGGGTTTAGGGTCATCTCGGAGATGCCCGCAGCTTGGCTCGGCAACGTACAGGGTTTTCGCCGAGGCTGATTGGGGGTCGTATCCTTTCCTGGTAGTTGTCCGCAGTCCAGTTGCAAAAAGGGTTTAGGGTTTCGGGTTTAAGGTCTTTGCAGAGACTTAGCTATTGTGTCCTTGAGGGCTCGAGAAACGCAATTCTTAGGGCCCTGGATGTATAAGGAGTTGAAGCATGGCTTGGCAGAGTTGTAGCCCATGGGTGCTGGCTTGGGCAGGGTTTTCGTCTTCAAGGGCCCATTGGTTGAGAGGTGCAACGCTTGGGGGTTGAGAGCTTTGGATTTGGTGCATGCTGCAGGCTCGAGGAAGGGCTGGAACGAAGCACTTCAGTCAGGGATGCACCCTAAACCCTAAACCCTATAAACCCTATAAGCCCTAAACCCTAAACCCTACGTTGCAGGAGCGAATGCTGACCAAGCGTGCCCTGACGTTGGAGGAGGCGGCGTCTGTGCAGCTGCTGGAAGGCTGAACCTATCTTCCGGCGGCGGGCTCCTGCCAATTTTGGGGGTTTCCGAAATTAAGAGGGTACTTTGGAATGGGGTCCTTATCACAAGGGAGTCCTTCTATTTGGGGGGGACTACATTTGGGATCCCCTTATTGGCGTAAAACACCCATGTGGGCGGTTGCCTCAGAGAAATGCGCAGTCAAAGCACTGCGACGAGTGTTGGCACGTCTGTCCGAGTCCACGAAGATCGTAGATTCGATGAGATCGCAGCTTATCGATTCCGAGCACCGTGTGCGCAAGCTGTCGACGAGAAGCATGGACCCTAAACCCTAAATCCTAAACCCTAAAGTGCGCGTGGTGTCAGCTCAGCAGTCTCTCTTTTTGAGAGTTTGCCCCCCGAACCCCCCCCCTTATCCCCAGCCCCAATTCCAATGAGAGACAAGAAGTACACTGATTTATTTTACTTCTGAAATGTTATCATTATGTTCTCTCAGGGATTGAAGGGGCAGTTTTTGTGCTGCATGAGGTGACTTAAAGGGCCGTGTGCATCATTTGTGTTCACAGAAGCACTTCACCGAGGCATTATGTATTCATGTAAGTTGGCTGACGCTGTGCCTGGTAGAAAGCAAGCTGCGCAGACACTTGGGCTTAGAAGTGACAGGAATCCCACTGTCGCTCCTTTCCCTTGGGCCACAAGCATGCGCCAGTTTTTTTCGTGACTTGTGATGGACTCTCTACAATGATTCTCATCCTGTTTGCTGCACTCGCTTTGGGTGTCTGCGGTGATGGCTCACGGTTGGGTACGACTGCAGCATTGCATGACGGCTGTCGTGATGCCTCCATGTCGCTGGTGCAGTCACAGGCTTCCCGCCGAGGCACAGTGGCCGCTTTCCTACAATTAGGCCCAAAGCCGTGGGAGGAGCGGTACTATTACGTGGGTGCGCACCACAAATCTGGCACCGAGCTGTTGCGTGCTGTGATGAGACATGCCTTTGACACGCTGCATGCCCCGTCCTCCTGCCACTACTGGAAACCTGGTGTGAAGCCGACGCCAGCCCATTTCATCACCTCCACGGATCATGACGCCTACTGTTTCTTGGTGGCCCAGAGTGGTACCCTTCCTTCACCCCTTTTTTGGTGCTCCGGTTCCCTATACAAAGGAACCAACCCCCCAAAAACAGAGGTACCTATGGCTACTGGGCTACTCAGGTTTCGACCGGCTGGACATTCCCATACAATTTGACCCTTCCGCCAACTTGCAGAGATTTGCTGCGGCCAAGGGCGCGGCGGTCCTCCGGGAGCTACCCATCCGGGGAGTCCATGCAGTGCCAGGGGTAGGTTAGAACATAATTTGTTTGAAATGTTTTTTTGGTTACCCTTATGATCCCCTATAATACTCCTCATAAAGCCAGAAGAATTGTAGGTTTTATCACGCCCCTCCCCCAAACCTGCCCCAGGTGCGCAAGCCCAAGGACATGCTCATCTCCGCCTACTGCTATCATCACCGGGGGCAGGAGTATGGCGACGCGGTGGCGCCGTGGCCCGAGATAATGTCCATGAGCCCTGTACAGGGTTTAATGGCACTCTGGCCGGCTATGTCTGGCATCATTCAGGACATGCTGGACTTTTACACAAATACGAGTTCCGATGAGGTGTTCCACATGCGCTTCGAGGAGGTCACGAGCTCATCACAAGCCTTTGACGAGGTGGTCCAGAGACTGTTTCGCTTCCTCTTCGCGCCCGCCGTGCCAGAATCCGACCTGTCTCGAATGTGGCAGGCCGCCAAGGTCGAGGACTTGAACAGCAACCCCACTTATGCCAATGCCATTGCAAGCAGCGACCATTCCAATAAAGATGACTGCATGCAGGCCGCGCAGGAATCGTTGCTGCAGCTAGATCCGCGAGTGGTGCAAATCTTGAAGGACACGCAAGAGCAGCTTGGGTATTCGATTGAGAACTGGCCGGACGCTTTGCGCAGCTAAACGGAAAGAAGTGTGTGCACGTGGTGTCAGCTCAACTGTAGGCAAGCAGCTCACCAAAGTGTTCAGTGTATGGGTCTGTCCTTTTGAGAGTTCCCCCTCCGAACCCCCCCTTATCCTCAGCCCCCAACCCCCCCCAATCCAATGAGAGACGAGAAGTACACTGATTTCTTAGCTTCTGAAATGTTAACATTGTGTGCTCTCAGGGGTTGAAGGGGCAGTTGTTGTGCTCTTGACTTAAGGGCCGTTTGCATCATCTGTGTTCACAGAAGCACTTCACCGATGCATTATGTTTCATGTAACTTGGCTGACGCTGCGCCTGGTAGAAAGCAAGCTGCGCAGACACTTGGGCTTAGAAGTGACAGGAATCCCACTGTCGCTCCTTTCCCTTGGGCCAGAAGCATTCGCCAGTTCTTTTCGTGTCTTGTGATGGACTCTCTACAATGATTCACATCCTGTTTGCTGCACTCGCTTTGGGTGTCTGCGGTGATGGCTCACGGTCGGGTGCGACTGCAGCATTGCATGACAGCTGTCGTGATGCCTCCATGTCGCTGGTGCAGTCACAGGCTTCCCGCCGAGGCACAGTGGCCGCTTTCCTACAATTAGGCCCAAAGCCGTGGGAGGAGCGGTACTATTACGTGGGTGCGCACCACAAATCTGGCACCGAGCTGTTGCGTGCTGTGATGAGACATGCCTTTGACACGCTGCATGCCCCGTCCTCCTGCCACTACTGGAAACCTGGTGGGAAGCCGACGCCCGCCAGTTTCATCACCTCCACGGATCACGACGCCTACTGTTTCTTGGTGGCCCAGAATGGTACCCTTAGCCCCTTTCTTTTGGTGCTGGGGTTGTTTGCAAAGTAATCAACCCCCTGGTTAGAATATATCGTTACTGGGCTACACAGGTTTCGACCGGCTGGACATTCCCATACAATGGGACCATTCCGCCAACTTGCAGAGATTTGCTGCGGCCAAGGGCGCGGCGGCCCTCCGGGAGCTACCCATCCGGGGGGCCCATGCAGTGCCAGGGGTAGGTTAGAACATCATTTGTTTGAAATGTTTTTTTGGTTACCCTTATGATCCCCTATAATGCTCCTCATAAAGCCAGAAGGATTGTAGGTTTTATCACGCCCCTCCCCCAAACCTAGCCCAGGTGCGAAAGCCCAAGGACATGCTCATCTCCGCCTACTGCTATCACCACCGGGGGCAGGAGTATGGCAACGGGGTGGCGCCGTGGCCCGAGATACTTAGTGACTGAGTGAGCACACTTTACACTTTTTGGGATACAATCATCCGCTTTTGAACTAAAAGTGTGCACTTAAGATTCTGTGGGGGGATTACGACCTCAGCAACTAAGGATAATGTCCATGAGCCCTGTACAGGGCTTAATGGCACTCTGGCCGGCTATGTCTGGCATCATTCAGGACATGCTGGACTTTTACACAAATACGAGTTCCGATGAGGTGTTCCACATGCGCTTTGAGGAGGTCACGAGCTCATCACAAGCCTTTGACGAGGTGGTCCAGAGACTGTTTCGCTTCCTCTTCGCGCCCGCCGTGCCAGAATCCGACCTGTCTCGAATGTGGCAGGCCGCCAAGGTCGAGGACTTGAACAGCAACCCCACTTATGCCAATGCCATTGCAAGCAGCGACCATGCCAATAAAGATGACTGCATGCAGGCCGCACAGGAATCGTTGCTGCAGCTAGATCCGCGAGTGGTGCAACGCTTGAAGGACACGCAAGAGCAGCTTGGGTATTCGATTGAGAACTGGCCGGACGCTTTGCGCAGCTAAACGGAAAGAAGACCTGAAATCCCTTCTCCGCGGATTTGGGGGTTTCCGAAATTTGGGGTACTTTCTTGGGGTCCCTACTATGAGGGCATCCTATTATTTTGCCTGTCGTGTGCGAACGACGAGGCTTACCCTGAACCCTAGATCCTAAACCCTAAGCCCTATAAAGCTTAAACCCTAAACCCTGACCCTGAATTCGCGACTCCCAGGTTCTCGAACCAAAGGCTTTCTTCGTCCTTCCTCAGGCAGTGGAGGGGGGGTGGAGCCACGGGGATGCCCCGTAGAACAGGAGCCCCGTGAGCCCCCGGCAAGCAGGTTTAGGGTTTAGGGTTTAGGGTTTTGGGTTTAGGGTTTAGGGTTTAGGGTTTAGGGTTTAGGGTGGAAAGAGATTATTTCGAGAAAGCCCCTCCCACAAAGCTCTGGGTGTTGGCGAGAATGCCCTTACTGTCGGCCTTTGAAATTACAAAGCTCTTGGCTTCAGTGTTGGTTGGGGGCTGGGATTAGGCAGTAAAAAAGGGGCTCGGGAAGGGTGTTGTTTTTCTGAGGGCCCTGGGGACCTTTGGGCGCCAGGAAGCTCTATCCCGCCGATATATCAACCCTAAACCCAGTGAACCTTAAGCTGCCGTCTTATGAGAGAGTGAGCGCCTTGCCGTCTCTTGAACCGCAACAGCCTCCCACATCCATGTTCCATGAGACTCCGTGTGGGTGTCGTGGTTGGGTTCGGGGGCTTCGGTACTCCCAACCCCGTCCAACCTTTCCCTCAACCCTTCCTAATCTGTCTCCCCCCAAACCCTAAACCACCCCGCCCCCAAACACCCCCATTTAGGGTTTAGGGTTTAGGGTTTAGGGTTTAGGGTGTAGGGTTTAGGGTGTAGGGTTTAGGGAAAGCCCAAACTCAGCGAACTCCGGACTCGCAGATTCCGGATGCCTTGGCGCAGCAGCCAACGACCGACGCCTCTGCCCCAGAAACCTGGTCCCCAGGGCCTCCCCACCAAACCCTAAACCCTAAACCCTATACCCTATACCCTATAAACCCTAAACCTATTTCGGGAACCTCTTCCTTGTGTTCGGCTGAGGTTTTGGGGGGCCTTGTCAGGATTCGGCTCAGCGGTTCAAAAGGGCGCTACGGCCTATGATGCTGTAGGCTTATCGAGCTTTAAACCCTACATGGGACTCTATGTTACCCACAGTTTAGTGTAAAGTTTAGTAGTAACTACTAACCCTTAATGAGTAGGTATAACCCATTCAAAACTGCAGGTAAAGAAAGTTTCAGGGAAACCCGAAACCTTATAAAAGGCTTATAGGGCCTCGGGCCAAACCCTAAACCCTAAACCCAAACCCTAAACCCTAAACCTTATAAAGGCTTATAGGGCTTGAAGGTTGGGCTACAACCCAAAAACCCTAAACTCAAAAAACCCAAAAACCTTAAACCCTTGTCAGAAATCCCGACATCGCTCCCGGCCCTCCGCTGCCTCTGTCCACTGCTGCCCAGAGCCTATCCTTCTCGCTTCGCGAGCTCTCCACGGCGGGCGGAGCCAAGCTGCTCGGATTGATTTAGGGTTTAGGGTTTAGGGTTAGGGTTTAGGGTTTAGGGTTTAGGGTTGAGGGTTTTGGGTTTAGGGTTTAGGGTTTGGGTTTAGGGTAAAGTTTTCCATACGATGAAGGGGTACGAAGCAAGTTGGCAGAAAGGCGTTTTGGTATGATTAGGTCCGGGCTTGAAGCCTTTCGAGTTTTTACTTCGGTCTGGCGGCGGCTTCTCCGCGGGCGTCCGCGTTAGCAGGATTGCAGCCTAAAGCCTAACAAAAGTCCCAGGTCAAACCGAAACTCCAAAACCCTGTTTCTGAATGATGTATCCCCCTCCCGCCTTAAAAAATCCTATGGTGAGAGGTGAACGGGTGAGGGTCTCCAGAGGTTTCGAACTTTGAGCTCCGCGCTTTGTTGGGCTTTATACCTGGGACTCTGTTTAGCGGAGTTGAATGGGATACACCTACGAATTCAGGAGTACTTCCTACTAAACTCAAACTGTAGTTAGATAGCATCCCAGGTGCGGGCTGAGTTTCGGCGTTCACTTGCTTTGTGGAACATGTTCTCGGTGGCTTCCTGCGAAGAACATTCTCCGATGCATCCCGATACCCTTTGGTGGCTCCAAGCCCCAGCACCGCTACAGCTCCAAATGGGGCTCTAATTAGCTACAGTTTGGTAGGAAATCCCTTAACTAGCAGGTAGAACTCTTAAAACTGTAGGTAAAAGAGCGTCCCTGCTATCTACCCTGCAGTTCAGAATTTGCGCGAGAGCAGGGTGTTGCTCGGTTTCGCAGGTTCAAGAAGCTCTTCGTCAACCAGGGACAGGCGGACTTGCAATAGCCCGTAAGCCCCCAAACCCAGAACCAAACCCTTCTATTTCAGGCGCCTAGCGTTCACGTGCAGATGTTTTGGCCCTATAGAGCCAAGACCCTGAACCTTATTTATATGCAGAAGTCATAGACTCTATAGACGGGGTTGAATTGCTGCATGTTTCGTGCCGTAGTCGTCATGAACATCCCTGTAGCACAGCAATGCGGGATTGAAGAAGCTGAATGCTTTGCGCGGAACTTTAGTTCCGACTCCTGGGCGGAGGTCCGAATGACAGGGTGCCTTAAGAGGGTATTTTGCGGGGGAGGAGGAGGGGTCTTGATTGGTCCTCCTGTTTGCTGGGTGCCTCGTTCCGTCCACAAATTGACTTCGCCAGGTCGAACGTACCGACCTTCACTCAATAAACCATGTCCAGGGTCATGTTTAGGGTTTAGGGTTGCCCTTGCAGGCATACCTCACCTTTGACGGCAATCTGGAGGAGGATGCTGGCAGTGAAGAGAGCATCGATGAGGAGTCGGGTAAGCATGGCAGCTCATGTTTGGTGCTTCGAGCGCTGCACTTATTACATCTTACAGTTACTCTAGGGCTCCAAGTACACAAATACCTGATGGGGGTCGAAAGTCTGTAATTAATACCTAGTTGGGCTATTCGGAGCCTTCTGGTTACCATTGGCCAGTATAAATTGAAACGGGTAATACCGACGCAAGCAGATCCATGGGTGGGGAGGCCGCACACCCCTGTCGCTCTCGCATGGCCACTGATCGTCCCTGAGGAGATTTGCCCTCCGGAGTCCCTGGTCAAGGCCGAGATGCCTTCCTTTCCTCGCATGTGAAAGCAAGGTCAAGCAATAGCCCTTCTGCCACACCATGCACCACACCGCGATGTGAGTTTACAATTTACTGCCAACGCACGCAATCACCTGTACCTTGCTTTGGTATCATCGTGTCGTAAGGCTCAGCTGCCTCCTGTGGTAGTCCTGCACCCTGGAGAGCCATGACCTCCAAAAGTGCCACCCTTGGCGCCATGGGAGCTGCCTCCCTCCTCGCGGGCTCGGCAGTCGCAGCACAGGCCTTCGTGGCTCCGTCCAGCTCCAGCAGCACCGCCCTGCGTGGAGCGCCGGCCGCCCAGGCGCACAGCGCGAGCCAAGGCAGCGCAGGCCAGGCTGCGGCTGCCACGGCCGTGGCCACCGCCGCAGTCGTGCTGGTGTCCAGCCGACGTGCCGCACGCAGCAAGGCAGCAACGGCCAGGTGTGCCGAGGCCACGGGTGTCACCGACGAGAAGCCTTTTGCCGGTGGTCTCATCGGTGGCGAGTCTGCCTTTGCTGGCCAGGACTTCAACTTTGACCCCCTCGGCCTGTCTGTCAAGTGCGAGAAGTACCTGCCTTGGTTCCGGGAGGCTGAGCTCAAGCACGGCAGGACTGCTGCCAAATTGGATGTTGCCTTGTTATTCTTGTGTACCAGTGTAGGCCGCTTGCTCATGTTGACAATTGCGCCGTGAAGTTTTGGATGGAGACGAAACACAGACGACAGAGGAGCTTCATAAATTTGCAAGATGCCAGCCCATGGATGCAACCCTAAACCCTAAACCCCTAAACCCTAAACCCCTAAACCCCTGATGAGGATCGCCATGTTGGCCTTCGTGGGTTTGGTCGTGCCTGAAATCGTGCGCGTCCCTGGAACTCATCCTTGCTACGCAGCCAAGACGGTCGTAGAGGCTCACAACGCCTGTGCAGGCAATCCTCCGTTCCCCTTCCTCATCAACGCAAATGACTCTTGGTAGCCCAGTGGTACCCTTTACTTTTTTTTTGGTTATGGGTTCCCTCATATAAATTAGCCAACCCAAAACAGGGTGCCCTTATCATAATATGGTGAGTGGGCTACCAAGGACTTCTTTGGCACGGAGAACAACACCGGCCCCCTGTTCCAGGTGTACGCTTTCTGCGGGGCCCCCTTCTCAGCCCGACGTGTTTCAGAGAAAGAGTACCCAAAGAGCCCACTATCCCTTAATTAGGGAAAATTGCTTAATTTATATCGGGATCCTTAAAAAGATTTACAGGTATATTCCTTAATTAAGGGGTGTTGGGCTCTTTGAGTGTCCAGCAGCCAGCAGCGGGCGATGCATATGAAGCCTCAAGCATGATGTGAATGGTACGGGCCATCGAAGTGTACAAGCTGTTTGGTCAGATAGATAAGGGGTTTAGGGTTTAGGGTTTAGGAGCACAATCGTCAAGTGGGGAAGGGTGGCTGCATGGGACACTGCAAAGAAACCGGAAGAACCCAGGTCGTTGAGATGTTGACCACCTTCGCCAAGACGTGCAACGTCTCCAACAAGCCCGGCTTGACCCTCGAGAATGCAGGTGACTATCAGCTTGGCACCAGCTTCCTTCCAAGCGAACCTGAAAAGATCCTTAGTAGATCTTAGTAGCTGCGTGGGCACACGTTACCCCTTTTTTTGGGATACTCTACTCCGCTATAGAAGTAAACGTGCACCCTTTTTTGGGGCTTGTATGAACTCTAACTCAGCAGCTATAAGGATCAAGGAGATGAAGCTGAAGGAGTTGAAGAACGGGCGCCTGGCCATGCTGGCCTTCGGCGGAGCCATCACACAGGCGACCTTGACAGGCAATGGCTTCCCGTGGCTCTATGCCCAGAAGCTTATAGTAGCTGAATGAGTACGCTTTACACTTTTTGGGATAGACTAGAATCCCCTCTAGAACTGAAAGTGTACACTTCTTTGGGGGCTTGTAAAAACTCAGCAACTACCCAAAGGCTCCAACGTAGTTCCTTTTTGGGTTAGTTATAGGGGATTCTAGTATACTACCCCAAAAAGGTACTACATAGGAGCCTTTGGGTAAGGAAGGAGTCCACCTGCGCACTCAGCTCCTCAGTCTCCCCCGCTGCCGGTTCCCTCGCCGGCCGCACTCAGAGCCAGCGCAGTGTGGTGGCCAGACACTGGGCTTTGGAGTACTATACTTTAATACTTCTTTTTTTGGTTCTGGGTCCCTATTATTGCTACTTCTTACCTAGAAAGTATATACCTTTTTTTCCAGGGTCTACTCCAAAGCTAAGGACAGGCCGGCTACAAGATGAGCGCCGCCGTCCCCTTCCTCCCGATGCTGGGTCTGGGCAGTACTTCTACTTTGCTACTTTTTGTTGGGTTCTGGGGTTCCTATGAGAGCTACTTATACCTGAAAGTATATACTTTTTTTGTTCAGGGTCTACTCCACAGCTAAGGATTCTACTGCAATACTTTTTTCCTATGATAGCTACGTATACCTAAAACGTATATACTTTTTTTCCCAAGCTAAGGATGTCCCCAGCATTGGAGGGCATCCCCGGAGAGGAGGAGGGCTTTGACCCCATGGGCTTCTCCTTGGCCTTCGAAACTTAGTAGTAGAGTGGGTAACCTTCAACCTTTTTGGGCATTGTATTCCCGGTATAATCCCAAAGGTTCACCTTTACTTCCCCTAGGATACTGGACAGCTAAGGAAATCGGATGGCTGCGTGAGGCAGAGCTCAAGCACGGGCGTGTTGCAATGCTCGCGACCGTTGCTTTGTCACAGTTGCATACCATTTTGCATTTCTAAGGTTACTTAAACCCCATAAGGAATCAAGAGTTGCATGTTTTTGTCTTATCCCAACCATGCACTCCAAAACCCTAAACCCAACTTAGTTTTTTGCATATTATCCCAACTATGAACTAGGTTGGCTGGATCACCACGGACCTGGGATATCGAGTTCCCGGCGACGCCTTCCAGGTTTCGACCATTGAAGCCCATGACGCCATGGTGAAGTTCGGGGGAACCTTGGAGCCCTAAGTAAACCCCAAAAGGGTTTAGGGTTTAGGGTTTAGGGTTTAGGGTTTAGGGTCATATTACCTAACTATAGTAGTAATACGGCATAGATGAACCCCACTTTTAGGGTTCATCTGGTCCCCCAAGGAATGCCGCAGATCCTCATCTGGTGCGGGCTCCTGGAGGTGCTCGGGCTCTTCGCCTACGTGAACATGCGCGAGGGCAAGACGGATCGCAAGCCCGGCGACTTCGGCCTTCGTGGTTTCTACCCTAGCGATGCAAAAGGCCCAGAGCTCAGCTGCGGCAGCTCGTAGCAGGAGCAGCTACTCAGCTGTTCCCTTCTTCTTCGTTTGAATGGGTGCAGCATGCAGCATGCAGCATGCGCTGTGGCTCATGTTGTTAAGACACCCAGCTTGTGGAGTTTTTTCCTGTGTCTCCGCAGCATTGCACAAGCGACGTCACCGCCGAAGCTCGAGCCAAGAGCGTTAAAGATCGGATTCAGCTTCACCCCAGACCCTATAAGCTCCTACACCCCTAAACCCCTACACCCTAAACTCTACACCGCTGCTCAGCGCAGTTTGCACATCACTTTGCGTGCCCAAAGCACCAAGGCCAGTATGAGATGCAGGTGAAGGAGCTCCGCAACGGCCGCCTGGCCATGCTGGCCTTCTCCGGCATCGTCACGTCCGCCGTTCTTACCCAGGAACAGTGGCCAGGTAGGCCCTTGGGAGATTTTGTGTTTTCCCCTATATTGGGGTTCGGTTTAAGAGGATGATATTCAGGAATTCCCTTTTAATCGGGTTTAAGAGGATCATGTTTACAGTTTACAGGAATCTACAACATTTTTCAAGAGGGTTGAATTATGAGAGCCCTATCCTAAGGTGGCCTTTCTTCGATGCGGCCATCTCTGCCTTGCCTCGAAAGGACGAGGCCCGGTCGGGCGCCGCCTTCTGCGGCTCTGCGGCCCCCGAGCGTGCGGGCCGAACTCTGCGCCAGGCATCCTCCTCCAAGAGCTTCGTGGTAGCCCAGGGGGTGTACCCTTTTCCCTTTTCTTTCTCAAGGCTCCCTTAGGCTAGCTACAAGGTCCTTTTGTATGGGCCCTTAAAAGGTTCCCTTATAAAGTAAGAAAGGGTGCCCTTATATGTATATATATATACATATATATTTCTTTATGTATTTATTTACATATAAATATAAATATATATATATATATATATATATATATTTATTTATTTATTTATTTATTTATTTTTGTTTATTTATTTACATATATATATATATATACTGGTTGCTGGGCGACCAAGGCTTGCCTTTCCTGCCCAAGCCCGCAAACCTGGGCGGACTTGCGGCTTCGGGACACTTGGAAATGTTTTTTGATTAGGTACTCTCTCTAATTCCTAAGAAACAGCTAAAGTTACAATTTTTGTTAGAGTTCCAAGTCCAGTTTCTAAACATTTCTAAACCCTAAACCCTGAACCCTAAACCCTAAACCCCAAAATAGGTGGGAGGCGAGGCGGAGTTCGATCCTCTTGGCTTCTCGGACTTGATCGACGTCAGGTGGCTTCGTGAAGCCGAGCTGAAGCACGGCCGCGTGCGCCTTGGCAGCCCAGTGGTGTTTAGGGTTTAGGGTTTAGGGTTTAGGGTTTAGGGTTTAGGGTTTAGGGTTTAGGGTGCCCTTTACCCTCTTTTTTTGCTGGTTATTGGTTCTCATACACAGTAACGAACTCCAACAGAGGATACGGAACTTGGTAGCCCAGTGCCCTTTACCCTCCTTTTCTTTTGCTAGGGTGCCCAGTAGTACCCTTATTCCCTTTTTTTGGGGGGGTTTAGGTTCCCTTATAAACCCCTTTAAGCAAAAAAGGGCACCCTTTTTAAGCCTTGGTTACTGGGCAGCCTAGTTTGGTTGATCATGGGTTCCTCTTTTTTGTCTAGGGTTTTGGGTTTAGGGACTTTAGGGTTTAGGGTTTAGGGATCCTTTTTCTTTCGTTATGGGCCCCCTTATAAAGTAACTAACTCCAAAGAGGGTGCCCTTCTTATAGTATCCACCTTAGAAAAAAGTAACGAACCCAACAAAAGTGCCCGAAGCCCTAAACCCTAAACCCTAAACCCTAAACCCTAAACCCTGACAAGGTGCATGCTCGCAACCATCGGCTTCGTTGCCGAGCAGTACTGGCAGCTTCCGGGCTTCGACGGGGCGGAGGACGCCCTCCAGGCCATCTACACGGCCCCCTTGAATCTGGGTGTAGGCCTTTAAAGGAAAGGGTTTAGGGTTTGGGGTTTAGGGTTTAGGGTTTAGGGTTTAGGGTTTAGGGTTTAGGGTTAGGGTTTCGGGTTTCAGGTTTCGGGTTTAGGGTTTAGGGTTTAGGGTTTAGGGTGCTATGCCTCCAATATGGTGGAGGTGAAGATCTGGCTAGACTTGAGTCCAGTAGCAAAAAGGGTTTAGGGTTTAGGGTTATACTTTCCCTTATATTATTGGGATTTAAGAGGATCATATCTAGGAGACTGCCCCCTTGAATCTCGGTAGGCCTTAAAGGGACATGTCTATACTTTCCCTTATAATTGGGGGTTTAAGAGGATCATATTTGGGAAGATGTTTTCATGCTTTCCCTTATAGTGGGGTTTAAGAGGATCATAGTTAAAGGAATATTTTTCAGAAGGGTCTTAAACCATAGACCCTAAGCCCTAAATCCTAAACCCTGAACCCTAATTTTAAAACCCTAAACCCTAAACCCTAAACCCTAAACCCTAAACCCCACCGAGTGTGAGCGATTAAACCCTAAACCCTAAACCCTAAACCCTAAACCCTAAACCCTAAACCCTAAATAAACCCTAAACCCTAAACCCAAACCCTGTCGTAAGGGCCATCCTAGGAATGCCACCGGGGTCCTGCTCTTCCTGTGCGGCTACATTGAGAGCTCGACCTACGGAGGAAAGATCACGATGCTGGACATGTTCCTTACTGTTGGTGAGTAGGGTTTAGGGTTAGGGTTAAGGGTTTAGGGTTTAGGGTTTAGGGTTTAGGGTTTAGGATCCCTCTTTCTGGGTTTCTATACAGGGATGTAGGGCAACCTGCGCAGAAAGGTTCGAGGGAGAGGGCGCCAAGCGCGAGCCCGGCGACCTGAACTTCGGCAAAAGATTCCTCCCGACAGACAAGGCCTTTAGGGTTTAGGGTTGAGGGTTGAGGGTTTAGGGTTTAGGGTTTGGGGTTTGGGGTTTAGGGTCTAGGCTGGGTAGTTCACCTTGTATATAACCTTTTTGGTTTTATATATACATATATACACATACATATATATATATATATATACTCTTGCTTAAAAAGGCTTGGTTTCTAAGAGGCAAAGGCCGAGGAGCTGATGGTGAAGGAGCTGAGCAACGGGCGCCTGGCCATGCTGGCCACTATATCCCCCTTGGGAATCATTTTTTTTATTTTTGTTTATATAAAACCCTAGAGGTTGCAGGGTTTAGGGTTTAGGGTTTAAGGTTTAGGGCTTCTTTATTCAGGCTCTAAAAGGGGGCGTATAGGCCATCTCCGGCATGATCCACCACAACCTGGTTGTCAAGGGGCCCCTCTTCCCACTCTTCCCCGAAACTTGGCTTTCTTGTAAGGCCGGCTCTTTTTAGGACTTTAGGGTTTAGGATTTAGGGTTTAGGGTTTTTGGACTTTATATGACCTTTTGGGTTATTGTAGAAGCTACAAGAAGCAGCCTAAACATTAAGCATTTAGGAGGGTTCAGAAGTCACCCTAAACCCTAAACCCTAAACCCAAAAGTCAGCCAAGGAGGGCTACGTGGGACCCCAGGGCTCCTGGGACCTGGACTCCACCGCCGGGGCACTGAACAGCGGACGATGGGGCCTGTAAGCGTCGGGCGGTAGCCTGCCAGCAGGGTTGTAGCGATATATGAATAGGATGTTCTGCCCTGACGGCCCATGTATAGAGTCATACCATGTGCTGTCCAGAATCATCTTTCTAATTGACTAGGCCCCATAAAATTTTAGGCCCAGCCTGCATGCTGAAAGGATCCCGGCCTGATTTTTTGAGCCGGCGATACGCCGGACAAAGACACCCCCCCTGCTGGGACCATTTCAGGTGATTGGCCAACCAGGCGACAACATGGTTTAGGGTTTGGGGTTTATAGGGTTTAGGGTCAGGGAAATCAATCAGCGCGAGCATGGTAGGAGCGACGGTGACCAGAACAAGGGTAGCAATCAATTGACTGAACCAACCCCACTGCGTGGCGGTTCGGCTTCCTAACTGGCTAGCCTAGCCTTTAGGTTATGTTCAGAGTTGCGCTTGTTGGCTGACTGAATTAGTCCTGGGTTTGGACCCATCACTCAGGACGCCCGGACCCTCTTGGTGCTAGTGCCAGGGTCCAAAACACGTCCGCTGCCCGACGCTGCCCGAGCTTTCCTTGTGGAGTGCGCAATCATCGTGGCATGCATTGGCATCTGTGCATTTGTGCTTCTCTACGTCTATAAATCTGTGGTCCCCGAAGCTGGTACCGGACACCGTTTCGAGATTCGGGTGGTTTCAGGTTTGAGGCTTATCTGAGTCAGCACAGAGCTATGGCAAACTTAGTCCTGAAACGTAAACGCACTGGGCTTGCCAGGAAGTGCAGGAGCGTCTGCAGTTGCCTTCTTTGGCCGGTGGCCTCAGAGACTCACCAGCGCTGCAAGTCTTAGCGGCAGCGCAGGGAGTCTGAGGGTGCGGGTCAAAAGTCTAGGTATGTAACTGGGTGCCGGGCGTCTTTCCGCTTTGTCACAAAGCTGTTCTGCTTGCGACAGGCAGCGTCCGCGACAAACCTCCGCGACAAGCCTTTGCGACAAGCCCCTTCTTGGAACTGCAACCTTCCGACTCTGCAGGCATTTAGACAGCGCGCGAAACAGCCGCAACAACGCGACATGCCCCTATTTAGACCCACAACATGCGTGCCAACACGCCGCTCACTAAATTGGGAGTATGACGAAGCTCGCCCACCAAAGGATCTTAGGCGTGCAGGATTGTGGGAGTATAAGTTCAGTAACCTAGTTTCCATGTGCCGAGCTGCGCTGACAGGTTTGGAATTTTAGAGGTCAGGGGCCACACTATGTATGGGAAGATCAGGTAGTCTAATGGTCTGAGACCCGGAAGATCCATGTGCATCAATCGTATACACTCGGGGCCCAAGTCAACCCTGGATCGGTCTCTGGAAGCTTTTTGGGTTTTTTTGGTATGGGAGGCCGGGCCAAGGGGGGGGATGGTTTACAGGGTGCGAAGCAAATGGGTTCTACAGGTTTATCGGCTTTGGAGTGGAGAAGTAACTGCCATATCGTTGTTTCGCTCCGCGCCGTGTGCCACCGTTGAAGATCGAAACTAGAGCTTGGCCGTTGAAACTCAAGAAACAAAATCGTCGTCCCTTCTTATTGTCTTGTACTGCAGTGGAGGTGGGGAGCCGCAACAGATGGGTTTTGAAAGTTTAGGGTTTCATCCCATCACCCTAATATCAAATATTCCCCATGCACTGTAGCATATGTAACTATAATGAGCATACAATCTTAGGGGGATTGGGGGGTAGGGGTTAAGATTGTAGGGAAAGGTTTATAGGTTTGAGAGAGCCGCCTTGAGAACAGCTACTCTAGGGGTCGGAAGACTTGATTGCTACAAGTAATCGTATTCCATCAGTGTCCTTTTATAGTTATACTACAATAACTCAATAACCCCCAAAACCTCATTCTAATTATTACGAATAGTATTCCCTTAGGGTCCCTTTATGGTTACAATACTATACTAACCCCCAAAACCTCATTCTAATTATTACTAATAGTATTCCCTTAGGGTCCATTTATGACTACAACACTATACTACCCCCCAAAACCTCATTCTAACTAGTAAGGCCCCTATTACTAAGCACTTCAGGAGGAGCTCGAGGACGACGAGCGTCGCCATGGGCCCGGAAGATTGCAGAGGGCGTCGAATGATTCGAGTGCCTCGAGTTTAGGGTTTAGGGTTTAGGGTTTAGGGTTTATTGGGTGCAGGGTTTACGGAGCAAGCAGAATTTGTAAATGTCTATAACATAGGGGCTAGACTTAACTTAGGTCGGATACCTGACCATGTACCCAGTCCACCTTATTAACAAAAAAAAAACCTTAAAGGGGGCTTTCCGGAAATGCCCACATGCCTTCATCAAGGTACCTTTTGAGGTACCTTGGGGGAAATCTTAAATCTCAAACCCTAAACCCTAAACCCGAAGCCCTCTAGACCTCTCAGAGTCTGCGTAGGGTAGATCCGAAGTCTTGGCCGAGCCCCTGAAGAACCTTAGACCCTATGCGTATGTTCCCCCTTATACAAAGAGTTCTTTAGTAGGGATTGTAGGTTTATATCAAGCACCGTAAGTATAAGCGGGAGCATCCCAACCCATGCGCGTGGATTCCTAGGGAGAGAACAACCGCCCTAAACCCTCAACCCTAAATCCAGCGCCTGCACATCCGAAGGCCGAAAGCGGCCTTCCTCCAGCAGTGAGCCGGGCACTTGGATGTCCTGGGCTGGGGTTTCGGGTTTAGGGTTTAGGGTTTGGGCTTAGGGTTTAGGGTTTAGGGCTTAGGGCTTGGGGTTTGGGGTTTGGGGTTTAGGGTTTGCGTGTGGGTTTTGTCGGGGGCTGTTCGCGTTGCTTCCGGCCTTGTGTAGGTTCGGGGCTGGGTATGGGTGCTTGGGGGCCTGAGATCTTCGCTGCCTTTCTACTTTGTGCAGATCACGGCATGGACCCCTGCACTGTTTGGGATACGATTTTCCCTTTAGGACTGAAAGTATACACATGTTTGGGGCTTACGAACTCAGCAACTAAGCTCTAGACCTTCCCAAGACCCAGCGACAGATTCTGAACCCCGCGCCAGAAGACTAGGCACCTCTGGGTGAGCTATTTCGGCTGGTGCTCAAAGATTGGCGCTCGCAAACCATCATCAGCCCTCTACCCAAATACGTATAATATTGAACCCTAGCTGCCTTAACCCTTCTACTATCAGTCCTAAATAGGGATTAGAGTACCCCCTCTTATAATCCCCATTCAGGGCTGTTAGCATAAAGGGGGAACATCCCAACCTATGCACCAAGCAGAAAGTCTTCAAGACCATCCTCTATAGAACTACTAGCGTACACTTTTTTGTGGCTTATGAACTCAGCAACTGAGCCTTGTAGTTGCCAAACAACCCCCAGCTCTGAAAGCAACCAGGACACGTCCCAACCGATCCCTTTCAGGTCAGCCAAGAGGCGCAAGAGGAGGTCGCTCTTACTCGAAGACCTGCGGTTGGGGCTGTTTAGGGTTCAGGGTTTAGGGTTTAGGGTTTAGGGTTTAGGGTTTAGGGTTTAGGGTTTAGGGTGTCCCAGTCTCTATTCAACTCTGATTATCTCGAACAGTGAAATTCAAGAAACGAGTCGGGCTTGATGGGAGCCCCCTCAGGCGAAACGGGCTTATCGACGTCCCCGCTTTTGGTTGGCGTTGACCTGCAGACCCAGATCTTCCAAAACCCCTCAATTAAGGAGAAATTATACCCTAATTCGAAGTAATGATCCCTAGTATAAATCAGGGTATATTCCTTGATGATGGGGTTTTAGAAGATGTGAGGACACTTACTTCAAACAGCAAGGTTCCCGCCCGCGCCCTTGCAAAACTTTGCCGCTGCCGTTTTTGTAGTTTAGGCGCTGGATTACCTCCCGTCTGGTGCTAGGAAGGCGAGCTGCAGTGAAAGCAGGTTGTCCGGAATCGCAAGCGCACTTCTCTCAAATTCCTCACCATTGTCCAGAATGCCTGTGAGTATCAATGTTCCCAGCAGGCTTTGCACTTGACATGCGAGCCACGTAGATTGGATAGTCGGATAGTCAGCTTAGCTCACACACGTTCCGCTCGAATGAAGACAGCATGGGCGTCGGAACACTCTGCGCGCCTAAACTTCTAGAACGAGTCACACACAAGCAAAAAGGATTAGGGTTACTACTGTACAGGTTTATGGCCCCTGGCTGAAGGGGAAGAATTTAGACTATAATTTTCTCTAGTCCTATTACGACTCTGCTTAGTTGTCGACTCCTGAAAGAAGTGAAAACAAGAAACAAGGGGGGGCGGAGTTGAGACCAAGTCTCTGCACCTGCCACGACTCTGATTCTTGAGTAACGACATACCAGAACGAGGGGAGGTGTTTCGTTGACTTCATGGCGGTTTCGTGCCAAGACCTGCGAAATTGGGACGTTACAACCCAAAACCCTGGGGCCTGTCTCCCAGAAGTGAAGACACAAATCATCTCCCCGACAGGCGTGAAGAAGAGGACCCGTGGATCACACGATCACGCACGAGGGATCTGCTCTGTAGCTGTTTGCCTTAAGGATGAAATCAACCCTAAAATGGTTTATTGGTCGTATACTATAATAGGGATGATATCGTATAGGGTATATGACCCCAATTCTAGGGTTCATTTGGTCCCCAAGGCAACGACCTGCTGAGGACGTGCATGATGTCGCAGTGCGAAATGTGCTCTGGACAGGTATGGACTTCCAAATTGACGATGCTAGCCCCTAAACTCTGAACCCGAAACCCTACAGGGATGGGCTATTACACCCTATAATCCCTTAAACGGCCCTTTATGGGGCTCATTATGGGGATTATAAGGCCCAGTAGCCCATCCTGGTAACCCCTAAGCAAAACAGCCGTCAGCACTGCACACGGCCTCCGAGCCTGCAGGAAAAATCACAGATCACACCAGCCCTAAAGCCCTACCCCCTGGATCCTTATAGGATTCTGTCCCGAGCTCCCATAATCACACTAAGACTATAAACCTGAAGATCCTAAACGCTGTTCTTTTGCTGGCAGGAAGCCTCGAAGGGGGAGAGGCCCCTCTGGAGTTTTGAGTGTGGGGTTTCGGGTCAAGGGTTTGGGGGGTTTGGGAGGTTTGTGGGGTCTAGGCGTATGGGTTTACCCTAAACCCTTAACCCTTAACCCTAAACCCTAAACCCTCAACCTTGGGGTACTGGAGTGCGTGTTTCGGAGGTTGGGATTGAGGGCCGGGTGTTGGGCTTTGGGCATTCTTGACGTCGGTTTGGGGCTTCGGCGTGCTGCTTCTGGGGTATGTGTTGGTTGCACGCGCCGTTTGTTGCAGGGGTTTAGGGTTTAGGGTTTAGGGTTTAGGGAGAAGTTTCCGACTGCCCCAAGCCCGGATGCAAAAGGGAGAAGGTTTTGTGGGTTTGGGACGGTTTGGAGCCTCAATGCCTGGTAATTATATCTCTGGAGCAGCCAGACTGCCCTAAACCCGGAACCATAATGCACACCTTAAGAACCCAAAGCCTCCTTGCTTACCAGTTGGCTACTATAAATCGCCTTATGGGATTCCCAGTCAACCTAACAAGAAGTAGGGTTCTCAAGGTATACTATGGTGTTTCTCCGCAGCCCTCCCCCCCCCACCCACCCAGCTTCTGCCAGTGATCAAGGGGGCCCAACGCCCGATTTTCAAAGAAGATACATTCTTTCACCGTAAGGGAGCAATAAGGTACCTTAAGGGTCCATGTACCTCTTTATTATACGCTTGGGCCCACAAGTCCCTAAATAGGAGGTACTTTAAGGCCCAAGTATTCCCTATTTAGGTACATGGACCCTTAGGGGGTAGATTCATTCAGTATGAGATCCTTCTCCACGAACGACAGGATGCTGGGCAAGGGGAAAGGTGTCGGCGCCTTGGTTTCGGGGCCCACAACAGGCTTTGGGGTTTAGGGGTTTAAGATTTAGGGTTTAGGGTTTGGGGCCTGAGGGGGATTTGGGGCTATTGGGGTTTAGGTTATTTCACGATTGCAGCACGCCCTAAACCCTAAACCCTAACTAAACCCTAAACCATACACCCTAAACCCTGCATCCTAAACCCTAGAGCCTAAACCCTAAACCCTAAAATCGGGCGGCGCGAACCTCACCATCAAGCCTGGAAAGAAGGAAGTATGCAACCTTGACTAGCTCCCCCCCAACTTCGTCAACCCAGCTGCTTCGACATCCCCTTTGTTTAGGGTTTAGGGTTTTTGGTTTAGGGTTTAGGGAACCATTGCCCCATCGCTGCGAGCCCCGATGCAAAAGGGAACCTTTGCCTTGGGAGGCAGACAAGCAAATGGGGGGGTTTTTACGGTATTCGGGGTACCTTAGGAGTCATTACAAGGGAATCCTACTATTTGGGGGTCTATATCTTAGGGGTACGTTATTGGAGTCCTTATAAGGGAATCCTACTATTTGGGGTCTATATTGGGGGGTCCCTAGTTTTCGTAAAGTCACCAAATTTTCCTCGACATCCCGAGGCCGGCAGATGCCTTAAGCCAAACTTGGCAGCCCAGGGGTGCCCTTTACCCCATTTTTTGTGGTGGTTCAAGTTCCCTTCTAAAGTAACCAACCCACCAAAAAGCGGTACCCTTGTTCAAATATGGCTACTGGGCTACCAAGCGAATGCAAAGCCACCGGAACTTCCTTGAACCCTAAACCCTAAACCCTAAACCCCTGTTGGTAGGTGGTTGAGTGGTCCTCTTGTAATTGGTTTGTTGCCCAACTTCCCCGTAATGGGCTGACTTTAAAAGCGCCCTATCTTCTGATGATGAGTAGTATTGCTGGTATTAGTCCCTGCAACGTGGCCTGAGTGTCAGCTAGGCGGGTGGCAAAAAAACCCTAACCCCCCCTGAAGGCCGATGCCTTTGGCAAGGGCGCAGCTCCCAGTCGAGCCCTTACAAGGGCCCTGTCGTACTGGGATTCAGGGACAAACTCCCCTAAGGGCCCATGTACCTAAACAGGGTCTAGGGTTTAGGGTTTAGGGTTTAGGGTCCATGTGCCTAAAGCCCCAGGGCTCCCTGTTTGTTCTCTCTCTCTCTCTCTTGTTGTTTGTGTCCTGGTTTTTTCGGATTTGATGAGCGTTTTGGAATGGTTTGCGAACTGCTGACAACCCTCACACACTTGCCGTTTCGAGTTCTAGCCAAAAACAGGGGCGGCCCCTCAAGACGAACTGTCTGGTTCTTCATAGGGAATGAGGGAATGATGTATCCTATACAATAACTCCCTTAAAGGCTATATAGGGTACCTCATTCCCTCATTCCCTACTAAGAACCAGGGGGCTAAACCTTGCCCCCTTCCCTTACGCCCCAACAATCCTGACATAGCAGTCAGTAGAGCCCCCTTCCTCTAAGCCCTTCTCCATGCGAGGCAAAGGCAAGGGCGAGCGGGAGACCGAGCTAGGGTTTGTCGGCCTTCTTTACTGGCTTTTTTTTGGGAACGAGGGTATAAGGCACCTTCATAACCCGAAACCCTAAATCCCTCAAAAGGTAATATATCCCTTCTCAGAACCAGCTGGCTCATGGTGTTCAGGGCCATTGGCTCTTGTGGGTTTACTGAGTTTTTATGCGAAAACCATGTGTTTGTGGTCCTTGGAGACCAAATGAAACATAAAAGGGATTGTGGTTCATGTGCGTTACTGGGGGTTAAAGTAGTATCGGGTATATTACCCCAAGGTAGGTGAGAGCATCCGGGCCCACCCACAAAAGAGAGGCTCATCGAGATCGAGGCTTTGCGCGCCCGCGCTCCCCGCGTGGCAACACCAGCCGTGCTTCATATAGCACAGTGTAGTCAGGTACTCAAGGGATTCAAGAAGGGACCCTTATAAGGGACCTTAGGGGTTATTTGGGGGTCATTTGGGGGGTTCCTTTGGTATATAGGGACTGTATATCAGAGATATATATATATATATTATAGAGGTTATATCGAGGAATACGATTAAGGGTTCCTCCCAGGGGGTCCTCCTTGTACCCCTCAAGGTACGTTCCCTGTTTTGCAAGTTTCTCAAACCCTAAACCCTAAACCTTGAAAAAATGGGATCCGGGTTTGCGTGGACACCGTGCCCAGGTGGCAGTGGTCGACGGTCGCAAGGCGCTAAGGAGGAGGACGTCTTTTCATGTGGACATTTCCGCAAACCCTAGACCCTAGACCCTAAACCCTAAACCCCCTGATATATCCCAAAATGTTCTGAACACCAAAATCTATACAACCCTATAGCTTCGGAAACTCCCATCATGAAAACCTCTGCAAGAGCAAAAGCCGTAATCCCATGTCGTCTCTTTCCACGCCAGGTGTGAGGACCTACAACAACCCTTCTATGCCCTCCATAAACGGGGCAACATACCCAATAGTTAAGTTAGGTACGGATGGAGGCACATGCCATCTTTTCGCGGCGTATATTTAGGGACGTAGTACTGGAGTCCTCGAGTTAACCAAGGCCAAGCGAGATGAATCCGACAATGAGGCGTGTCTGCCGCGTCGAAGCAATCAAGGAGGTTATTGTGTAGCTCGTGCAACATCTACTTGCAGCTGTGAGTCGAACTCCTAGACCCTAATCCCCAGCCACCCATGAATTCATGGTGGAATTTGCCCTAAACCCTAAACCCTAAACCCTAAACCCTAAACCCTAAACCCTAAACCCTAAACCCTAAACCCTAAACCCTAAACCCTAAACCCTAAACCCTAAACCCTAACCCTGAATTCATGGTGGAGTTGGGGGATCAGGGTTCTGGGCCCGGGGGCTTTCGGGTTTTCAAGTCTTCTGGCTTTCAGGGTTTGCCGGCTTAGGGCTTCGGGTCGCTTATGTTTTATTTTAGGGTTTAGGGTTTAGGGTTTAGGGTTTAGGGTTTAGGGTTTAGGGTTTAGGGTTTAGGGTTTAGGGTTTAGGGTTTAGGGTTTAGGGTTTAGGGTTTAGGGTTTAGGGCCATCAGCCGTGGATCAGCAGAGGATATATATATATATATATATATATATAAGCAGAGGGTAAAGTTCGATGTTGCCTTGGGGTGGTGGGGCGGCAGGCTGATAAAGGTGAGCAGGACGACAGCAAGGAGGCGGAGAAGGAGAAGGACGGCACGCTTGGGGATTTCCCCATAATCACCCCTAGACCCTAAACCCTAAACCCTAAACCCCGATCAGCTAAGGAATACCGATCTTCGGTCACAAGCATACGGAGGGCTACCTCATGCAAAAGGGGTATACATTGGGCTCCATGGGTCTTTCAGTTGGGGACGGGAAGGTTCTTGAGGTGTGAGGACTTCAAACTAGTGCAAGGCTGGCTACGAAGCCGTTTTGGTCATGTCGGATTTCTGTACGCGAGTGCTAGTGTTATCAGTCCGCGGGCCAGGAGAGGCGAAAAGAGAAGGAGAAAGAGCGCAGAAAGGAGAAGGAGAAGGAGAAGGAGAAGGAAAGAGACAAGGAAAAGGAAAAGGAAAAGGCCCAAGTCCACAAAATGCCTTCAACCCTGATCCCTAAACCCCTTACACCCCTAAACCCTAAACCCCTAAACCCTAAACATCCCTAAGCCCTAAGCCCTAAACCCCGGTCCCAAGTATCCCAACGCCTGGTGAGAGGCCAAGAAGGAGAAGGCACGGAAGACGAAAGCCAAGAAGAAGAGAGAGGAGGACAAGGGTCTAGGGTTTAGGGTTTGGGGTTTGGGGTTTCGGGTTTGGGGTTTATGGTTTGGGGTTCGGGTTTGGGGGAGTTTCCACAAATGGTTGAGGGTGAGCGGGTCCAGGTTTGCTCATGTCGCGCTGTCCGCGGGCATGCCAAGCAAACAAGGCGCAAAGCGCTTCTATAGAAGCCCCCACCCTAAATCCGTAGGGTTTAGGGCTTAGGGTTTAGGGTTTGCCGGCAGCCTCCAAATTCCGTTGCTCAAAAGGGTTTTGGGTTTAGGGTTCCCTAAACCCCATGAACGCCCTGAACAAACCCAAACCCAAAACCCTCCTCTAGCCACACTGTCTTCGCCTTCTGCTGAAGGAGTCCAGCAGCTACTCCTCGACCTCTGAGGACTCGCGGAGCCGTCGGAGGAAGAAGAAGAAGAAAGAGGCCCTCTCTCCCGCTCTCTCTCTATCTCTCTCTCTCTCTCTCTCTCTCTCTCTCTCTATATACATATAAATAAATACATGAATAATATATCTATATACATCTATACATATACGCACACATTTTATGTGTTTATTCATGTATATTAGTATGGTCAGTTCTCCAGGTTATGGTCCCTTCTTGGATACCCAAACTTAGGGGCCCCCAGGAACCCCAAAGGGACCACATTTTCGAGAAGTGACCATACACACACACACACACACACACACACACACACACACACACACACACACACACACACACACACACACACACACGCACACACACGCACACCCACACACACACACACACACACACACACATATATATATATATATATATACATATAAGAGAATATCAAATAGTACCATATAATATTATATATTTAAATATTTATATTTATATACAGATACTTTTGCCCCTTTGTCCGAGTCTTCAGGTCAAGAAAAAGAAGAAGGGCCAGGATAAGAAAAAGAAGAGGAGCCCTTGCAAGCCCTTTCCTCATACAGCTCCCCTCAGTTTTTCTGGCTGCCTCTGCCGCTTAGTTGCGAAGTCATGCATGGCTGCAAGCTTCATCTGCGCCTCCCGGAGGAACCCTGAAGTCTTGACTTCCCAAGACCAAACCCTAAACCTAAACCCTAAACTCTAAACCCTAAACCCTAAACCCATTCGAACCGCAGGGGTCGCGCATGCCACCCCAGACTTCAGAAGTAGAAGCTTGAATTTGGCGGCAAATTGGGGCGTTTAGGGCTTAAATTTTAGGGTCCAGAATGTCATATGTGAAATTAGGAGAGAGTAGATGGTCATGCGGGTCTAGTTGCTGAAAAAAAACCCAAAGGGTCCATGTACCCATAGAGTATGTATGCTTGGGCTTCAAAGGGTTTCCCGTATAGTAGCTTTAAGGCCCAAATGAGGGCTATGTGGTTATAGGGTCCTTAAGGCAGGGGGGCTCAAGGAATTATGCAACCCAACATTGCCGAATGCTCCCCACTAGTCCCTAAACCTCCCCAAGCTTCCCGAAGGGTTCTCCAGGTACACACCTTCCATGAACCCTCCTCCCTTAAGAACACCAAAGTATGGGTACATGGAAACTTACGGAGAGTGCGCTGCAAGTTGGCCTAAAGCTGCCACTGCTGTTGGATGCTCACCTGGACTCACAACTCGTGTGGCTACTGCCCGCTTGCTGTGCGCCGGTTTAGGGTCTAGGGTTTAGGATTGGCTGTGGGCTACCAGTCCGGTCGAGATCTGACAAGGCCGTTGCAAAGGGTTTAGGATTGCGAGAACGTCCTCGGCCGCGGCCCCGGCCGCGCACGCGCGCACACGTTGTTTCGGCATGAACCCCTGGACCCTAAACCTTAAACTCCACCCCCTGAAACCTAGAAGCCCATAAAGCCTGCAACCGCCTTGACAAGCAGGAAAGATGGAGAGTGCCTGGCCCCCAGAAGCTGAAAGGTTTAGGGATTTAGGGTTTAGGGTTTAGGGATTAGGGTTTAGGGTTTAGGGTTTAACGCTCTGGTTTAGGGGCTTAAGCGGGTTTAGGGGGTGTAGGGTTTAGGGTTCAGGGTGGGCTCAAAAAGGTCTCTGGGGTGACATGCGACATGACTGTTATGACAGCGAGATGACAGCTACGACTGCGGGGTGAAGGCGAGAAGGAGGTTCTGATAGACTGCCTGAGCGATATTTAACAACGTGTAAGTATTTATACTACAATAATATGCCCAACAAACATAGCAAATATTACTACTAATCATAAGAGTTTAAAAGCAACAACAAGAATGGTTACTGTCCTAAAGCTTTACAGGGCATTTAGGTGTTAAAGGGTTGGTTGTGAAGGCATTCGGATGCCCTCCATCAGGGGATGAAGGCTCGTACCCCTCAGGTTGTACCACTAAAGGTTCCCCTTAATCTACTCCTTATATGGCCCTTATGATCCCTTAGACTCGTACTCCTAAGGTTGTACCCCTAACCAAAAGCCAAGGGTACAACCTTAAGGGTCCAAGGTGCCCTAAACCCTAAACCCTAACCCTAAACCCTAAACCCTAAACCCTAAACCCTAAACCCTAAACCCTAAACCCTAAACCCAAGGGTCCAAGGTAGCAGCCCCAGACTCCATCGCTGCACCAAGCCCCCCAAAAGCCGAGGTCTCGAAATCGGCAGCTCCAGCAGCGGAGACTTGGCACCTCGGCTCTATAGAGTTCCGTTTCGGGGTTTAGGGTTTGGGTTTAGGGTTTAGGGTTTAGGGTTTAGGGTTTAGGGTTTAGGGTTTAGGGTTAGGGTTTAGGGTTAGGGTCAAGGAAAGCTTCCGGAGTGACTCATCTCCTTAGGCACAAGCTGCGAGGGCCGAAGCCAGTTGTGGGAGTCGCTTCTCGCCTCTTTTCTTTTTTCGAGGGTTTAGGGCTTAGGGCTAAGGGCTCCGGGTTTTCGGTTTAGGGTTGGAAAGTTGGGGGCCACTGTACTTGGCAAATAGAGCAAGCACGAACCGTCTTCGCAACTCCTTCGCCACACTTGGCTGCGCCAGCAGTCCCATACCACAGACAAGGTTTGCTTGAAGCCTAAACCCTAAACTTTTAAACCCTACACCCCAAAACCCTAAACCCAAAACTCAGCTAGGGCCACCATCGTCACAGCAAGCGTTGTAAAACCTTTTCGAAGTACATAGGGTGTAAGGTAGACTGATTCCAGTAGTTGAGTTGATTCTGTCCCCACATTGATTACTACTATTTGCTTAAGAACCCCAAAAGAATAAAACATAATAGGCCCTATATTCCCCTTAGCAAGGAAGAATATTTGTGTTTTTTCGGGGTTCTTAAGCAATTAGTACCCTAAACCCTAAACCCTGACTCTGTCCCCACAAGCCAGGAGATCGTCGCGGAGACCTCCGGTCCGATCTTGGCGCTGGCCAACAGCACGCCCCCTGAGCCGCCAGGGGCCCGAGTTCCTGATTGGGGTTTGGGGTTTAGGGTTTAGGGTTTTGGGATTAGGGTTTAGGGCTAGGGTTTAGGGGTTAGGGTTTAGGGTTTTGGGATTAGGGTTTTGGGTGTAGGGTCCCTAAGCTACTGTTTGCTACAGAACCCCCAAGAGAAATATTATATTCTTCTTTAGGGATTATCATCTTTGATTTGTGGCGGGGGGGGGGGGGGGGGGTTCTTGAGCAAATGGTAGTAAACCCTAGAAACTCTGTCAACCCTGCAGCAAAGCCTGAACAAAGAGGGCACCGAGACTGAGAATGGGCCCTCACGGTTTGGCCTTTGTGCCAAGCAGGGGGTTTAGGGTTTAGGGTTTAGGGTTTAGGGACCCCTAATATTACCCCTCCCCCCCCCCAAATAGTAGGATTCCCTTAGAACAAGGACCCCAATAAGGTACCCTTAGAGCTCGTTCAGTTGTCCTCAAGCGGTGCTGCAGGCCCACAATGGAAACGGCCTTTGAGGAGGTGACAGAGGAGCAGCGCGCGGCACCCGGATCGTTTGTGAGTCTAGGACCCCGGAGTGGGCCCCTACTTCCCTTTTTTTCAGGGTTGGGGGTTCCCTTCTAATCCCCTTAAAGCCAAAAAGGGGGTTTAGGGTTTAGGGTTTAGGGTTTAGGGTTTAGGGTTTAGGGTTTTATTCCTGGGTTACTCCTGGGTTTAGTAGTGTGTGCAAGGCGGATCAACCCCCCGGCTTCCGAAGCAGCCTGTGGGCTGGTTGCTGAAAGGTTTTTAGGAATCCTAGGTTTAGGGTTTAGGGTTTGGGGTTTAGAGGGTAGAGGGTTTAGGGTTTAGGGTTTAGGGTTTAGGGTTAGCCTGGGGTTCAAAAAAGGGTTTAGGGTCAAGGGTAAGCCCACGCACGCTAGCTCTGAGAGACCGGTGCATGATGTAGGGGTTCATGGGCTTCAGGTGGCGAATGCTTGTGGTGGTTTCGGGCTACGGGCTGGCGAATGAAACTCACGTAGCCCATGGATAGGAAAGCAACTCAGCAAGCTAGGCCTTAGGAGCAAGCAGGGTTTTGGATTTAGGGCCCATGTAAGTCGAAGTAGGGCACTACTGCAACTGAGGTCTTATACGTCACAGGGCCGTGAACAACTATACTTAGTGTACTCAAGGAAGTTCTTTTTGCGAGCAGCGCAGCACCACCGAATCAATTCCCTAAGGGTGCATGTACCTAAATAGGGAATGCTTGCAAGGGCCTTCAAGTACCTTTTATTTCGGGACTTTGGGGCCCAAGTATATCTAAACGTGAGGTACATGGACCCTTACAAGGGGTAGTAAGCCCTTCACCCGCAACGAGGGACCTCGTAAACCCTAAACCCTAAACCCCGTTGGACAGGTGAGAAGCAGCGGCGCCGATTGGAGCGATTTCGGGCTGCGGGCCCCTGCGGGTAGGGAGCGAGCCATTTCTTCAGCCGTCGGGCCGTTCGACCCGAACCCCTTTTAGGGTTTAAGGTTTATAGGGTTCAGGGTTTAGAGCAAAGGCAAAGTCTAGGGTATAGAAAAAAGGGTGTAGGGGTTAGGGTTTAGTTAGGGTCCTGCACATGAGGGCCATTGCAAGATGGACCTGCAAAGACACCATGCTCCACAGTTCGGGCTTGGGATGTGTAGTCTGGCGTGGTGGTCCACCCTAAACCCTATAAACCTAAACCCTCAACCCTAAACCCTAAACCCGAATTGGGCCCTAGGGTTTCAGGGCCGTGGAGGTCGAGGTATAAACTTGTGTGAGCATTGCGCGACAGAAAGCTTCATTGCCAGCCGGCGGGCGTATGAGCCAAAATCCCTCGACCTCCCTGAGAGACCAAATGGACCTTAAAATTGGGACCCTAAACCCTATACTACTATAATTCCTGTAACGGATATGAACCATAAACCCTTTCAGGGTTCATCTGGCCCTCGACCTCAAACCACCCCTGAAGATCCGACCTTCTAGCGAAGAATCTCCTCAGAGATGCGGCATTTGCCCTAGCCATCGACACAAAAACCCTCAACCCTAAACCCTAAACCCCAAACCCGAAGCCCTAAACCCTCCCGACACGCATACAAGAAAGAGCACACGCGCGCTCCTCTGAGCATCTCTGAGCTCAAAGCCTGCGATGCGCACGCCGAGGCGATGCAGGCCGGCCTGGCAGCTCACTCCTCAACTGTGGGGTTTAGGGTTTAGGGTTTAGGGTTTAGGGTTTAGGGTTTAGGGGTAAGGTTGAGGTCAAAGAAGAGTGGGACAGAGTGTAGTCAGTGTAGTCGCGGTGAGCCCAGATCGGAGTGCAGGGCTCGTTTAGGGTTTAGGGTTTTGGGTTTAGGATTTAGGGCGAGTGTCACAAGTGAATCTGAGAGGTCAGGTCTGTTGCAACAGGGGTAGAACTGTAAACCCGCCCTTTTTGTGGGACTAAATTTGAGATACTTGACAGAGGTAGGTGGACCCCCAATCCCTTCAACCTTTATAGACCCTAATTACTATTATAGCCAGGGTCGCCAACCCCTTATGAACCCTAAACCCTAAACCCTGCTCATTCTCTTCGAGTTGGTTTACCTTTTTACGCGTGAAGCTCATGATTTTTAACGGGCATCACAGACTGGGAGGTAAGATGGAGTTCACCAGGCTCCAGCTTGAAATGCCCCCCCCCCCCCCAAGCATGGAACCTCCCTAAACCCTGAACCCTAAACAGGTCCCTTGTATCTTTCAGGGGCCATCTGACTGCATAAGCTTAGGCATCAAGTAATTTAGCCCTAAACCCTAAACCCTAAACCCCAAACCCTAAACCCTAAACCTCCAACCCCAGCATCCCAAAGACAAACCATGCGGAATTCCCCACCCGAGGAAGGCGATGCGGAAGGCGATGCCAAGGAGGCAGGGGTTTAGGGTTTAGGGTTTAGGGCTTGCTGATGGGGCAAGGTGAACGGAGTTTTGTTGGTTCCTACTGTCTGTGTGGTGATGCAGCTATTTCCACGTGATAAGAGGGGTTTATTGGGCTTAACGCGTCCTGTCGGCGTGATTTCAGAGACGACGGCTGCCCACCTCACTGGGAAGGCCGTAAACATGGGCAGTCTGTGGGAACCCCCCCCCCCCCCCGGGCATCCACGAGTCTGATCCCCGTGCACCAGGTATATTTAGGCACTTCTCATGCTTTTGTGAGCGTGGCTTGCCCCTCACCCCCCAGAACTTTTCTCAAAAGCGAAGGGCGGGACCCGGCTTGAAGTCAAAGTGCGCAGCCCAGTGACTGGTTTCCGTTTTGAGGTTCCCAGGCTGGTTGCTCCGGAGCAACCTTCGGGTCTGAAGTTCCCCTTACAGCCGGTCTAGGGTTTAGGGCTTCGGGCTTAGGGTCTAGGGTCTCACCCGCGGAACTCAGCAGAAAGCCTATAAAGCCCCTCACCCAGGTTGTCTTGAGAGGGAGGGTGAACCTTCTACCCTCCCAGCTACGCGGTGAGCCCAAATCATCGAATCATGGCGCTCCACTGGCATGGACTGGACAGGCCTTAGAAGTTCTGAGTGGGTGTAGCCATTCCCCTCAAAGCCATGTGTCAAGAAGGCGTCCGAGGGCGACTCGGTGCTTGCCAAGCTACGGGCCAAGGCCAGCTTGTAGGGTTTAGGGTTTAGGGTTTAGGGTTTAGGGTTTAGAGTTTAGGGTTTAGGGTTTAGGGTTTAGGGTTTAGGGTTTAGGGTTAAGGGTTCAGGGTTCAGGGTTTATGGTTTAGGGTTTAGGGTTAGGGCAGTCCATCCCCTTCTCTGTGTCGGTTGCTGTCCCCACTCCCGGTCGCAGACGGAGACCACTAGTTGCGTATGCAGGCTAGCACAAAGCAGGGAGGGAGGGAGGGAGAGAGAGAGAGAGAGCAAGTGGAGCGAGAGAAGGTGAGAGTGAGAGACAGAGCACGTTGTAACCTAGGGGCGGAGAAACCTGAGCCCTCACGTTCTGGCACCTTTCAGTTTCAAGGAGCAGCCCCGAATACAGAGGCGGGCGCGGACACCCGCGGGGTCGCCCCCATGCCCCATGAACGAAAAAAACAAAAGGGGGGGCGGGGGTCCTCTTCGCTACACAGAAGAAGAGGAAGAAGTAGAGTAGAGGAGGAGAGAGAGAGACAGAGAGAGACCTCTTCCACAGACCCACAGTTCACAGCTCCGTCCTAAACAGGGGCGCGCACTGCACAGGGAGGGGGAAATGTAGAAACCGGAAGACGCCGATCTCGGAGAAAGGAGCCAAACGAAAGAAAGACCGCAAATGTCCGTAGCTGCTCTGCACCGTCCGCCTGAGCAGGTCGAGGCAACAAATGCGGATATCAAAGAAACCCAAATACCAAAGAAACTCTTCATGCTCGGCTACGGCGAGCGGTGAAATCGTGAAAAGGGCCACCCCTCCAACCCCCCCACCCCAAAACACGAGGCCCCAAGAGGAGAGGGAAGGAGCAAAACGCGAGGAAAAGCCCACAGGCACCCCGAGGCAGCCATCATCATGAGCATTCAAACCCTAGGCAGACGCCTGCCTCCTACATTCAAGGCAGTCTGCCCTCACTTTCGCAAGCCAGTTCAGGATTCCTTCATCCAATTGCCTCCGGTTCTTCAAGCCGGTTGGCCAGCCCAATCTTTTCTGTAAAACATCAAGGCAAGCATCGGCAGACACTGCACAGGGACAGGGGTCACTATCCCAAGCCCAGCGAAAGGAAAAAAAATAGGAGAGAGCGAGAGCTGCGGAATTGAGATTCTTTGGTTTTCGCGCACCCCTTTCTTGCTATGGTCAACCCTTCTTTCGCCGCGAGGCTGATCGGACAGAGGCCAAGGAGCGAGCCCCTGTGTGGATTCATCATGTAGCCGTAGCCCCAAATACCACCAACACGCAGGGCCTTTGTCACCAAGAACCCGGCCTTATAAATGCTGCTGTGTTTCGGTTCCGTTCAGCGCTTCGTTGATCCATGTGTCGGCTTGTAGAGCTTGGGCTTCAGAGCCAGGAATTGGAAAAACCCCTAAACCCTAAACCCTAAACCCTGAGTGTTTATTTCTGGTAGTTTGGTCTTGTCCCAGGAGGGAGGTACCTCAGAAGAGGAGAAGTCGGCGACGTCCGAGTGGGAGGATGTTTTGCCGCCAGAACTTGTCATGTGTTTAGGGTTTAGGGCTTGGGGTTTAGGGTTTGGAGTTTGGGGTTTAGGGTTTAGGGTAAGAGAGTCTTGGGGCCGTGAGCCAGTATTTCATGTGCCTTGCCAGAACTCAGTTATTCACCATTTCTGATTGTTATCATTGGTGTCAGTACTAGTTTGTTATTCTCATTTTGTTGTTAGTACTGTTGCGAGAGCAACATGGTTTTGCAGGTCAGGCGCCCTAAACCTTAAACCCGAACCCTATAAACTCTAAACCCTAGAACCGAACCCGACATCCGTGGGACCTCTTGATGGCGTAGGCTACGCAACCCCCCAAACCTACACCACGAACCCTAAACCCTAAACCCTAAACCCTAAACCCTAAATCCCTAAATCCCTAAATCCCTAAATCCCTAAACCCAACACCCTGAAATCCGACGCAGAACCTTCTCTTCTTGCCCAGGGAGCCTCGACCCCTTAGGCAAGGAACGTTGTGGGGTTTAGGGTTTAGGGTTTAGGGTTTAGGGTTTAGGGCTTAGGTTCACGTTGTGGCTCTGAGAGGAGGATGGAGAGGGCGGAGACAGCAAAGCAGCGAAGGCCTAAGAGGGCTTAGGGCTTAAGGGGGCAGGGAACCTCCCGTTGCTCAGGCAGGTACTTGATTAAGGGCAGTTTCAGGTGGGTAGATACTGTTTATATGAGCCTCTTATAAACAGTATAAGGTTTATATAAGCCTCTTATAAGGCTCTTATAAGGGAAACTACCCACCTGAAACTGTCCTTGACTTGAGGCTGTTCAGCTACAGACACTTGACATGAGAGCCATAAACCCAGCCTAAACCCGAAGCAAGCCGGGCGGGAAAAGAACACGAGCGTTTGCGATGTCTAAGGGGAGGGGGGGGGGGGGAAGGGGGACCCTAAACCCTAAACCCTAAACCCTAAACCCTAAGCCCTAAACCCTAAAACCCTAAACCCTAAACCCTAAACCCGGCAAAAGGGGAAAGGGGGGGAAGTGTCACTTTCAGAACTGTGGCAGGCCACGGCGGCCGAGAAGAAAGGCCGCAGCCGTACTTGCAGCTTTGGAGATCCTGGGGCACGCACTGCTTTCCGGAGTTGAGTGCCCAAAGAGCCCAATACCCCTGAATTAAGGAATATTCCTTAAATCATATTAAGGGTCCCTTTTATGATTTAAGGTACATTCCTTAATTAAGGAGTATTGGGCTCTCTGGGTGCTGAGCACAAAAAGTGTGTGTATTCGCCTGGAAATTTAGCGGTTATAATGGTTGTAATTTGTACAACGTGTTTGTATTGTATGTGTATATTTTCATATTAATTCATATTGTATGTATGCATGCATATGTGCACGTGTGTATGGTAGATGGATATGCTTATCTGCCGGTGTGTCTGTACTCGTTGGTTTACCGTAGGGCTTAGGTTCCCCACAAAGGGTTTAGGGAGTTTGGGGATCGAAGGCTTAGAGTTTAGGGGTTCAGGGTTTAGGGTTTAGGGTGCTTAGGTTCCCCAAAAAGGGTTCAGGGACGGATACCAGAGCACAAGCGCAGGCAAGAAGAAGGCTGCCGAAGAAGAGATCGCGGAGGAGGGTTTTCCAAATTGCTTGCTGTAGGTTTTCATGAACCCAAACTTGTTCATGATTGAGCCACCATGGCAAAACAAAGTCCGGTTGTTAGGAGGGTATAGAAACCCTGTGGCCACACAATCCCCACTCCTTGATGCCGAGTAGCCTAGATACCCTCAAATCTTCCAAGGACAAAGTAGCTTGTCTCTCTTCCACTACAGTAGTCGGTCTATACCCCCTCAACCGCCCCCAACCCTTGCAATCTAGAACCTGGAAGCCTGAACCCTAACATCCAAACCCTAAACCCTGAAACCCCAAACCCTAAACCCTGAGACCCTAAACCCTAAACCCTGAAACCCCAAACCCTGAAACCCCAAACCCTATGCCCGAAGCTGAACTCCCACGTATTCCCTCGACTCAGCTCTGCGAAGTGGCTAGTCTAGGGTTTAGGGTTTAGGGGTTAGGGGTTTAGGGTTTAGGGTTTAGGGTTAAGCGAGCATACACAAACTCTTTCCCGGCAAAGCTGGCCTGAGTCTGGGTTCAAAAGGGCTTTAGGGGTTTAGGGTTTAGGGATGTTCCCCCTTATACGAACAGTCTTAATAGGGATTATATTAGGGGAGTGCCAGAATCTGTATTAAGGTCTGTTAGTATAAGGGGCAACATCCCAAGTTTAGGGTTTAGGGTTGCTGGAATATAAGCGCAACTCTCCCCAAGCCCTTTAAAATCGAGTTGCAGGGACTGGTTGAGAAGGAAACGAAGGAGGAGGCCGAGGCAGCTTCGATTAACAAATAGATTAATTAATTAATAATATATATATATATTTTTTTTGTTTATATATATATATATATGTGTGTGTGTTTATTTGTTTATTTTTTATGGGAGAGAGATGTATACCTAGATACATATATATATATATATATTCATGTCTATAAATATCACCGACCGATGAACCTGTAAAAAAGGGTTGGGGGTCAAGCACCAGGCATAATTTCCACCAGGAAGGGCCCCTGGGTTGCTCACATGTCACGGCAATACAAGGGGTTAGATGCTTGTAGGCACGAGACGAGCTTTCTTGTTTATCCCAGACAACACTATAGTTGGTATAACAGTATAGCAATGGGCCAGTGTCCTGTACTTCTTCTAGGGACCCCTAGAAGGGACCTACATTACCCCTAAGGTCCCTTACAAGGGTCCCTCCTTTAGTCCCTTGATTCTTGCTGTTCATCGTCTCTTTCCCAATCGTCTACATGCGAGAGAGAATCTAGCAGAAGTTGCCTGAAGGTGGCTACAGAAGAGAACAGCGCGCCGTGAGCCTCAGTTCACTAGGTGTCGGCTGTACTGTAGCTGCATTGTGCGCCAGTCAAGCAGGCGAGCAGTGCACACCTAGGGGACCACATATGACGTGAGCATGCGAATCGTGGTTAGCCCACGTCACGGGGCAGAGCTTACATAAAAAGCGGAACTTAGGCTATTTGCTTCGCATGGTCATAGGCTCAGAAGCTGTAGACGCCTAAAAGCGCTCACCCCAAGATCTAGCCTAAACCCTGAACCCTGAACCCTAAACCCTAAACCCTAAACCCTAAACCCTAAACCCTAAACCATGCCGTCGACTCTTTAGATGCTCTCCGAGGAGCAAGTCGGGCGTGCAGAAGGTGCCTGATCAGAAGGAGCCATTCGCATTCGTCTTTGCACGGCAAACCTCAGGGATTCTTGGGAATGATTTTATTCTTTTGGGCACTGTAATTCCTAAGAAACAGCTAAAATTATCCTTCTTGGGCACTGTAATTCCTATAAGAAACAGCTAGAATTATAATTTGTGCTAGGGCTCCAGGTTCAGTATAGAAACCCTCAACCCAAGAAGCATGCTCTCCGCAGCTGCCCAGTGGAGCATGGCTAGACGGGTGGCAAAAAAGAACCCTAAACCCTAAACCCTAAAAACCGAAGCTGGGTCAACAGCTTTTTTTTTTTGGCCGAAGTGGAGGCCTAATGTTTCCGGAGAAGAGCCGTCATATTGACAGGAGAATGGCGCCGAGGGCACATCTGAGGCTCGCTGTGCATATTATGTATGCACGCATCAAGCATGGGAATGCAGATTCGCCATGCTTTCATGAGCAGATTGAGACCCCCCCCCCCCCCCCAAACCCCCGCACACTTCACATTCACATCAAGTCAGTGCTGTCTTCAGGTGTAACGGCACGGTACAATATGAAATTAACTACATAGCATGTTTCGAATTTCTTGCGTTCACTACGCCATCGGTTTCTCTTTTCGCGCGTGTAGCTGTTTTTTGCGGCAACACCGTTTTGAGTTGCAGTTGGAGCTTGTGGACATGGTGGGGGTTTGCGAAACAAGGGGCCCCCAATACTACTATTTGCTTAAGAACCCCCACAAACAGAACATGATTTTCCCTAGAAGGGCAATTTAGGGATTATCATTTTTGCATTTTTTGGAGGTTCTTAAGCGAATGGTAGAATGTAGACCCCAAGTATAGTAGGATTCCCTTATCAAGAAATGCCCAAAAGGGTGGGTCAGGGGACCTCGACATCGCCCTAAGGTCTTCGACGCAGCTTTCTTGGGCTTAAGTTGAAGTGGAGCTCACAGGGACAGCCCCCGACTTCGGCGGAGCTGTGTGTGTGTGTGGCCACAGCAAGAAAGCAAGGCCAAAAGCAGCACCCTAAGGGTCCATGTACCATAATTATTATACACTTGGCCCCAAAAGATCCCTCATCGGAGGTACTTTACGGCCAAAATAGGCCCTAGAGTATTTAGGTACAGGCTTATCTTCCTTCAAGAGCAGAGAGTAGACGGGTCAAAGGTTACTGTTCCCCCTGTTAGTACAGGGGAACATCCCCAGTTACTCCAACCAAAATCTACCCCCTGCGGGCCGGGGGAGCGGGGACTTTTGAGATATTTTCAGTACTGTACGGTGTGCAAAAGCAGCACACAAGAGCCGAATGTACTTACCAAGCACTTATACCACGGTTGCTTTGCTACACGTGTTCGATTATTGTTGTTCACTCCCGCTCCCTCCCGCCACACTGCTGCTGACACCCTGCTTGCGAACCATCGCCTGCGCAGGGCGAGGAAGGTGACGAGGAGGCAGGCGGTGGCAGAGCAGTTCGGGTCCCCTTTCTTACTAGTCTTAGCCTCCTTTAGGGTACATATAGGGATGTTGGGACATGTGTATTTCTGGACATGGTGTAAGTGTACCTTCTTGGGTCTGAGAGTACCTTATTGAGGAAAACTGTTCACAAGGTTTTAAGTTTTCAGGGCCACCCTCACCCTTAACCCCCATACCCGAACCCCTAAATCCTATAGTCCCTCAAAAGCCCTATCAACCCTGCAAGCCCCATAAACTGTATAAAACTCCTGAATCCTATACATCCTGTAAACCCGAGAAATCCCATAGTGGGCCAGCAGCTTGCGTTGGCAGCAGGTCTATTAAGGCTCACAGGGTTAGTACCGCAGGCTTAACCCCAAACCTAAACCCTAGCCCCTATCTATAAACCCTAAACCTTATGAACCCTATAAACCCTAAATCCTGTTGATAAACCCTAAACCCTGTAAACCCTATGAACCCTAAACTACCCGCCTTGTTGCCAAGTGAAGGTTGGCTCACCCGTCGACGTGAACGAGCCCGACTTGAAGTGGGAACGCCGTGAGCCTCAGAAGTTCCATTCCCTTCGGGACCGCCTGAACCATAAAAGTTTGATGGTTTGACGGTTCATACACACACATGTTTAAGCCGGAAAGGCGTTGAGCCCTTTGTATTCCGAGCTTGCTCTTGGGTCTCGTATACCTTCCAGGGGCTATAGGAGTGTAGGGTTTATGACCCCCGATTGTTAAGGACTGTGAAATTCGACTGTGTGTTTTTGGATAGCATTCCCTCATTCCCTACTAACCCGGGGGCAAGTCGTGGGGGTTGGAGGCAAGACGAAGACAAAAGCTGCCAAGCCGGGCGATCGCAAGCGTGGAGTGCAGCCCGCATCTCGGGGGCTGCGGTTTAGGGTTTAGGGTTTAGGGTTTAGGGCCACCTAAAGCCTGACACCCTTGGCTATCACAGTGTCCAGGCAGCCCAAGACCACTAGGAGACCCTGTGATTTGCTTTGGCTTCTTGGGTTTAGAAACCCTAAACCCTAAACCCTAAACCCTAAATCCTAAACCTTAGGATTCCTTAGCGCCTCAGGCCGAAGCCTCAGCCCTGGGTTTTCACAAAGGCTTGTGGGTCTGGAGCTTACTTAGGGATACTTTGGAATATTCTTTACCTGTTGGACACTATACTTCCTAAGAAACAGCTAATTATGATGTTTGCTAGGGTTTAGGGTTTAGGGTTTAGGGTCTAGGGTTTAGGGTTTAGGGGCTAATTATGATGTTTGCTAGGGTTCCTAAGTTCGGTATAGCTTAGAGTTTGCAAGTAGCAGTCGAGTGGCCGCATTCCTGGCAAGGTTCGGAGCGGCAGCACAACCTGAGCCCGACAAGGACAAAGAAGGCCAGAGCATAATATTCAGTAAAATCTATTCATGAATTAACCAAATAGTACTATATACAACCTACAACATTCATTTGATCAACATCAGAACACAACAATAGAATAGTAGAGAATGGAATAGTAGGATAAGAGAAGAATAATAACCTATTATGGCATTATGAAATATGAAGCATATGAAATACATTGCTAGTATAACAATATCTATCATTATTTATACTTAACAAAGAAATGATATCCATGTGAACCTTTTGCGCTTCTGCCGCTGTTTTCATGGTTGCCTCAGGGTTTGGGTATTGCGCTGTTTCTATACAGGTTTTGGGGTTTGGGTGCGATTTTGCCCGACCCCTTCTTTTTGGCCCCAGAGGTCTTGCTCATGCTAAGTCTCTGCTGGTTTTCAAAGGTCGCCTCCTCACCCCTACTTGCTAGGTTCCGACGACGGCAGTGATGCGGAGCTCTTCCAGGACGTGGCAGGGGCTTTGCGGCTACAGCCTGCAGCACCTGAGCAACATGCAATGCTGTCGCCATCCTGCCAATCAACCACAGTCAACTACCTCGGGGGCCAACATGAACCGTAAAATTGGGGTCATATACCCTATGTTACAATCCCTATTAAGGTCATATAGGGTACATGAACCATAGCCACTTTTAGGGTTCGAAATTGGTCCCCAAGGTGCCACCTGCAATCCAAGGCCCTTTCAGGTCTCCAAGTTAAAACGAATTCCCACCTTGAAATCTCTGAAGCACCCTTTAAGCTGTAAACCCTAAACCCTTAACAAACGGCTACAGGCCGACGCATAAGCATACGAAAGGCTGCCTGGTTGGGTCAGGGACATCCTACCTTTCTCTCATTTCAACCAAAAGGGCACCCTTCTCGTTCCTGGGCTACTCTAGGCTCTCCTAAACCCTAAACCCTAAACCGTAAGGCACATCAACTCTCAAAACTTTCAGGAATCCTGGTGAAATTTGCGCCATCCGCAGCTCGTAGCTAGCGGGCAGGCAGAACTTCACCCCCGCAAAAAAAACAAGAACAAGTACAGTATATGTATATATCTATACATAATATATATATATATATATATATACGCGTACGTATATTTACATATACATGTATACACATGTGTATATATGTATATACAATACACAGACGCCACTATGAGCCTGTGTTGATGCACCGCCAAGGGCCCCCCAGCTGCTGACCCCTCACCCTAAACCCTAAACCCTAAACCCTAAACCCTAAACCCCCTCACTATTGGACAGGACCTCAAGAAGGGTGCGCCGGCCGAAGCAGCGCAAAAAGAGGCTCCTGCTGCCCGGGGAGTCTATTTCTCTATCCCCCCTTGGAATTTTTATATTTTTGTTTATATAAAACCCAAGAGGTTATTATACATATATTTATTAAGGTTCTAAGGGGAGTCTATTTCCCTAAGGGTCCATGCACCTCATTATTACATACTTGGGCGCCAAAAGTCCTTAAAAAGGAGGTACTTTGAGGCCCAAGTATTCCCTATTTAGGCACATGGACCCTTAGGGTTTGTTCGTATAGGTATAGCCCAATTGTCATCCCTGTTCATGAAGGACTGTTAGTATAAGGGGGAACATGCCAACCTAAACCCCTCAACGACCCATATGCCCCTGTCGGAGGAGCCAAAGGCGCCGGAGGCACCCGCAGAACGTCCCGAGGAGCTCCCCAGCCCAGTATACCTCACCCTGAAAAGTGAATGGGTTTCAGGGTTCTGGGTTCTAGGGTTTAGGCTTTAGGGTTGGGGTTTATAGGTTCTAGGGTTTAGGGTTTAGGGTTTAGGGTTTGAACTATAAACTTGCAGCTTGGTAGGGGTTTCTGGGGTTGTGGGGTAAGATTCATAGGAGGCGTGCGCGATTTGCAGGGCTCATAGGGTTCAGGTGTGCAATGTGTGTGTGTGTGTGTGTGTGTGTGTGTGTGGCGAGCTGTGCCGGGAAGAAAAGCCTTCAATGATGAGACGTGTTGATTGGGTGCATGTCTGACAGGTGCCGCCACGAAGTCCGAAGAATGTGCAGCACACCCGAAACCCTAAACCCTGAAACTTAAACCCTAAACCCTAAACCCTGAAACTTAAAACCTCTGCACTCAACCCGGCTAAGATTCTTAGATTCGACCTGCTGCTCTGTCCGTTACAGCTTTCTTGGAGATACCTAGACTCGTACATTAGGGCAACTACTAAACAAAGGGAAAGCATGGATTTTTTGGTGTGGACTCTGTCGATCTTGTGCTGGCGACGAAACCTTAATACTTAAGGCTCCAAATAGCACAAAGTAGGTGTTATTTCCAGACTTTAGACACCAATGTAGGTACTATTTGCATACTTGGAGCCCTAGCAAACAGAGTAAAGAACGTGTGCACGAGGGTGTTCGAGGGCGTTATAGAAACTTAGGCTTAGAAGCCTGCTTGGCCGAGAGGGCTGCCAAGAGCACCTTGAAATGGCCCTAAACCCTAACCCCCCAAAAACCCTTAACCCCAAACCCTAACCCCAAAAACCCTAAACCCCAAACCCTAAACCCTAAGACCCCAAAAGCCAGCACATCGCAGGATGACTTCGCCAATTTTCTCGATGAGATCAAGGAGCTGGATGCGGCGACCTGAGCTGCTTAGGGTTTAGGGTTTAGGGCTTAGGGGTCTGTTTCTCTAGCCCCCTCAGGAGTTTTTGTTTATTTACAAAAAACACAAGAGAATATTCAACATATTACTAGTGTGTTTTGCATTCAACATTAGGGTTTCGGGAGACTATAGCCCCCTGAGGAGGTTTTCTCATAAACAAGCCCAAGGGGATTTTCAAAAGACTACTCTACATAAATCCCAAGAAAATATTCAAAAACACTATTTTTTAATTAAGGTTCTAAAGGTATAGGGTTTTCGAGCCCATGAACATAGTGAGAGAGGTTTACAGGGGTAGGTTTGAACGTGTTAATGTTTAGGGTTTAGGGTTTAGGGTTTAGGGTTTAGGGTTTAGGGTTTAGGGTTTAGGGTTTAGGGTTTAGGATGTTTTTTATTACCCTGAATCCCTAGACAACCCTTGTATATAAAGCCAGACAAGGGTTTGGGAAGCACTTTTTTCTGCTGCCCCGATTGGTACCTTTCTCTCCTCAGCCCGAAGGCCCTGAACCGTTGTGGGCGCAGGAACGGGGGCCGAGACCCAAAGAGCCCAATACCCCTTAATTCAGGAATATTCCTTAAATCCAATTAAGGATCCCTTTATAATTTAAGGCATGTTCCTTAATACCCCTGAATTCAGGAATATATATTAAATCCAATTTAGGATCCCTTGATAGTTTAAGGCATATTCATTAAATAAAGAGTCTTGGGCTCTCTGGGGAGCTGTCCGACATGCTTCGAGCGCCTGGGAGGCGTTGACGGGGCAGGAGCCATCTGCGGACGCCTGCGCCCTGGAATCTTACGGGGCAGTCGCTCCAGGTCAGCAGGTTAGTGGTGTTAAGGGTAGTGGTGTTAAGGGTTTAGGGTTTAGGGTGCAGGCCAGTGGTGTTGAGGGGTTTGGGTGGGCTGCTGGCTTCAGGAATGCCACTCAACACTCCCCCGTTTCGGGTCTAGAGGGCTGTGTTGGGATGTTCCCCCGTATACTCACAGTCCTTAATAACTAGGGATTCTCGGATCCCATATTATAATCCCTATTAAGGACTGTTAGCTAGCATAAGGTCATGAGGGGGAACATCACAGCCGTGTCTCAACGAGTTGGTTCTCCCACAACTCGCCTCTTTGGCCCGGGTGCAGGCTTATAGGGTCCTTAAGGGAGAGGGGTTCAAGGGGGGTACCTAGGGAACCTGAGGGAAGCTTAGGCGGCCTTTGGAGTAGGGAGTATTAGGGAACCTGTTCTCCTAACAGTCCATGTACCTCATTAATTGTATACTTGGGCCCCAAAGCAGCCCCTTATATGGGAAGTACAGTCAGGCCCAAGTATTCCCGATTAGGTACTTGGACCGTTAGGGTACTTGGACCGTTAGGGTTACATACCCTCCTTGATAAACCCTAAACCCTAAAACCTAAACCCTAAACCCTAAACCCTAAACCCCTTAAGATCCCTTGGAAAAGGCTGACAAGATCGAGGAGCTGTTCCAAGCCGCCGACGAGGCCCACACCCTCCCTGGTCGCTCTAACACCCTCATGTCGAGGAGGCTCAGAAAGAAAGGCAAAAACGGGTGTAGGGTTTAGGGTTTAGGGTTTAGGATTTATAGGGCTTAGGCCGACTGACGGAATGCAAATACATGTTACATACATAATATGTAGATCTAGATGGGCTATAAGGTTTAGTCCTGAAGGGTATCGGTCCTTCAGAGGCCTTCTGGGGACCGTCCAAAGTCTCAGCCGTGCTGCTTTAGATAAAGAAGCCGAGCGTAGACTCTTGAGAACCCCGGCCTGTGCCACGCCTCGTGCAACAAGCACCTAGCCAGACCCCTCTTGTTAAAAAAAAAACAAAAGATTCCTCTCCTTCACAGACGCACGATGTGGAGGTCGCTTCTCACCACATTTTGTCTTTTGAGTCTTGCTTCCTGCCCTGACAATGGACCCTAGTTGCTACTCTCAATCCAGGCAGAAGAACTCCCCCCCCCCCCCCCCGCAACCGCCGCGCCGAGTAAAGCACGATAGGGGTCGGAATGATTACTAGTAGTATTCCCCTATGGCCCCTTTGTAATTATACTACAATATCCCCCCCCAAAACCCCTATCCTAATCATCAAGTCCTCGATACTATGGGACTATGGGGTGCCCAGGGCCTGAAGTTCAAAGATGAGGCGGAGACCACCAAGGCCGGAGGAAAGCGACCGACGTAGATAAGCTGGACTGCATTTAAGTACCCTACACAGCTTATCTCACGGCTTGTTAGGGTCACACACGCATACGTATGCATATGTATATATACATACATACATACATACATACATACATACATACATACATATAATGTAACACATGCGCACACACACACATATATATATATAATATACACATATATACAGCTTTTTCATATACAATAGTTTTCCTAGGATGCCCTAGGCTGCTTTGAGACCGTTTCTGAGGCCTCGGGACCAAAGAACCCTGGGAGCCCTTACGTCTGCCCCCAACAACTATCAAAAGCCCTAAACCCTTTGGGTTTAGGGTTTAGGGTTTAGGGTTTTAGGGTTTAGGGTTTAGGGATTGAGGATTGTGGGAGTTTTTGATGTGTTTCTGATCCAGAAGAAGAATCCCAGGTGAGGTGGGTTTTTGTGGGCCCTTGAGGGCGTCCCGAGGCCAGCCCCACCACCCTGGAGCAAAGCAAAGAGGCGCTCGCACTGCTGCGCTTGCTTTTAAGGGGGTTGCGACGTGCAACAATGGCCCAAGAATGTACTTTCGAGGCACATGGAATCTCGTGTAGGGTGTAGGGAGGCCCCCACTAGCATGGTTAAGGGATGCACAACCCGATTTCAGTACGCCTAGCCCGATGTGTAGGTTGTCCGGCCAATGCCCCAGGCCTGAATGCAAAATGGTCCTGTTCGTTTTGCTGAGAACATGATCAGGTGTCTTTAGGGATTAGGCTTCTGTCGGAATTCATGGGGGGGGTGAGGATTGCTGAAAGAGTCGAAGTCATGACATGCAGCGTCTTGAAGACTAGATTCAAAAGTCGTACTTGCTGTTCTTGCGCTTCTTGCTGGCACCGGGACTATCTCCATTCAATCGTACGTGGTCTTCCGGTCGCTCACTGAATGACATGCTGATGTGATAGGCGCAAACCAGGAGATGTCGAACCCCTTGCGCCCCTAGCGGTAATGATGGGGAAAGCGCTTACGTGGCAGCCCCCACCCTAAACCCTGAACCCTGAACCCTGAACCCCCTCTGGGACAAAGTCCCTGCAACAGTGCAGTCCATGTCATCGTTCGTGCACTTTCTGTGGAGGGGATCGATGTAAGGGCCGGTGGTTTAGGCTTTGGGTTATATATATATATATAATATCTATATATATATATACATACATATAATTGGGTTTAGGGTTCAAATCGTAGAGAGTTTCGAGGGCCTGCCTCGAGCGTTCCGTGGTTCCCTGTTCTCGCCTCAACTCCCAATCAGGCACAGCCGAGCGACGACACGCCCATGGCGGAGGAGCCGCAAGAGGAGGCAGAGGTGAAGGAGGAGGCGGAGGTGAAGGACAGCTTTTTGCTGGATGTTCGGGGCGACAACATGCAGTACACTGCGTGAAGGCAGGCCCGACTACCTAAACACCGTAAAATCCTAAACCCCAGACCCTAAACCCTAAAACCCTTAATTCCTAAAATCCTAAAACCCTAAACCCTAAACCTTCAGACCCTAAACCCCAAACCGCAACCCTCAAACCCTAAACCCTAAACCGCAGGACGAGGCGAAGGCTGAGCCCAAGGTGAAAGATGAGCTGAAGGAGCCCGAGGTCAAGGATGAGCTGAAGGAAGAGGAGGAGGCTTAGGGTTCAGGGTTTAGGGTTTAGGGCTTAGGGTTTAGGGTGTAGGGTTCAGGGGGTCGGAGGTTCAGCAAGAGGCAGCGGCACATCGATCCCCTGCCTCTGTTCCAAAGCAAAGACTTCTATGCTTGAAGGTTCATGGTACTTATTAACTAATTAATACTGTACTTATAACTGTACTTATAAGCCCCTTAAGTGCCCTAATATAGTTATAATTTGGGTTATCAGTACAGTTATAATTGGTTACTAAGTAGCATGAACCTCCAAGTGCACCCTACTTCTTGGCAGCCCCGTGGTACCCTTTTGCCCCCCTTTTGGGGGGGTTCTAGGTTCCTAGATGCTGGGCTGTATCTTTAAGCAATAGAGACGAATATTTAGTGAATGAAACACGACTGCCGGTGGTGCCTTGGATGCAGAAATCAGTGCAGGGTTTAGCACACTCTCTGCAAGGGTACACTAGGCAATTTACTATGTACACTTTTGAAAAGTTCAAGTTATGTAAGAACCACGGAAATGATCCTTCGTACAGGGCATGATTCGCCAGGTGTAGCTTTGCACGCTCCCTTACCCCTGTAGCCTACCATTATGTTAGGGTTTAGGGTTTAGGGTTTAGGGTTTAGGGTGCAGGGGGGGGGGGGTGGGCGGCAGGTGAAAGAAGAGGTGAAGGAGGAAGATGTCGAGATGAAGGAGGAGGGCGGAAGTGCCTCCCAAAGCTTTGGATCTCTTAGGGTTTAGGGTTTAGGGTTTAGGGTGTAGGGTTTAGGGATCTCTGGATTGCCGGCATCCTTTCAGGTTTTGGTGTTTTTTTGCTCCGGGATATGGGACGGCAGAATCCCTAAACCCTGCACACTCAGCCCCTAAACCCTAAAACCCTAAACCTTATATAAACCCTAAACCCTAAAACCCTATATAAACCCTAAACCCAATATAAACCCTAAACCCTATATAAACCCTAAACCTTATATAAACCCTAAACCAACCTAGAGCACCAGTGTCTGAGGGTATGCGGGTCGTGAAGCTCCTAATCGAGTGAGGACACTAAACTTGCTGTTCGTGTGCAGGGATGAGGGAATTAGGGCCCTGCATAATCCCGCAAAGGGAATATAGGGGCCCTGGAGGGAATTAGGGCCGTATAGAATCCCTTAGAGGAGAGAGAGAGAGAGAGAGATATATATATATATAGGAGCCCTAATTCTCTCATTCCCTGCTAACCAACAGAAAGTAAACCCCAGGCTTAGGGATGTCTTGGGGCTTCTGGACATGCTTGGAAAGACGGGTTTAGGAGTTGGGATGTAGGGTTTGGGTTTAGGGTTTGGGGTTTGGGGTTTAGGGTTTAGGGTTTGGGGTTTGGGGTTTGGGGTTTAGGTTTTAGGTTTGTAGGAGCTCCTAGACCCTAAAGTCCAAAGCAAGAAGAAAGCGGAGCGCTCGACCCATGCCTCGGCTGGTCCGCAAGAAAACATACATACAGATATACAGATATACACATATACATGTATTCACATATACACGTTTACGTACATACATACATACACATATATATATATATATACAATATGTATATATACACATACATGCATACATACATATACATACATACATATACATACGCACATGCGAGAGAGAGAGAGAGAGAGTTTGTGTGTGTGTGTGTGTGTGTGACAGGGGCTGCTCTTGGTTAGGGCTGCTGACGCAAGAGCTTCGCAATTCTCGTGCGGGCCGCTGCAGCTTCTTCAGTGAGCGGTGCATGAGATGCTGGGACATCCACATTCGAGAAATCTGTCAGGTCTTAGTAAAGAATCCTGGCAGAAAAAGTGAATGACGACATGACTGAGTAATGGCATGAGGTTTCATTGGACGCCGGAACAAAGCAGACCAGAAGCAGCATGACTCCAGGATCCGCCAGATGTGTTCTTCAATTGCCCCTGCTCTCTTACATCGTATCTGTGGTCAGGTGTTGAAGAGAGGACGTAATTTGGCCCGATGGCCCCGAATCGATGGACGCCAAACCTATAATTCGAGGGACCCTCAACCCTAAACCCCTTAACCCTAAACCCTAACTCTTGATGGGCTACCAGCACCATGGGCCAGCACTCCGCCCGCCCTTGCTGCGATCCTCCACAACGCCGCACTGATGAAGGCCTGGCTCTCTTAAGACGGCAACCGGAACCCGAGAAGCAAAGTCCTTTAAGCCCTGTGTAAGCAGTCCAGCTTGCAGCTCCCACAGCTAACCCCTGAAGCCCTAGAGCCCGGATCCCCGCCCATGCCTGATATGGAGTTTTGCACCACCCCCCCCCCCCCCCCCCCCCCCCCTTCCCCCACCCCCCATTTCAGAAAGCCCAGTTGAGCGTTTGGTTTTTGGTTAGGGCATGGGGTTGAAATGGGCGCGAGCCCTGGCCAACTTGTCCGAGGCGCGTCTGAGGAGCCACTCACGGGCTTTCTGCTCCGCCAACACTGGGGCACCCGCTGGGAGTGGCAGAAGGCAGGTCGGACTCGGGGGGGCACAAAGTGTCTCATATGGGGGTCGGAATAATTTCTAATAGTATTCTTCGGTGATAGTCCCTATATAGTTCTACTAACATAACCCCTGAACCCCAAACCCCAAACCCTAAACCCTAAACCCAAAACCCAAAACCCAAAACGCAATTAATAGGGCCCCTGTATTAGGATGGCTTAGGGTTGAGGAGGCTTCAACCCCCGGGATCCAAAACTTCCAAAGCCCCACCCCCCTCCCCAACCCCGCAAAAAGTTTAGGGCTTAGGGTTTAGGGTATAGGGCTTCCCTCAAAGGCCCCAGAACTTGCGCTCACAGTGCTCATGGAGAGATAGGTTCAGGACCCGGCCTTTCCTGAGGGGTCCGTTGACACTTCGCGTGGAAATCTTTGAGCAACAGCAAGGTCCTGCCAGTGAGCTAACAAGCTGGCAGGATCAACCGCTATATCCCCCTTGGGAATTCTTCTTTTTTTGTTTATATAAAGCCCAAGTGGATGTTACAATATTATTTTATTAAGGTTCTAAGGGGAGTATAGACAAGTGATCCTGCATCCATATAGAGACCTAGCCAACTGGGGGTTGCCAGATGTTAGGCCCTTGAGTACACCCTGAACTACAAGTGCAGTCGACACCCTCTGTTGCCCCTAGCTAAGATGAGGAAGATGATACACCCCCAGCTGCACCATAAAGATCCAGGCCTGAGTCCTACAGCCCCTCATCCCCCCACCTCAGGTGCTCGCAGATCCATGGCACCTGCGCACGTTCTCCTGGCCCCGGGGACGTGAGGCCGCACCGCATGACCTGCCTTCTTGTTTGTCATCTTCAGACCAAAGGAAGCTGGTGCTTGAGTTTTTGAAGCAAGCCGGAAGCCGTGTCTAATTTGGCCTTCGATATCGGGCGTCGGGATGAACACAAAGGAGGTGGACTTCTTAGGAACTTTTCTCTTGGCCGAGGCAGACTGCGTAGAGATGTCTGAAGTCGTCCAGGCGGGCAGCTTTTTCCCTGCAACCTCTCAAAATTTCTGAGCCCTTGCTACAACCCCTACGTAAAATGTAAGCTGTTATCAAACTAGTTATCGAAGTTGGAGACCCAAGAAGAGCGTTGAGAACTCCTTCCAATCCCCGAATCCAGTACTCCTCTTGGCATGGAACATTGTGTGCCTTGAGCTCGCAAACACCAGCTTTGTAAGCCCTAAACCCTAAACCCTAAACCCTAAACCCTAAACCCTAAACCCTAAACCCTAAACCCTAAACCCTAAACCCTAAACCCTAAACCCTAAACCCTAAACCCTAAACCCTAAACCCTAAACCTAAACCCTAAACCCTAAACCCTAAACCCTAAACCCTAAACCCTAAACCCTAAACCCTAAACCCTAAACCCTAAACCCTAAACCCTAAACCCTAAACCCTAACCCTGGGACTCGCCCCACGCCACAGCAAAGAAACAAGAGCAAGGAGCTTATCAGACAGAGGGCTCCTCCAGCCGTGGCAGGAGATGGCCACAAAAGGAACACAACTTACCGCCCACCCTAAAGAGCCCGGGGTTTAGGGTTTAGGGTTTAGGGCTTAGGGTTTCCCATAACACACCCTAAGGGTCTACTTGGGCCCTAAAGTTCCTGCTTTGCAGGGACTTCGGAGCCCAAGCATTTAAAAAAACAAACAGAGGTGGGGTTTAGGGTTTAGGGTTTAGGGTTTAGGGTTTAGGGTTTAGGGTTTAGGGTTTAGTGGACCCTTAGGGACATGGAAGGTACGACTTCAGGGAGCCGATTTAGAGGGAAACTCCCCAATGGGAGGCTGAAGGAGGTCTTGGGGGCCCTTAGGGGTGACATAGAGGTTTTAGGGTTTACAGGGTTTAGGGTTTTTTGGGTTTTGGGTTTGGGGTTTGAGTTTAGTTTAGGATTTACGGGAAAAAGGGTCCAGTGGATGTGGAGTGTTTTTGGCGTCCTTCTCTCAGGTTGGAGGAGGTGGAGTATGCTCGCGGTTTTGCTGGACTTGCTTGAGGTTTAGGTCTTGAGGGTAGTTTCAGTGCCTAGCCGAAGACCCATCGTGCCAGCTGACGTGACGAGCCTGGGTTCAAAAGGATTTATAGGGTTTAGGGTACCTAGGGTTTATAGTGTTTATAAGTTTCTACGGTTTATCGGGTTTAGAGGGTTTAGAGGGTTCATGGGGTTGATAGCGTTGTTAGGGTTTGTAGGGTTTCATAGGGTTTAAAGGGTTAGGGTTCAGGGCTGCAAAAAAAGGTGGAGAACCTCTGGCTCGTGGATCCACAGGCCGGAGCCTGAGAAACCCTAAACCCTAAACCCTAAACCCTAAACCCTAAACCCTAAACCCTAATCGAGAGGTCTAAAGGCCGGAGTGCTCGAGGTGTACAGGCAGGTGTGTAGGGATGAGGGCTTGTAGGGTTTTCAGGGTTTTGGGCGATTTGAGGGCTTATAGGGATTTAGGGTGTTGGGAGTTGGGAGATTTTTTTCCGTGGTTTTGCTTGGATTCTTTAGGATGTTGGGGGTGCCCTACAGGGCTTAGGGCACAGTCAAGTCATATAGCTTGGCCCCCTTCCTTAAGAAGGAATTAAAATGCCCCCCTGGTACTAGAATCCCGATGAAGGACTGCTAGTATAGGGGGAACATCCCAAGTTAAACCCTAAACCATAAACCCTAAACCCCCGACAGATGTGGAGAAGGGTATGCTGACCCTGGTTGGTTCGTTACTGGTGGTCAATGCACCCACTCTAGAGATCTCGACAGGAGTTGCCTCGCCCGCTTGTGCCAATGTGAGAGTCGAAACCGCCTAAACCGGTCTTGAGCCGGCGTTCAGGTTTTGTGTAGTTTTGCATAGCTACCGGCCCGAGGGCTTTCCGGTTCGGCTTAGGGTTTAGGGTTTAGGGTTTAGGGTTTAGGGACATACCTACTAAGGCCCATAGTGCTGTCCTAAAAAGAAGCCGTCATCAAATAATTAAGCCCTTATGAACCCCCGAAGTCTCAAAACAAAAGCCCTGAACCTCTAACCCCAAATCTGAAACCCTAAGCCCTAAACCCTAAATTGCTGTCCAAGTGTGAGCACTTAAACCCTAAACCCTAAACCCTAAGCCATAGAATTCCCAAAAGCCTGCATCACCGGGAAGTGCCGGCTGAAGGTCTCCGTAGTGCCGCTTGGCGCGCGTGCGGAGGCTCCTAGAGGTCGCCCCGCCACTATCAGTCTGGGTTTCTGTTAGGAAGGGTTTAGGGTTTATAGGGTTTATAGGGTTTATAGGGTTTTATAGGGTTTATAGGGTTTATAGGGTTTATAGGGTTTATAGGGTGCATAGGGTTTATAGGGTTTGTGGGGTTTGTGGGGTTTTTAGGGTTTTTAGGGTTTTTAGGTATTTTAGGGTTTTTAGGGTTTTTAGGGTTTAGGGTTTAAAGGGCTTAAAGGTCTAAAAGGTTTAAAGAGGGCTTAAAGGGCTTAAAGGGTTTAGGGGTTACGGTTTAGGGCAGTCTTGGAGGCGCCTGAGGCACTTGAGAGAGACCTCTTTGAAAAGGGGCAGTTTAGGATTAGGGTTTAGGGTGAGAGTTGGTGTTTTGGCTTAAACCCTAAACCCTAAACCCTAAACCCTAAACCCTAAACCCTAAACCCTAAACCCTAAACCCTAAACCCTAAACCCTAAACCCTAAACCCTAACCCTAAACCCTAAACTTGTACCTGTCAAGGAGGAGGGCTAAGAGTGGAACCGAGCCCCCAACACTTAGACCAACCCCCCCACCGGAGGTGAAGAGACGCCCGCGGGGTTTGCGCTGGTGCGGCGGAACGGCCAGGAGGGCATACCCCTCAATGAAGGAATACTCCTTAATATATATATATATATATATATATATATATATGGGTCCCTTAATAGGATGTAAGGCATATTCCTTATTTAAGGGATATTGGGCTCTTTGCGAACATGCTGATAAATAGAGCGACAGGGTTTGTGGGGGTTTGGCGGCTTTGAGGTACTTCCCTACACGCTGACATCAGAGCTCTTGAGGTTCATAGGTTGCGATGTTCCCCCTTATACTGTAACAGTCCTTAGTAGGGATTGTAGTAGGGGCGACTGTAATCCCTACTAAGGACTGTTGGTGTAAGGCGGAACCTCCCAATTCATGGGCCCCAAAGGGGCGTAGGCTCTAGGCTTATCATCCGGCCTTCCCAGGTGCTTGGTGTAGGTGGCCTTTTCCTTCGTACGGAATCTTCAAAGCCCTTACCCTAAGGCCCCAATTAGCGCAAAGTAGATGTTTTATAGACTTTAGACCCCACTGTCGGTATTATTTGTATACTTGGAGCAGGGGGGTGGGGCAAGAAAGTTACGACGTTTTGGTATTCCAAAATTATCTACGACTATTGCCTATTTGCGCTTAGTTATTGCCAGTCTTATCGTCATTCCTTTTCATCCGTAGCCTGTCCTTAGCATTGTCTTTACCTCTCTTGTCATTCACCAGGCTCTTTTTCCGTCCCTGCACTTACAGACATTTCATGGCACCTTTTTGTGAGTTGTAGTCAACCGTGCTTTTATTAGGGTTTCATGGAAGCAATAATTCAGTCAATACCAAGACCCCCCGAAATACAGAATTCCCTTGAGGAACTGGTCTTCTGCGCACCTTCCCCGGAGTTGCGGGGGCAGTGGCTGGCGGCCTTCCGAGACCTTCTGACCTTGGCGAAGAAAGGTGGAATGGGGAGCTAAGGTTTGTGTGGCAATGGTCTTGGGTGGGCGCTTCAGAGAGAAGGGGGAGAGAGATGTATGTGAGTGTGTGCGTGTGTGTGTAGAAGTACATGTAGAAACACATATACATGTGCATGTGTCTACGAATAAATAATTGTATGTATGTATGTATGCATGCATGCATGTATGTATGTATGTATGTGTGTATGTATGTGTGTATGTATGTATGTATGTATGTATGTATGTATGGATGTATGGATGTATAGATATACGTATGTACAAAAAAGCATGTTGTATACTCCATATTTTGAATTCACAGGCGCGATGGGATAGATGTGTGTGTGTGTGTGTTGAGTGGTAGACAACAGGGAGAGTTCAGGGTGAGCAGCTGTAGTCTCTGTGTGCACGATGCTGACTGAAAGAGCTGTGCATGTAGCCAGTTAAAGGATCGATGTCTGCGCATCTTGGTAACCTAAGAGGCGGAGAGATCCCCCCAAATCGTAATTTCTCCACATGCTGTCGCAGAGCTCAGGAACCCCCAACACGCTTCCTGTGTGTGCAAACCTATGCTGCCAGGTGCTCACGATCCGGACCAACTCCAATAGTATTTACAAGCCCAGAGACCTGAACCTCAACACAAGTATCAACCTATAGTGTTTAGGGCTTAGGGTCTAGGGTTTCGGATTTAGGTTTAGGGTTTGGAGGCAGCAGCCCCTGCCTACATCCCACATGAACTATCTTTGACAAGCTGGGAGCCCAGAGCACAGGCTTGGGGACCAATTAGACCTGAACATTTTGGGTCTTCTAAGTCTTCTATCCGATGCTACTCTATTCCCAATTAAGGTATACGAACCCGATACCCGGTTCAGGGTTCATGTGGTCCCCAAGCCCTAAGCCCTAAACCCTAAACCCTAAGCCCTAAACCCTGAACCCTAACCCTAAACCCTAAACCCTAACCCTAAACCCTAAACCCTAAACCCTAAACCCTAAACCCTAAACCCTAAACCCTAAACCCTAAACCCTAAACCCTAAACCCTAAACCCTAAACCCTAGCAAGCTGGGCCAGGCTTGCCGCGACCGGCGGAGAGGCCCAGAGACCCGGGGATGGCCGCAGGTGCAGCAGGCGCGTTGGCAATCTTTCTACACTTAGTTGCTGAGTTTAGGGTTTAGGGTTTAGGGTTTAGGGTTTAGGGTTTAGGGTTTAGGGTTTAGGGTTTAGGGCTGTTTTTGGTACTTAGTTGCTGAGTGAGTACACTTTACACTTTTTGGGATACTAGAATCCCCGATAGAACTGAAGGTGTACACTTTTTTGGGGGCTTATGAACTCAGCAGCTAAGTACAGGAACCTTACTTGAGGACCCAATGAACCATACTTGAGGGTTTAGGGGTTTGGGGACCACGTGGACCGAAAGATTCCTAGACCTTAGGATCCGAGAATTTAAGGTTCATTTGGTTTTCAAGGGAGGGCCCAGAATGAGCCCCTCAGTATACTGAGCGTGTCTTGGTGTGCAAGCACCCACAGTTCGCAACCCTATTTAGGGCGATTGTCAGGGAGAGATGCCGCTGGGTGGTCTTGTCTGTCTGCTTTTGGTTTTGCTTGAAGGGGATGGGGGGGGGGTAGTTGCGGCAGTGGCTGTTGTGGCACGACTAACCGGCTGCCCAATGAGCAGGGTTTTGGGTTTAGGGTTTATAAGGGTTTAGGGTTTAGGGTTAAGGGACAGGTGCGGCATGGCGGGGGCATCTTTTCACCGTTCCCCCCCCCAAGTAAACCCCAAAGCCAATTGCCATCTTCACAGCACAGCTCCTTATCCGTCCTAACTAAGCCTCCTCAGCACTGTTCTACCCTAAACCCTAAACCCTAAACCCTAAACCCTAAACCCTAAACCCTAAACCCTAAACCCTAAACCCTAAACCCTAAACCCTAAACCCTAAACGCTCTGCGGGTTGAGCTTCCGGAGGCCCTGGCCCATCTCCTTCGAAGGGCAAAGGCCGAGGTAAGGGCCCTCAGGGCCCAGCCCCTCCGCCCAAAGCCAAGGCCGCGCCTGTTTTTCTAATAGGGTTTAGGGTTTGGGGTTTGGGGTTTAGGGTTTAGGGTTTAGGGTTTAGGGTTTAGGGTTTAGGGTTTAGGCTTTAGGGTTTAGGGTTTTGGTTTTAGGGTTTAGGGTTTATAGGGTTTATAGGGTTCTTAAGGGAGGGGGGGTTCGATGGGGGGGTAGGTACCTAAGGTTCGATAGGGAGCCTTAGGGAGGCAGTGGGGAGTGTGAGGGACAGGGGCGTCCCTTGGACTTCCCCTCCCGTAAGGTTCGGGCCGTACTGAAAAGCGGAGGGTAAGGAAGGCCAAGAAAGGCTGCCTCTCAACTATAGGCCTCTAGTTATATCGTTAGGGCTCTAGGATAGGGGTCCCACATGATATGTGTTTGAGTGCAACTACATAACAGTACGCTTTCTGAGCAGGGAGCCGAAAAAACCAGCGAAAACCCATGAGGGTGAGTGGGGCCCGGATGGTGTTTTGGTGTTCACTTCCTAGGATTGTTTCGTGCAGCACCCTTGGGGCATCTGACAGGACTTGACAGGACCTGCACAGGAGCTGCTGCGAGCATCTTCCCGGCAGCTTTTGCAACACCAGGCATCAGAGTAGAGGGAGCCCCTCTCCGCCCGCCATGAGCCCCGACTGCTTCGTGGCCGCGCGCCATGCCGCGCCCCGCGCCGCGAACTCCGCGAACGGGCCCTCGGCAAGGGTGGCGCCGACAGCCACACAGCGGGTTGCGCAGGGAAGCTTGGCTTTGAACAGCATTTTGTTGTGCGAGTGCTCCTTCCTTGGGGAGCAGTTGACGACTAAAACTTGGGACCGTCTACCCTACTTCTTACTACGGTAATATGAACCCTACACCCCCTTAGGCTTCTTTTGGTCCTGAAGGTTTTGGACTATTCAAGAAGTCTTTGCTTGACTCGCGAGGGGATGTTCTCGCCTGCCCGGGCTTTCTGCGGGGATATTCTTAGGGTTTAGGGTTTAGGGTGTCAACGGGAACATCAGCCAAGCCCCAAACCTTACCTGGGACTCTAGTTTACCCACAGCTTGGCAGCTACTACAGTTAATTAGGAGGTAGAACGCATAAAACTGCAGGTAAAGAGGGTCCGGGGACCTAAAGAGCAGCCTCTTAGGCCCTGAAAGAGGGGTGTTGGTTTGTGTTGGGTGCACATTGAAGTGCATGTGGCTTCTGGCATCTGGACCCGCGGTGTGCTCCAAGCTCAGCTGCTGTAGCAATTCTGGTCACCCTAAACCCTAAACCCTAAACCCTAAACCCTAAACCCTAAACCCTAAACCCTAAACCCACATGGCGATCTTCATTAAGTCAGCTCCGAAGGCCCTGCCTTGCACACTCCTGCAGCCTTAGCTGCCAGCGTGGCGGCTCTGCGAGCCCCTGGGTGGGTTTTAGGGTTTAGGGTTTAGGGTTTAGGGTCTTCCTCTTACTGCTGGTTACCTAAATTAAGAGGGTTTAGGGTTTAGGGTTTAGGGTTACTCTTGGTTACCAAAAAGCCCAGTACCCCTGAACTAAGAAATATACCTTACATCACATTAAGGATCCCTAGATAAATTAAGCAGTATTCCGAAGTATTCCCTAGTTAAGGGATATTGGGTTCTTTGAGTAGCAGGGAATGAGGGAATTGGGGCCCTATATATACCCTTTGAGGGATTTCTACTCTAGGGTACCTCATCCCCCCATTCCCTACTAACCAAGAGTAAGTCCTTGCAGATGAATCATAAAACTTAAGGTCATAAGTGTTGAGGGTTTAAGTTTTAGGGCATATACCCTCTACTATAATAATCCCTGTTAAGGTAAATGAACCCGAACCATTTTTAGGGTTCATCTGGTCCCCCAAGCTTGGGATTTTTCATGTATTTCCCCTTGTGGGGAGGATCCTTGTTTCTACGATTTGCTTAAGAGGCGGGTTTAGGGTTTAGGGTTTGGGGTTTAGGGTTTAGGGTTAGGGTTTAGGGTCTCCAAGAAGAAAGCATTCTTCCGTGTATGGGCAACAGGCATTCTCATCTGTTATTGTTTGGGGGTGGGGGGTTCTGAAGCAAATGCTAAGACTCAGGAAACTTTTTTGGAGGTAGGGTTTAGGGTTTAGGGTTTACGGTCTACAGGGTTTAGGGTTTAGGGTTTAGGGTCAGGGTTTAAGGGGTCAGCCTAGGCCATACAGCGCCGGGGGAAACAGCGAGGGTGCGTGTCGCGGCAGTCGGCACCCTCTGCCGCTCCAGTGATGGAGGAGATTTGGGTTCTAGGGTTTAGGTTCTAGGGTTCAGGGTTTAGGGTTTAGGGCAAGTTTAGGGTATAGGGTTTAGGGCAAGTTTCGGGTTTAGGGGTGGTGCCCTTTTGACTCTTTCTGGTTCATAGGTTCCCGTATATCGTAACCAATCTCAAGAATGGCACCCTTATTGTAATATGGCACTGCAGAAACCCTAAACCCTAAGCCCTAAAACCCTCATCCCTAAACCCTACCAAGCATTTGTAACCTTACAAGCTAAAGGTTGATCTTTGGAAGCTGTCTCGGATGCTTGACGGTTTGCGGCTTGGCAGCTTTTACCGGGCTTAGTTGTTTTTGGGTTTTAGGGTTTAGGGTTTAGGGTTTAGGATGACTTTCGAAAGGCAACTTGCAACTCACCCCTCGCAGATCCCAAAGTGCAACATCACCGAGACTCTTTCACCCGAAATCCCCACATCCAGATCACCACCCTGAACCTCCTACAACATCCCCACCACCCTAAACCTTAGACCCCAAAAACAAAGTGGCCAACCTTATAAGCCCAGTTGACCGGCACCTCAAACATCTTTAAACCCAAGGGCCCCCAAAAATCCGCGCGCGGTCGCCCGCGAGGAGCAAGAAGGGGCCGTCTGCTCCATCTGGCTAGGAGCTTGTGGGGGGGGGGGGGGGAAGGGGTTTAGGGTTTAGGGTTTAGGGTTCAGCAGCTCCGGATCGAGCAGATTTACGGCTCGGATATAACACCCACCCACCCAGAGAATCCCATAATATTAAGAAACTATAAAGTATCTTCATACAAAAGTTGGGGTGGTAACGTGCCTTGCCCACGAATTTTTGTGCCTTGCCCACGAATTTTTGTGCCTTGCCCACGAATTTTTGTGCCTTGCCCACGAATTTTTGTGCCTTGCCCACGAATTTCGGTGCCTTGCCCACGAATTTCGGTGCCTTGCCCACGAATTTTGGTGCCTTGCCACCAATTTACGTGCCCGAAAATTCGTGGGCAAGGCACAAAATTTCGTGGGCAAAGGCACAAAAATTCGTGGGCAAGGCACAAAATTCGTGGGCAAGGCACAAAAATTCGTGGGCAAGGCACATTTTGAGGTTTTAAGCCTTGCCCAAGGGCCCAAAACTCCGAAACGTGCCTTGCCCACGAATTTTTGTGCCTTGCCCACGAATTTTTGTGGGGTGGGGGGGGGTGAAGGGGGGGGGGGTGAAAGGGGGGGGGGCGGGGGGGGGGGGGGGGGGTGGGGGTGGGGGGGGGGGGGGGGGGGGGGGGTGGGGGGGGGGGGGGGGGGGGTGGGGGGGGGGGGGGTGGGGGGGGGGGGGGGGGGGGGGGGGGTGGGGGGGGGGGTGGGGGGGGGGGGGGGGACGAATTTGTGCCTTGCCCACCAATTTTTGTGCCTTGCCCACGAATTTTTGTGCCTTGCCCACGAATTTTTGTGCCTTGCCCACGAATTTTTGTGCCTTGCCCACCAATTTTTGTGCCTTGCCCACGAATTTTTGTGCCTTGCCCACGAATTTTTGTGCCTTGCCCACGAATTTTTGTGCCTTGCCCACGAATTTTGGTGCCTTGCCCACCAATTTTTGTGCCTTGCCACCAATTCACCTGCCCGAAAATTCGTGGGCAAGGCGCAAAATTTCGTGGGCAAAGGCACAAATATTCGTGGGCAAGGCACAAAATTCGTGGACAAGGCACAAAAATTCGTGGGCAAGGCACATTTTGGGGTTTTAAGCCTTGCCCAAGGGCCCAAAAATCCGAAATGTGCTTGTCCACGAATTTTTGTGCCTTGTCCACGAATTTTTGTGCCTTGCCCACGAATTTTTGTGCCTTGCCCACGAATATTTGTGCCTTCGTCCACGAAACCCATTAGGGTTTATATATATATATATATAGAAAGAGAGGTTTAGGGTTTAGGGTTTAGGGTTTAGGGTTTAGGGTTTATAGAAGGGGCGCTCTGGGTTTGCTTCATAAGTAGAGTTCGTGGTGCTATGAGTGGTACAGCGTGGGTCAGCAGTCATATAAGTCCCTCCCATCCCAATGGGTCTGTATGATTAGTCAGTCGACTTTGGGATCTGAGGCTGTATGCTGCGAGGATCCCTGCTAAATGCCCTGTTAGAGTAAGTTCCAAGGTAAGGTTGACTCAGCTGAGTGGTTTAGGGCTTGGGGACGGTTGCAATCTTAAGCTTATCCACAGTCATACAATAGTGCTACTGTTGATGCTAGAAATCCAGTGGTCCACAAACCCACGTTGTTAATCATGAACATCATGTCTGACTCGGTAGTGCACGAAACGCACAATTCGCCGTAGGGGTTCAGGTTTTTGGGGACTGGGGCAACCACGCACACAGTCCTCGTTACAAGTACTATGTTACAACTACTACATAAAGCGCTCTGGCTTCGTGCAGGGACTCGAAAGCAGCCTAGTAGTAGAGTAGGTAACCTTTAACCTTTTCGGGGTAGTAGACTCCCCTTATAATCCCAAAGGTTAACCTTCAATTCTCCCAGGTTACTGGACAACTAGGGCAGCCTAGCCGATGAGAAAGGAGCAGATGACGCCAAGGCGGCGCCAATCCCGGCGGACGTTCTCGAGGCGGACTCCGCCAGCCTACTGGACGCCCGCGCTCACGTAATAGGGTTTAGGGTTTAGGGTTTAGGGTTTAGGGTTTAGGGGTTGACTAAGTGTCCATGTACCTCAATGGTATACGCCTGGTTCTAAGAGTCGATGTGTAGGAGGCACTTTGGCTGCCTTATTCAGGTACATGGACCCGTAGGGTTTGGGCTGAGCTTGATGAATCGGCCTGAAACGTTCGCATGCGTTCGGAAGGCTGAGCTTGCGTGTTGGCAGGGGCAACTGGCCCTATAGAGTCGGACACAAGCAGTTTGCAGGCTGCCGTGGGGTTCTAGAATGTCTCGGGAGGTGGCACTTTGCGCAATAGGTTCTACCATACCAGAAAGGGAATGTGATTAACGTGTTTCATGGGCGTTGATAGCCAACTTGGTGGCCAGTGCATCGCAAACAATCCCCTGTTTTCGCAGCTCTCAGCCCCATGCATCCAGAACAAGTAAGGACAAGGATCAGACCATTGACGGCGTTGTGGTACGCAGCTGTCGAAAAGGTGCAAAGCAGGCTGGGGGAACTAGCTTAGGGAGTTGAGGGTTTAGGCTCCAATTTCAGGGCTCCTATTCAGTCCGAGTCAGTCCATTCAGTCCTATTAAGTGTGTCCGCGTCGTTCTTGGTGTCGCCCACGGGGGTGCCAACGGCTTCCCTGGCAATGAAGGTGCTTGAGCTTTGGCATGCCCTGAGTTTTCCCTGCGTGCTGTACTGTTTACAAGGGTCCATGCCCCTCATTCGTATCTTCTTCGGCCCCTAGAGTCCCGAAGTAGGAGGTGATTTGGGGCCCAAGCAGTCCCTATTTAGGTACATGGACCCTGAGGGCTATAAACCTTAACCCTAAACCCTAAACCCTAAACCTGCAACGTGGCCGGAGTGTCAGCTAGGCGGGTGGCAAAAAAAAACCCTAAACCCATGGACCCTTGAAGGGGTCTGGCCCGAGCGAGCACCAGGTCGCCACCATCGGCCCTGCGTCCAGCAGTGATGAGATGCTGGCGAGGGTCTCGGTCGGAGTTTGCGCCAAGGGTTTAGGGTTTAGGGTTTGGGGTTTAGGGTTTAGGGTGTTTAGGGCAGTTGCAAGAGGGTGTTTAGGCAGCTTCCTCAGTCCGTGCTCAAAATAATGTTTAGGGTTTATGGTTTAGGGTTTAGGGTTTAGGGTCCCCAGTTGATGAGCTTCATTTCAGAAGCCCCCCTCCCCCCCACGGTATAGAAAACCCTTTGCAATGCTGCGCTGTCCTATGTAGACCCTGACTCCTCCACCTGTCTTCTACTAGCTGCTTATTATTCTTCCTTATTAAGGGCAATATAGGGATTATTCGTTTTTTTGTTTTCCTTATTAAGGGCAATGTAGGGATTGTTAGTTGTTATTCTTTTCGGGCTCCTAAGCACATAGTAGTCTTTGGGGCTCTTCAGCAGCTCCAGGAGAGGCTCTTCCTCTGTGGCGTCGACGTCTTCCGGCTCAACTTCTCCCATGGCGTCCCTGGGTCTTGGAGTACTCTGCTTTAATACCTTTGTTTTTTTGTGCTGGGTTCCTTTTATAGCTACTTACACCTAAGAAGTATATACAAGGTTCCTTTTATAGCTACTTATACCTAAGAAGTAATATACTTTGTTTTCCAGGGTCTACTCCAAAGCTAAGGAGCACGCCGAGAAGTTGGATCTGATCAGTAGGATTCGCGACATCGAGGAGAAGTACAGGCAAGGGAGCACCGAACCCCCGGCCCCCTCCTACCTCGCCCTTCGGTCTTTCCTTCAAGGGTTCAGGGTTTGATCAGGAAGAAAAACCGAATTTAGTCAAAATTTAAGCATCCTGACTTTGGCCCAGTACAACTCAGGATGCAATAAAAAGAATAAGTCCATTAGCTACTGCCTGCATGCCTGCAACATCCTGCATCCGTTTCGTGGACATGTAGTGGCAGATGGCGTCCGAAATCATAGCCGCCATGCCCCCTCAACCGCCCCCAACAGGCAAGCTAAACTGCCCTCTAGTACCAAAAACACAAGATAATGATCCCTATATAAACCCTAAACCCTAAACCCTAGACCCTAAACCCTAAACCCTAAACCCTAAACCCTAAACCCTAAACCCTAAACCCTAAACTACTACCCTTATCCGGAAGACTATTTTGCATGTTTGGGGTGGCTCTTAAGCAATTCCTAGCGTAGCTTGGGATGTTCCCCCTCATACGAACGGTCATTAACCGGGGAGAATCCCTAGCAAGGACTGTTAGTATAAGGGGGAACATCCCAACCTAAACCCTAAACCCTAAACCCTAAACCCTAAACCCTAAACCCTAAACCCTAAACCCTAAACCCTAAACCCTAAACCCTAAACCCTAAACCCTAAACCCTAAACCCTCCAGACCCTGCCTTTATGCAGCCCTTTGCATGGCCCCGACGCAAGCGGCTTGCACTTGCTGCAGGCATCCCATTGCCATCCTGGCGGACATGCCCCCTGGCTTTGGGGTTTCGGGTTTGAGGTTTAGGGTTAGGGTTTAGGGTTTAGGGTTTAGGGTTAGGGTTTAGGGTTTAGGGTTTAGGGTTTAGGGTTTAGGGTTTAGGGTTTAGGGTTTAGGGTTTAGGGTTTAGGGTTTAGGGTTTAGGGTTCAGGGTTGAGGGTTGAGGGTTGAGGGTTTAGGGTTTAGTAGGGTTTAGGGTTTAGGGTTTAGGCTTTAGGGTTTAGGGTTAGGGTTTGGGGTTTGGGGTTTGGGGTTTAGGAAGCACAGGATCCTGAACATGAAGCACAACTTCCTGACTCCTGCAAGCCTGCCCATGCAAACCCCTTTTTTGCAACCCGAGACCCAAAGAGCCCAATATCCCTTAACTAGGGTTTAGGGTTTAGGGTTTAGGGCCTCAACAGGGGAACATTTCTTGACTTATATAGGGAGCCTAGATTTGATTTGAGGAAGATTCCGTAAGGAAGGGATATTGGGCTCTTTGGGGACCGGAATAAATCCCTGAGGCAGGGTCCCAAACAGCGCTGTGGCAAGTTCGAGGACCCTGGTGGCGTCGAGCCGCTTCGCACAGTTGGCTTGAGATATTCCCCGGCCCATTGTACTAACAGTCCTTAGCAGGATTACCTAAACCCTAAACCCTAAACCCTAAACCCTAAACCCTAAACCCTAAACCCTAAACCCTAAACCCCCCTTTTTGAAATCCCGACTAAGGACTGGTAGAAGGGGTCCCAACCTTTGGCTTTTTGAGTTTGGGAAAGTTCACAGGCCTCAGGTTGTTCAGTGGACCCAGTGCAGACACTGCGCCTTTACTCCTCAGCTCTCTTTCTTTTTCTCTATCTCTCTCTCTCTCTCTCTTTCTCTCCCTCTCTCTCTTTGCAAAGGTGCTCTTCTACTGCATCCTTTTGAAGACATCTGAGCGTCGCAGTTCACAGGTTCTTTTCGCATTGAAGCCTAAACTGGCCAAAGCTCGGTTCTCCACGTCCTTGAAATTCAAATCTGCAAGAGACCCTCTTCCTGCAATCCTTTTGATTAAGCCTTCGAGTTCCCAGCCCAGGTTAGACGGTCCCGAGCCCCAAAACGGCTTCTTACTCCCCCGAACCTATAACCAGCTGCTTCAACCCCGACTTTGGGTATACATACCACCTTTTCTCAGACAAATCTTCTTTGCAGCGCAGAACTCTTGTCGAGGCTAAAGCTAGGCCAGCTTTTCCGCTTCGACATGGATCCCGCGTTGGGCAACGAACCCTGGGAGCACCGAAGCCACCAGGGGCAGGGGGCTTTTTTGGGGTTGAGGGTTTTGGGCTTGGGGCGTTGCCGGCAAAGTGCTCCCTGGGACTTTACCTACGGTTTTATGGGCTATACCTAATTAAGGGTTAGTTGCTACTAAACTGTAGGTGTATAGGGTCTCAGGTTGTGCTTAAATGTTTGGGACTTGGAGGGAAGAGATGAGGCAAGGCGTCATATCAGGGCTGTCCTTTAGCAGAAAGGTTACCTTAAGCGACCCGAAGTTCGAAGCTCTTGGCCTCCAAGCCCGAGGGCAAATCACAAAGGTAAGTAGCAAAAAAGCCAGTGACATTCCCTTGTGCTGTGCAAGCGGCTGCCGATTTTTTTTGTGGTGGGCGGGGGGATCTACCTTGTTGCAAGGTTAAGGGCGCTGCTTCGGGTGTAGGGTTGCCGTCAGAAATCGCTCAGGAAAGCCCGAGGAGAAGCGGGGATGGGATGTTCCACCCCTCAACTAACAGTCCTTAGTAGGGATTCGAATAGGGGGTACTGTAATCCCTATGAAGGACTGTTAGTATAAGGGGGAGAACATCCCAAGCCCTAAACCCTAAGCCCTAAACCCTAAGCCCTAAACCCTAAACCCTAAACCCTAAACCCTAAACCCTAAACCCTAAACCCTAAACCCTAAACCCTAAACCCTAAACCCTAAACCTACAAACAGCAGCCTCAGGAGAAGCGGGTGCAGCTCCCCCACCCTGAGATCCTCCAGGCCAGGAGTGTTGCAAGCCTTTTAAACCCCAAACCCTAAACCCTAAACCCTAAACTGCGCACTTACAGCTGCCCTGAGCCTTGAATCTGTTAGTCTTCAGGCCCTCTGCCTCAAGGGGAGGCTGCTGCGGAGCGGATGTTGCTGTAGGGTTGGCCAGGGGTCTTGACTTTGATCATAGAGAGCCATGGATGCGCCAGTTGCTTGTGACGGACCATCCTTATCCGACTTGAAAACTTGGGTTCTCACATGGTCAGGTTGTTTCCCTAAACCCTAAACCCTAACCCTAAACCCTAAACCCTAAACCCTAAGCCCTACATGGGGGCGACACGGGGATGCTGGCGCGAGGCCTTGGAGCCTGGAAAGGACCAGCGGCTGCTACTGGATGATGGCAAGATCCGAATGAAGGCAGTACTCCCCAGGGTCCATGTATAGGGTTTAGGGTTTAGGGTTTAGGGTTTAGGGTTTAGGGCTTGGGCTTTCAAGTATACTTCCTACTTTAGCTTTGAAGTAAGTACTTTCCGAATTACTTGGGGTTTGAAGAACCTTTCTGGGCCCAAGTAGATACCATTGTGGCGCATGGACTGTGAGGGCCTTAGGTTTTGGTTGATGGTTTGGGGGCTTTTGGCACTCTTTGGAGTGCATGTGTGTATATGTGTGTATATATATATATATGTAGAGGTGCGTGTGTGTGAGTGTGTGCGTGTACGAGGGTGAATTTAAACTGCGCGACCTCGTCAGACTCCCTCTCCCTCTCCCCCTCTCCCTCTCCCCCTCTCCCTCTCCCCCTCTCCCTCTCCCCCTCTCCCTCTCCCCCTCTCCCTCTCCCCCTCTCGCTCTCCGTTATGTCTTCCTCTCTCCCTCTCCCTTGAACCGAATTCCCAAACCTTTGCTTGCTTGGTGGCCAAACAAATATCGCCTCCAGGTAGTTCGCAAGGGCTTCCTGGTCGACGGCGAGGAGGTGGAAGATGCAACCCACGAGGGCGCCACCCCTTTCGTCGAGTGCGAGGCCGGCCTACCTTCTTACTGAAGTGTGGTTTCTTGTGGGTTTAGGGTTTAGGGTTTGGGGTTTGGGGTTTAGGGATACCGAGATACCCTTTCTAACTTCTAATTCTGTCGCAGTCCGACCCATGAGCGGACACTAATGCAGAACATCCCCCTTTCGCCCCATGTCCAACGACTTTGTGTCAGTCACCTTGTATGATGCCAAGTCGTACGTTAACCAGCCAACTGTTGATGAGCAATCGGCCACGCAGAACACACAGCTCCTGCCCACATGATGGTGACCCTGGCCGGTCTTTTTCCATTTGGGAATGTGCGAAGCTACGGGACCCCCAAATACAAACCCCCCAAAAGCGGATTCCCTCATAATACGGACCCCAATAAGGTACCCCTATCTTCGGGGACAAAAACCAGCTCCGGGTGTTTCCCCGGCATCGGTGGGTGCCGGCAGCCTTCCCCAAGAGCTCCGAGGGCAAAGATGGGCTCGATAACCAGAATCATAATAAAAATGACAGCAATGGCATAAAAGACATATATATATATATATATGTATTTATATATATATGTATATATATATATATATGTATGTATGTATGTATGTATGTATGTATGTATGTATATATATATGTGTATGTATGTATATATATATATATGTATATATAAATATGTGCGCGTACATGCTTTCACAAAGTTACAATCAACAAAAGTCTGGGATGCCGCAGGGTTCGGGGATCTACCGAAGCGCGAGGGCGGCGAGACCATTTCCCCGCCCCCCCCCCCCCCCCCCCGCACATGCATATATACACACTCAAAAATATCAAAATTGTATACATATATATATACAGAGGTATACATATATATATATATATATATATATATATGTATTGCTACATGTGTTTATATGTGCGTATGTATATACACATTTTTGTTGCACGAAAGAAGGAGTGTTTTCAAGGGCCCAGGGTTCGATCTTCAAGCCAATGTGAGGTCACCGTCCCAGGGCACCTGGGAGAACGCAAGGGCGTGAACACGCCGGACGTCATTCTGCCAATGTCTCCAATCACGAAGAAGGCTCGAGTTTTGGGATGGGGGTTTAATGCGGGGCTCGGGCGCTGTTAAAATGGACCCGCTGAGCCAGTCGAACTACCAAAGCTCATCTGAGTCAGCCGACAATCCCGTGCCCTAAGCCCTGAACCCTACCCCCTAAACCTTCTCTTTCAGTCAGCCAGGCGGGGGTCAGCCGACAATCCCGTGCCCTAAGCCCTGAACCCTACCCCCTAAACCCCCTCTTTCAGTCAGCCCGGCAGGGGGGGCCAAAAAAAAAAGGGGTCATACACAGTTTGGATCAAGCCTCGCCTAGTTTGTCCGAGCGCCCTGGATGAATCCTAAACCCTAAACAAAAAAACCCTGGGTGTAGGGTTTCGGGTTTAGGGTTTAGGGAAAGCCCCAGGTTCTTCCATTCGCGCCCTCGCATCATTCTGGATGTATGTGCTGAAGAGCATCTTCTGTATGGTGTTGGAAAGTCCATGGTCCATAATTAACGATACTACTGGCCCCAAATCCCTAAGTCTCCTGCTGGGCTTCGAAATCCCTCTCGGCCGTGTCCTCGCGGTAAGCATAGCAAGGGTTCGGGAACACAAAGCCCCCATTTCCTAGCGCAAAAGTCCCTTCAAGTCCCAACCCTGCATAGACCAGCTTCATGAATGAAACGCAGCAAGGTCTTCGAGGTTTTCGGGTTCAACCGAATAGCCGGCAGAGATCCCACAGAGAGTTCAGGGCCCTTGCTTCCAGGACAGAGAGGACCTGAAGTTCTGCTGCAAGCACTCCGTTGACTGGATCCTGAGTAGCTGAATTAGTACAGCTCAGGGAGGTTTAGGGTTTAGGGTTTAGGGTTTAGGGTTTAGGGTTTAGGGGTACACTTTACACTTTTTGGGGATACTCGAATCCCCTATATAGCTGACTGTGTAGACTTTTTGTGGGCTTATGAACTCAGCAACTAAGGATTGCCATGTCTTTCGTCCAGAAGCATGAGGCACGAAGGGCGTCTGGCAGCCTGACCAAATGTTGGTGCGTTCCCTCAGGGTCCATGTACCTAGATAGTATATACTTGGGCCTTCAAGGGGTTCCTATATGGTAGCTTTAGGGTTCAAGCATATACTTGGCAGGCACATGGGCCCTTAGCATGTGTGGGTGAAAGGTCGCGGGGTTGGTGTGCGGGGTTCGGGGTTCTTTGGGGGTCGGATTAGGGTATCAGAAATTCACTGTTGCGCTTGGTGACTTGTGTATGGGATTGCCCAAGCAGCCCCGAAAAACCCTAAACCCTAAACCCAAAACCCTAAACCCTAAACCCCTAAACCTCCCTGAGCCCGTGAACCCCATGGGCAGGACATGGAGGAACTGCGCGACATCGTTGTCGAGACCCACGGCCGACCGGACATCCGCCTGCTGGCCAAGATCGAGAAGCCCTCCGCGGTCGACGACCTTCAGAACCTGGCCCGAAAAAAGGATGGATTTAGGGTTTGAGGGTTTTTTTGGGTTTAGGGTTTAGGGTTTAGGGTTTAGGGTTTAGGGTTTAGGGTTTAGGGTTTAGGGCAAGGGTGGATAAAACCCACATTGAAGGTATATTTCCCTCTGCAAAGGGTGAAGGCAGGGTGTTGAGTCCCTCCTTTCCATACACGAACTATTGTCACCTTGGCTCCTGATCCCTACAACCCCACCCGAACCCACATACTCGATGGCCACCCAGCATAGCACTGGTAACTTCGTCCTCAGAATTCTACCTGAAAGGACTGGGGGCCCCCTAATCCCTAAACTGTTTGCCCTAAACCCTAAACCCTAAACCCTAAGTCAGCCCTACACCCTCGTCCCACACCTAGGAACATCTTGAAAGCATGCGACGGCGTGATGGTGGCCCGTGGCGACCTCGGCGTGGAGATGAACCCCCAGGACCCCTCAAGACCTCAAGACGCCCTCTGGTGCCCTCTACGTAGGGTTTAGGGTTAAGATTGAGGGTTTAGGGATTAGGGTTGAGGTTTCAGGGCATGCAATATCTATACTAGGCGGGTGGCAAAAAACTACCCTAAACCCCTGACACCCTGAGATGTGATCGGATGTTGACACGATTTGCTCTCCTAGTCCCAGCCTCTGAACTCTTCCATGTGGGAGGACGTCCCTTTCGTGCAGAAGGAAATCATCCAAACTGCCCGGTTCCAGGGAAAGCCCGTCATCGTGGCCACGCAGACTCTCGGCTCTTTTCGCCGTTTCGGACATTTTTGTTCCACCCGCCGATCCTGACAAACACTTCCAAAAAACCCTAAACCCTAAACCCTAACCCCGATGCACTTCGGTTCCTTCGGGCCATTTTGGGTAGGAGTTGATGGCCCATGGCCCAAGACACGACCCTAAGAATCCCATGTCGCCCATGTCTGCTTGGGCTCGCGCGCCTGGTGTTCGGCTACGTAGTGGAAGAACAGAATCATCTAATAAGATAGTAGTACAGTATACAGTATAAGAATAGAATGCACAGTGGTAGAATATATAACAAGATACTCAATATATATATATATATACACATACATACATATACAGGCTTGTCGAAATTCAGTTTTGGTGGTGGAAGTAGTAACAGGGTTGGGAGCTTACGAGTGTAATCGCAAGCAACCAAGGATGTTGGAGACCATGATCACCAACCCCATGCCCACGCGCGCGGAGTGCAGCGACATTGCCAATGCCATCATTGACGGCTGTGATGCCGTCATGCTCAGCGGCGAGTCTGCGGCTACTTCAGACCGCACAGTCAGCAGCTTTTCCCAAAGGGCCCAATGTCCCTTAGGGAACATTCCTCAATGTATATAGGGATCCTTAGTATGATTCAATATATTGGGGCTCTTGGCCTAGGGAAGGAATGCGACTCAAACGTACACCCCCCCCCCCACTTCATTTAATCAGCCCATGCATCTCCTCCTTTCAATGCCACCCGCCCTTCCTCGCCCCAACCCACTGGCGACTGGCGAACCCCTAAACCTTGAACCCCAAAACCCCTACACCCCCCGAAACCCCTAAACCCCTAAACTCCCTTAACCCCAAAACCCCAAAACCCCCCGAAACCCTTAAACCATAAACCCCTAAACCGAAACTCCCCAAACCCCCAAGCCCCCTAAACCCTGACCCTATACCCCCTCCATAGACTCCCGAAACTCCCTAAACCCCCTGAGCCCTAAACCCCTAACCCCTAAACCCCTAAACTCCCTAAACCCCCCCTCTAACCCCCCAAAACACACCCTAAACCCTAAACCCTAAACCCTAAACTCCCTGAGCACAGGTTGGCAAGTACCCAGCGGAGGCCGTCACCATGCAGCGCCGGGTCATCGAGAGCGCCGAGTCGCGCATGGACTTGGCCGCTGGGCCTGGGGGGGGGGGGGGCTTCCCTAAGTCCTAAATACTAAACCCAAAACCCTTATATATACACACACTATATATATATATACTATGTAGAATATATATATATATATATACATATATGTATATACACATATAGTTCTATATTATGTAAATGCGCCCGGTGGTAACCTTTTTTTGGTTCCAGGTTCCCTTATAAAGTAGCACCCCCCCCCCCCAAAAAAAAAAATGCCCCTTATCATGTTATGGTTGCTGGGCCACCAAGATATAGTTACATGTAAGTATATTGTCTCCAGAGGAGCTCAGGAAGTAGGTTTTCCTTTTATCGACATAAAGACTTCACAGGGGCGATGCTCGTTAAATCAATGGGGTCCGGGAAGTTGGGCTTAGGTGTGGGAAGATATGTGGGCCCCTGTCAGATACCAGGTAGTGATTATGTTGTTGTTTTTCCACATCATGAATCAGCCTAGCTGGCAGTCATGAACCAAGCGCTTGGAACAAGACTCTTGTCAAGTCACCTTGGCACACTTACACCTCAACTCTGTCTTCTTCACTCCAACGTGCTTCCAGCTTCGATTCCTAAACCCTTCACTCTATCTTGGCACGCTTGTCTCGGAGAGTTGTCCACGAGCTTGATTCTCATGGCTCAGGGTTGCTCCTGGGTTTAGGGCTTAGGGTTTAGGGCTGCATTCGACATGTTTCGAGCATATCAGAGCATGCAGAAGGGAGGGCTCAGTTGTGCAGCAACTTCGGCACACCATCCCTAGACCCTAAACCCTTAACCCTAAACCCTAACCCCTAGCCCTAAGCCCTAAACCCTATAAGCCCCATAAACCCTATAAACCCTAAACTCCAAACCGAAACCCCCAAGGCACGCGCGGGGCCCGGGTCCATCGGCATGGACCAGGGCCACAGCGGCTCACAGCTTGCCACCGAAGCCGTTCTCAGCTCGGCGGCAACTTTGGCCAAGGACCCGTCAGGGCATCAATGTAAGTCAGTACACATGTGTATGTACGACATGTAATATGTAGTATAGAATATATAGAATAATGTGTATATTGTATATACATATATGCACCATATGTATATATGTATATATATATATATATATATATATGCACGTAGTACTGTGCATATACACACACACATATATATACATATATACGTACATATGCAGCTCTTCAGTCGGTCCAGGGTCCAGAAGCAAGAAAACCTTGTCGTGCATCTTTTGTTGCTGGTACCGCGGTGCGCGGGTTGGGGAATGATATCCACTTTTTTTCATGTTTTGTGCCGGAAGGATCTATTGAACAACATGGTTTGCACATGTTTGCCTGCCGAAGATAGAAGGCCAGCCGTGCTTCCCCGAACAGTAAACGATCGCCCTTGGCCTAAACCTTGCAGATCTTACATGCGTGGGTGACCTTCGATGACATATTAGCCTGCGCACCACAACAGAAGACGCACAGAGCAAAGCTCAAGCATGAAGGTCGAACCCCAAACCCGAAGCCTCATATTGCATGGGTTGAGTTCCTTTTTTTCCCACAGCTTAGCCGTTTGTGTAGCTGCAGAATCTTCTCCTGGCTTGAGATGTGAAGGATGAAGCGAGCCCTAAACCCTAAACCCTCAACCCTAAACCCTAAACCCCCCCTCCCCGACGAGGACATGAAAGCCTGTGCCATCGTTGTGTTCACCGCAACGGGAAACTCTGCTCGACTGCTGGCACAAAGGCGGCCAACGGCTTCGTGGTCCAAGAACTAAGGGTTTAGGCTTGAGGGTTTAGGGTTTAGGGGTTCATGGTTTCAGCGTTGAGGGTTATGGTCAAGCAAGGGTTTTGCGAGACTTTTGGAACCTTCACCCGTCCAAGGTATGCCACAAGAATAGCCTCGGCAGCAAACCCTGTAGCTTTGCATGTTCCCCCTTACACTAACAGGTCCTTGGGTACTGCCCCCCATGCACTCATTCACAGTCGTATAGTATTTGTAATAGCACTAGATAGTAGCCCCCAATATATCCCCTATTGTAGACTGTTAATGGGTGGGGGCAGGACCCAAAGTACCCCCTATCATAATCCCTATTAAGGACTGTTCCTATAAGGGGGAACATCCCAACCTATAGGGTTTAGGGTTTAGGGTTTCGGGTTTAGGGTTTATAACCTTGCAGAATCCCAATTTTGGCATCCGGATCGCAGCATCCTGATCCCATGCGGTGAGCTCGCTGAATGCTTATTTACTTCTAAGTGCCCTACCTCTGAGCTAATGATATTTGTTGAAGAACCTCCCAAAAACACTAAATGCATTCTTCCTTTTTAGGGTATTATGACAAGTAGTATCTTTTACTTTTACAGTAGGGGGTTCTTAAGCAAATAGTAGTAAATGGTTCGTCTTATCACACAGAGGACTCGATCAGTCAAGCTGCTTCGTCTCTGATGTCCGAACTCTCAACCCCTACTATGCGGTTCAGGGGGTTAGGGTGTAGGGTTTAGGGTGCTGCCCTTCCTCCCAGTGTCTTCGCATAGTACTGGCTAGGCCTCAGTCAACTGGCAAAAAATCGGGTTGAAGGTTGAAGGTTTAGTTTCTTAGGGTCTGAAGGCCAATCCTTAAACCTTACATCCAAGGCATTAAGGTTGAAAGTCTCCCTCTCTCTCTCTCTTCTCTCTCTCTCTCTCTCTTCTCTCTCGCTCTCTCGCTCTCTCTCTCTCTCTCTCTCTCTCCCTCCCTCCCTCTCCTTCAAGTATGTACATAGAAGCCATAAACCCTAAACCGTATTTTTGTTCGTAATGCCGAGCCGAGCCGCAGATTCGCTAAGATGCCAAGCCTGACGAATCCAGCCAGCTCTGGATCAGAAAAGACCAAACCAAAACCCTAAACCCCAAACCCTAAACCCTTATACAACCCTAAGTAAGCACATGCCAAGGTTCCCATCTTGGCAGTGTGCAAGTGCCTGGAAGTGGCCCGGCAGGCTCATCCCACAAGCCGGGGCGTCGTTCAAGGAGTTGGGGAGACTTAGGGTTTAGGGTTGAGGGTTTAGGGTTTAGGGTTTAGGGTCCAGGTACCTATATACTATATACTTGAGCCCTAAAGCTACTAGGTAGGATTTTCTGAAATTCAAGGCCCAAGTATATGCTATACAGGTATACGTGGACTTAGGGGGGTTGTTCAGGAGAAAGGAAGGGCCCCCATGACTTTACAAACTAAAGCTATGGGGCGTGTAGCTTACTTTAAGATCTGGGGAAGCCCGACCTTCAGGGACCGTGCCACGCCCCCTGGTTGTGTTACAGTTCTTCCATGGGTGGATGACGAGTGACCCACCGAGGACCTGCATTGGAGCCTTTGCTCATGCTTCAGGTCTATTTAGCTGCAAAAATTGGCTACGAGGGGTCCCAGAAGCGCAGCTGGGGTTTAGATCGAGGCTTCGGGGTTCGTCTTTGAAACGCCCAAAGCCCGGTCTGCTTGCCTTGTGTTTCGCAGCTCTATGCGTTTGGGGCCCAAGTGTTTGTTGGATCTAACCCTAAACCCTAAACCCTAAACCCTTACACTGGCAGCTGCCCCCACGCCATGGCTCCCGTTTGTGTGCACGTTGCCTTGCTGAGTGGCCGAAGCACGTCCATCACCTCCAGCACCGAGTCTAGGTAGGCCCTTGGGACATTTTACGTGTTTTCCCTTATTGTGGCTTCAGGGGATCATATCCTTGGAACATTGTAACCCTAAACCCTAAACCCTAAACCCTAAACCCTAAACCCTAAACCCTAAACCCTAAACCCTAAACCCTAAACCCTAACCCTAAACCCTTTTCGGAGGGTATTTTTTTGGCATCCTAGGAGTCCACTCTTCATGATCTCATGCTGCAGGCCCGGGATGCCTTGCAAGCTGGGGCCGGAGGCTTCGTCAATGGGGCCGGGGAGTTGCTAAGTCTTAAGTAGCTGAGTGAGGGTTTAGGGTTTAGGGTTTAGGGTTTAGGGTTTAGGGGTACAGTTTACACTTTTTGGGATACTAGAATCCCCTATAGACCTGAAAGTGTACACTGTTGCTGAGGTAGGCCCTATTTTATGTTGGCATTTTTTCCCTTATTGGGTTTTAAGAGGATCATGTTGATCATATTCAGATATATTCAGGAATATCTTTCAGAGGGTTTTACGGGCCAGCCTAGGTTGTTGAGGCTGGAGCAGACGGTTGCCCAGGCGGGCATTCGAACGGACGATGTGCTGGTCCTCCAGGTTCGGCAGACATCAATTGCAGCCTCTATATCCCCCTTGAGAATGATTTTTTATTGTTGGTTAATTGTATACAACCCAAGAGGATATTAAACATACTAATTTTATGAAGGTTCTAAGGGGAGAATAGGCCTGTCAGCTGGCATTTGCCTCTCTCCGCGGTGACGGGTCTATTGCCAGCTGGGGTGAGAAGCAGAGCCGCTGCAGGGCTATCTGGGACCAGCTACTAGGATGCCCAGTACCCTTTTTTGGGGGTGTAGGTTCCCTTATAAACCCCTTTAAGCAAAAAAGGGCACCCTTTTGAATCCTAGGATACTGGGCAACCTAGGCTCAAGAGTGCACAGCAGGTCCAGGCCACGCGTGACAGCTTTGCTGCCATCTTGGCCACGGGTTCCGTGGTGACTTGGGGTGACTCCAAGCATGGTGGTGACTGCAGTGCTGTCCAGGCACAGTTGCAGAATGTGCAGCAGATCCAAGCTACCGTCAGTGCTTTTGCTGCCATTCGGCGTGATGGGTCTGTGGTCACCTGGGGTGAGTCAGCTCAAGGAGGCGACAGCAGCGTTGTCCAGGCGCAACTGCAAAGAGCGCAGCAGATCCAAGCTGCCCGTTATGCTTTTGCCGCCATCCTGGCCGATGGATCCGTGGTCACGTGGGGTGAGGCAGCCATGGGTGGCGACAGCAGTGCTGTGCAGGCACAGCTGCAGAATGTGCAGCACATTCAGGCTGCAGAGAGGGCGTTTGCCGCCATCCGGGCCGACGGGTCCGTGGTCACCTGGGGCGATCCGCTCCGAGGCGGTGACAGCAGTGCTGTGCAGGCACAGTTGCAGAACGTGCAGCACATCCAGGCTTTAGGGTTTAGGGTTTAGGGTTTAGGGTTTAGGGTTTAGGGTTTAGGGTTTAGGGTTTAGGAGCCCAAGCGCGTTCAGAGTCAAAGCTCAAGCTCAAGCTGGAGCACATTGAACAAACACCAAGCCGAAGCAACACATGGTCACTTCTCTAAGATATGGTCCCGTTTGGGGTTACGATCATAACGCGGCCCCCCTTTGGGGTACAAAAAAGGGTCATTTTGAGAACTGACCACATGGACTAGCTCCTTCTAGTTGCTCTGGAGGGTGTTGGCCATGTGCTGGAAGGATTGTTGCGGGCGGTTCCGGCGCGCTGCACAGCATGGTCCTCAAATAAGCCCGGGGCCCTGGCGCCGTTTACCCTCACACCGACAACTTACCCCCCCCCCCCCCCCCCCCCCCAAAAAAAAACAACAAAACATTAAGGAAAATTACAACTTAAAAACTCTCTCTCTCTCTCTCTCTCTCTCTCTCTCTCTTCCCTTCCCCTCCCTCCCTCTCCCTACAGTAAGAAGCTACGGAGGGTTTGAAGGATCTGGGCTCTGATTCGGAGAAACACAAGCTTTAATGCACATTTTGTTGGGGTGTCTGCTCGCCCTGGCTGTCCCCTTCTGAGCATGAAGCAGCGCTTTCATGAGCTGATGCTCTAACTTTTATCCTTAAAGTCTTTGACACTGCGCTCTGCTGATAGTGTTGCCAGCTCCCTGCTACATGTCATTGCAGACACGCGGCATGGGTGTGCTTCAACAAATTAGGCGCCACTCCCGGCACAACCCCTCTTGCATTGTCAGGCTACAAGGAGCGCTTTTGCTGCCATACTGGCCGATGGGTCTGTGGTCACCTGGGGCGAGTCTGGTGAGGGTGGCGAAAGCAGCGCAGTCCAGGCACAGCTGCAGAATGTGGTGCAGATCCAGGCCACGCCTTTTGTTTTTGCTGCCCTCTTGTCTGATGGATCTGTGGTGACCTGGGGTAACCCACGTTTGGGAGGCGACAGCAGTGCTGTCCAGGAAAAGTTGCAGAATGTGCAGCAGATCCAGGCTACTAGCGGCGCTTTCGCTGCCATTCTGGGCGATGGATCTGTGGTGACTTGGGGTGTTCCGAGTCTTGGTGGTGACAGCAGCCTCGTCGAAGATGAGTTGCAGAATGTGATGAAAGTTCAGGCTTCGCGCGGCGCGTTTGCTGCGATCTTGGCCAGTGGATCTGTGGTGACATGGGGTGATTGGAATGACGGTGGGCACAGCACATATGTTCAGGCACAGCTGCAAACCGTGCAACTTTGTCATAGTTGGGTAACATTTTGCATGTTTAAGGGTACTTAAACCCAGTATTCCTAAATTTTTCATACTATCCCAACCATGAACCAGGCAACACATCCAGGCTACGAGCAGGGCATTTGCCGCCATCCTTGCTGATGGATCCGTAGTGACCTGGGGTGATCGGGATCTTGGAGGAAACCTCAGGAGCTCAGGATACGCCTCTACTTTGCAGATGCCTAGGGCTAACCCTAAGGGTCTATGTACCTAGATAGGGAATACTCGGGCATGAAAGGGCCTCCTATATAGAGACTTCTGGGCCCAAGTACATTGCAATATGGTACATGGACCCTTAGGGTAAGGGTTCAAGGTTCATAGGGTCTTGCGGGGGAGGGGGGAACCAAAGCCTTGAACCCTAAACCCTACACCCCACCTGCATCCGTTCTTGCGGTTGATGGAGAGTTTGCACGACATGGCAACTCGATGATCCTGAGGAAAAGACGGGCTTTCGCGCGTGGGGTTCATGATCTACGGCTTAGGGTTTAGCTCAGAAGCGCCGTGAAGTGACGAGGTTCTGGGAAGAGGCACATCACGATGAGCACCGAACAAGAGAACCGAAAAGCTTTCTGAGCTTATAGCCTGTAGCTGTCAGCATCCATCAACACTGTTCTGCTTGGTGTGGGCTTCATCGCTGGGCATTGCTTGCATGTTCATGCCTTGGTGTTTAGGCTTTTGCGAGTCGAGTTGAAAGCTACGCATGAGGAGTCGGAGTGTTGAGCGTGCATCATTGTTTATCATGTACTCCAGATGGCATGAATTAGGGCCGGCACTTCACGTAGCGCTCAGAATAAATGCCAGATTTACCCAGCGTGGGGCTTAGGGTCTCGGCTGTGCGGTTTAGGGCGAGTCCGGTGGCAAAAGTGGTTGACAGGGTCCAAGTCGGACATCAGATCCTGGGAGAAGAAAGGGGATGTGGATATCAGGGTTTAGGGCTCGGGTTCACCCTAAGCCTTGAACCTAAACCCTAAACCGGTTTGGTTTAAGGGTCCTAGTCTGGACTCCAGGCCTTTGTGAGTGCAAAGAAAGAGAGTCCTAGAGCCACATCCTCAACCCTAAGCCCTAAACCCCAAACCCTAAACCCTAAACTCTAAACCCCCCCCCCCCCCCCCCCCCCCCGAGCCCTAAATCCTCAACCCGAAGCCCTCAACGTGGGCGATAGACTTGACAGGTCTCCCTCATCCACGGCGTGTATGCAACCAGCGACAGCGAGGCTTCCAGGGCTTTGCGGCCAGGGTTTAGTTTTATGTGTTTTTGTTTTTTCGGCTTGCTGCCGCTATTGCCTCTCAAGGAACATAAGTTGGGATGTTCCCCCTTATACTACAGTAACAGTCCTTATTCGGGATGAGAGTAGGGGGGGTACTACTACAATCCCTATTAAGGACTCTTAGAATACGGGGGAACATCCCAAAACATAAGGTTGTGTAGTTGTGTAATTTTTGGACAGGGCCCGGATTCGGTTCGAGCCTGAAGCCCTGATAGCTTAGGGTTTAGGGTTTAGGGTTTAGGGGTTTAGGGGATTGGGGTTTAGGGGTTTAGAGTTTAGGGGTTTAAGGGTTTAGGGGCCTAGGGGCTTAGGGGTTAGCCATCGCAAGCTCTAAAGCCTATAAACCCTAAAGCGTACCACCCTAGGGGTCCATGTACCTCGCTGTTATAAACTTAAACTTGGGCCCAAACGCCCCTAAATCGGAGGTGCTTTAAGGCCCAAGAATTTCCTATTTAGGTGCATGAACCCTAAACCCTAAGCCCTAAACCCTAAACCGTAACCGCAAGTCGCTTGCACGAGGTGAGGCTCTTGGCGGCCAAGGCCGAGAGGGAAGATGCCTTCGACAAGGTACGCTTCTCTCAGGGCGCCGTGGAGCATTTGGCGTGCAGTTTGGTTTGGGGTTTAGGGTTTGTAGGGTTTAGAACGGGTGTTTTTATTAGGGTTTGTAGGGTTTAGGGTTTATAGGGTTTAGGCTAACTAGGCTTGATATGGTTTGGGCTTTAGGGTTTCCTAAACCTCCAACAAGTACCTGATAGTTAGTTGCAATTGTATAGAGGCAAGTCACAACACCCTAAAAAATAAAGCGCTCTGATGCCCAGGCCCAACCGGTTTGAATTTTTAGCCCAGGAACTTTGCGGAATGTCCCTTATCGAATCCAAACATCCGCCCGCCAAACCCGGTACAATTTCCCTAAACCCGCACCCTAAATTGCTGGGTTTGGAGTTTCGGGACTCGCTTTAATGTTAATGCCTTGCTTATCAGCATGTTTCCTGCAGTGTGGTCGGATGTGATCAGTGAAGCGTATCAGCCCTCGTAGCGGAACTTAAGGGGACCATGAGTCAGAAGACTTAAGTTTCAACCCTAGAGCCCTCTCAGCACGGGGAAAACAACCACAAGTTCAAAATTCGAAACCCTGATTCAAGCCCTTGAACCATGGCTTGAGCCGCCCTTAAATTCACATGATGGAGGCTCGCTCTATGGTTTCCTTGCGCAAAGCCTTCTCTAAGTTCGCCTGTAAATTCGCTCATGGCAGGTTTGTGGTGTTGGGGGGAGTATGTGGGCGCTTGGGGCAGATGCCCGGACATCTTTCCAGCGATTTCCTACAATAAAGCCGAAACCCTTAACCCCAAAGCCCTATAAACCCCTTAAACCCTATAGAACCTTCAAACCAAGGCGTCGAGATCGGCTGCCGGATTGTCCGTGAATTTGGGCTGCCCACGAGCGAGGACTGTCAGCGCTGAAGTCTTCATCCTCTTTGCTACATGACGACAAACCTGGGGATCAAACGAACCTTAAAAGTGGGCGAAAAAAACCCTGTTCAGGGTATATGGGCCTCTGGGCATGTTCGTACGGCCACTAGAGGTTTTATTTCTTGGTACATGGTTCCCTACCCAGATCTTCCACAACCCCTTAATTAAGGCAGACTACCTTAATTTATACTAAGGATCCTTATCTAAGGTCTATTCCCTAATTAAGGGATATTGTGCTCTTTGGTCCCTAGTTACCCCACTATACCCCCGCCCACACTTGCGCGAGCGTGAGGACGACTGGGTGGTGGTGGTGGCGCGCCTCCCGCTCTTCTCGCAGGTGGGCCTTGAATCGCTGCCTTTAGGCCTTGGGGTTTGGGGTTTAGGGTTTAGGGTTTAGGGTTTAGGATAAACGGCAGGAGGTAAAAGGGTTTATGGCTTGAGGGGTTAAGGAAGTGTTAATCTATTTGGGCCCCAGGGCAGCTCTGGAAATCAGGTTTTGGGACATGCCTCATGAACCCGAAGCCTAACTGTTGTGGGTTCTTGGTTCTCAAGGCAGGGCCTAGAGAAGGTTTTGGGGATATCCTCGTCAGCCTACTCGTGACATCTTCGCCCGTCAACATCACAATCCAGAAGCCCTAATATAAACCCTGATCAACACTTGTAAACCCTTATAAACCCTAAACCCAGAAAGCCTAAACCAAAGACCCCGGGCCAAAGGAAGCCATTACACATCGAAATCAGGAGGGTTTCTCCAGCTCCCGGTAAAACTTCGATGAGAAAAACAAGCTGACATAACATTTCCCACAGCCGAGTTCCCTAAACCCTAGCTGTGACTCCCACATCCTACAAAGTAGTGGGTTGGGCATAACAGCAAACTCAAAAAAACTGACACACACGCACACACACACGCACACACACACACACACACACACACACACACACACACACACACACACGCATACACATAGTAGGTGAAGGGGGTTCCAGGTAAGCCCAACAAACCCTCTATATACGCCTGGAGCTGTCAGGGCCCCCTGAACACGAGCCGCTTGATACAAGCTGGCGGGCCGCAAAAGAAGGATGGGCACCCTTGGCAGAATTGGGAGACTAATTTAATGAGGGCTACAGAGGTTTCTGGGGTTTAGGGTTCTGTTGCGTACCCTGGGAGGGAGTCACTGGTCAGAGGGATGACAGGGATGTTGCAAAGAATGTGTAGCCTTTCAGAAGCTCACGCTTTGCACGTGCGCGACACGCAAGCACGCGCGGGGTGACCTTATATCTTCGCAGTGGCGCTACATTGCTTCCACGGCACATCGCGCCTGCCCATGCCGTTTCTGAGATTCCCAGATCTTCCCGAACCCCTTCATTAAGGTCTATACGCTAATTTGTTTTAAGGATCATTTTCATGAATTAGGGTATATTCCTTAATTAAGGGGTTTTGGAAGATCTGCGTTGTTTAGAGAGTCTGGGTCTACGCATAGAAGAGATGGCATCAATGATCTCGGTATCGACCACCCACTGCATCAAGTAAGGACACAGCAAACAACATACGCTCTTTAGAGGGATCTTCGAAGTGAAGGTACGGCCCCTCAGACGGTTTTGACGCCGGCGCTGACTGAGCAGAGCTCGTGAGGCATAGGCCAGTCTCCGTCGACGTGTCTCAGTCGGCGAAGTCGCACAGTTTGCCCGACTGTTGGGTACAGCGCCCTGAGATTGGAGGGGCTTCTGAGAGGTTTTGGGGTTTAAAAGGGTTTGGGGATTGGGGTTTAAGGGTTATAAGGGTTTGGCAACAATGCTGCGTAGCGGAAATGCTCAAAGGCATTGCTGCACTAATCCGTGGCTCAAAGCAGCGCTCTCTGAGGGGCACGCCCTGCTTCCAAGTACCTGGAGCTCCATGTCGGTGTTCCGAGGCGGAAGTGAAGGTTGCAGCGGCGCACAATCCGAGACCAGTCTTAGAAGGGTAGTGGTGCAAGAAGCGATATGAGATGGCTCAGAAATCTCTAGGGGGTCCATGTACCCAACTGAGGAATACTTGGGGGCTTTTTTGCATAGGACTTTGGGCCAGAGTATGTGATAATGTGGTACATGGACCCATAAGGAAGAGTAGCTTGGATTGTGGAATCCCTGTGGTCTTAGCTGAAAGAGGCTTGCCGCTGGCTGCCAGCGAGGCAGCCGGTGAGTTCGCCATCAATAGAAGCACCCAACCCCGCATTGCAGTTTAGGGTTTTGGGATTTAGGGTTTTAGGGTTCGGGGTTTAGGGTTTAGGGTTTATTCCCGTTATCCCTAGTAAGGCATATGAACCATGGCAACTTTTGGGGTTCACTTGGTACAGGATGAAGACGTGGCGAGGTGATTTTGTTTCTCGCTCTCGGCGTGTCGATTTATCCCACGTTTGGAGAGAGGTGTAGCTGCCCGCCAGCTCCACATGACTCTTAGGAGGGGCGTATAGGGTTAGATACAGTGGGCTTGGAGGTTGGGGCTGTCTGGGGACCTGATTGAAAGACCCGGCGTAAGCCCTCAGCACATACTTGTCAGGGTACCTGTTTCAGTGCGGGGCCCTGATTTAGGGTCTCTGTAGAGTCTACACAAATTACCCCCACAGGGACAACAATGAAGAGAGCTTGCCATGTGTCCGTAGAGCCGGGTAGGCTCCGCCTTCGTCAGCATGAGGGTTTGGCCCAAGATTGGTCAGAGGCCCGCAAGGTTTCCACAGATTTCCGCGCGCGCGCGGCTTCTCATCGTAGCCGCAGAGGATCCTGGATCCTGTTACAGTTTATAAAACCCTCAGACTACCCAAGGTTATGGCGGAAAATTTGGGTTAAGGGTTTTGTACATATTTGTTTCATATGTTCATTCTATTTGCTTATAGTCCTTTGTAGGTCTTCAGGTCAGAGAATGATACTACATTTGGGTACCCCTAAACCCTATAATAACCCTAGAACCCTAGAACCCTAGAACCCTATAAACCCTAAACCCCAAACCCTAAACCCTAAACCCCAAACCCCAAACCCTAAACCCTAAACCCTAAACCCGGATCCTTTGGGAGCCAGGTGAGAGGCTGCTTTTTGTTTCCGCGATCTCGCCCTCTGAAAAAGCTGCAGACTGGTTTAGGGTTTAGGGTTTAGGGTTTAGGGTTTGGGGTTTAGGGTTTAGGGTTTAGGGTTTAGGGTTTAGGGAGAGTGCGACTGAAGGGCCTGCAGTTGCAGCCATAGCACTCACACCCAGCACATGTCCCTATATAAAATGGAGTCTTTACTTGTTATGTATGTATACATAATATACATACAGTATACATGCATACAAATTACATATGTATATGCATATGCATATGGATATATACATATTCAAATATTACCCCAAGCCCTAAACCCTTAACGCACGCAGCGAACTCTCCGTCTGTTGGAGAGGCCGAAGCAAAGCCGAAGTCGCGCACGCCGCGAATCCATGGCTTGCTGGAGAGCCGCCAGCCCCTTGTGGCTGCAGAGTTTAGGGTTTATAGGGTTTTGGTTTTAGGGTTTGGGGTTTAGGGTTGAGGGTTTAGGGTTGAGGGTTTGGGGTTCAGGGTTGAGGGTTTAGGGCTTGAAGTTGGGGCTTGGGAGGGTTCACATTTTACAGGTTTCAGGGGGTGTGCCTGCAGTTGCGGGGTCATGTATGAGTGCATGTGATGAAAGATCTGAGGCCCGCCACAGACTCTCTGCTGCAGTGGCGCGCTTTCGGATCTCGGAGGTTCTTAAGGTGCTCTCCCGCCCACTCCCCTCCCCTCTGCTAGCTTAGAATGTGTGGTATGTTACGTTCTCTGATTGTGGTGGTTCCGCTTTGTAAGATCCCGCTCATTTTTGAGCTGACTGGGAGTTCTGAAAACGAGCGTCCGGGCACCCAGGCATGACAGAATCCCCCTAAACGGACCTCCATACATGGGACCTGCAGTAGGGGGGGCTTCGGGTTTAGGGTTTAGGGTTTAGGGTTTAGGGTTTAGGGTTTAGGGTGGTTTAGGGTTCAGGGTCCAGGGACTACGCGTTGATGCTGCAAGTGCAAGGATGTCGCCAACACGATCTTCAGCGGAGTGGGCGCGCCCGTAGAGGAAGCTCCCGACCTCGCCACCTGATTCCAAGCTTGGGGACCCTAAAATTGGGGTCAATACCCCATGCTACGGCAATCCTCTTTAGGGTCTATGAACCCGAAAATTGGGGGTCATATACCCCATACTACTATAATCCTTTTTTGGGGCTACGAACACTAAAATTGGTGTCATATACCCTATGCTACTAAAATCCTTTTAGGGGTCTATGAACTTTAAAACAATGGAGGTCACGTACCCTATGCTACTATAGTCCCATATTAGGGTCTATGAACCCTAAACCCCTTTTAGGGCTCGTTTGGTCCTTGGAAGAGCCCCAGTGACCCAAGGCTCGCTTTTCTCTGCCCGTTTTGATGAAGGTTTAAGCAGAATGAACTGAGACCCAAGCAATCGGGCCCATTTTTAGTCCCTAGTGCCCTTGAAGAGACCATGTTCGAGTTGTAAGAAGAATTCATGATGCTAAATCACCTAGAGAAGGATCATAGAGACCGCCAAAAGCTCAGAACGAACAAATCACCCATCATTCCGATCGAACCCCGCATCAAGACTCCATGCGCGTGTCAGCTCCTAGAACAGATTCGGGGCTGCAGCCATTGCGGGCTTTGCGGTTCAGGGGTTGAGGCTTGAACACTATGATTCCTATGATATAGACCTTGGTGCCGAAAAGCCTAAGCCCTGTTGCAAAAAGAAACCTAAACCCTAGAAACCCCAAACCCTAGACCCTAAACCCTTTTTAAACCCTAAACCCTAAACCCTAAACCCTAAACCCTAAACCCTAAACCCTAAACCCTAAACCCTAAACCCTAAACCCAACCACCAGAGAACGCCCCGAGGTGCCAATGCTGGACGCCTTCGCGTCTTCGCGCACGCCGTCCCCAGTGAAGCGGCGAAGCGCACGCCACGACGACACCTGGGGAATTTCCGGTTTAGGGTTTAGGGTTTAGGGTTTAGGGTTTAGGGTTTCGGGTTTAGGACCGGAAACCCCTTGAGAAGGGATCGTTTGGGGTTTAGGGTTCAGGGTTTTGGGTTTAGGGGCCCCATGTATGCAAATAGTGTACCTACATTAAGTCTGTAAGTCACGCCTACTTTGGGCTTTTTGCGCCTTAGGGTTGGGGTGCGGACTTAGGGACTTTCAGGGTTTAGAGGGTTTTGGGAAAAGGGTGGAGGGTTCAGGGTGAAGGGCTGGGGTAAGGTTTTTCGTGATACAGGCTTCCGGCTTTTTCATGCAAGATGGGAGGTCTTGTAGCTTGCACACACACAGGCATGCGCTAGTTCCATACAACGTAAGTGCACAAGGTGTAGGTCCAAGGAGTCGAGTGTTCAGGGTTGTTTGGGTTTCGGGTTTAGGGTTTAGGGTTTAGGGCTTCCCGTTCCTTTGATGGTTCCTATTCTCAGGACGGTGTGCAGCTCATTCCCGACCGGCAGTTTGCCCAAAACCTCGCCATCTCCATGGCCACGCGGTGCTGTCCAGTGCAAGATCCCTAAGTGTCCATGTACCTACATAGGGTTTAGGGATAGGGACTGAGGTACATATTAGGGATGTTCCCCCCTAGGCTAAGAGTCCTTAATGGGGCTGAGCATAGAGGGTACTAGAACCCCCCGATTAAGGACTCTTAAAGAGGGAACCTCCCAAGTTTACAGTAGTGAGGTACATGAACATGTGGGGACTTTGGGGCACAACTAAATAAATAAATAGACAAATATATATATATATATATATATATCCCTAAACCCTAAACCCTAAACCGTGGTACATAGCCCTTATGGGGAGAGATGCCTCGAATCCCCAATGCCAAACACACATCGTCACCCGGTCTTTTGGGGGGGCCTACCATGCCAGGTGGTGTGCTTGAGGCTTTTGGAAAGGATTCAGGGTTTAGGGTTTAGGGCAGGTGTACTCTTCGAACTCCCGAGTTCCACAGACCCAAACAGGTTCATGTTTGCGACACTGGTTAGATGCGCAGTGTTGCAAGAGCCACTTCACCAGAGATGCCTCGGACACACCTGGATACCGGCAGCCGGCATGCTCTTTGCGCTTGTGCCTAGCCCTAAACCCAAAACCCTAAGCCCTAAACTGTGTCGCTTGCTGGCCCGAATCCACAACCACAGCTCGCATGACTATGAGAGGTTCGCGTGGACGTCAAGAAGCTGGCGAGTGCTGCTGCTGCCATGTCGCCGAACCGTGCGGAGTTCCCTGTTGCGAAAGTTGGGGGGGGGGGGGGGGGGGTTGGCCCCTTTCCTGGAGAACAAGGGTTGTATAGGAATTGCACAGCGCTGCCAAGCCGCTTATGTTTGTTTGCTTAGACTTTTTCATCTGCTGCGCTTTGGGTTTGATTCATTTGTTGACTGTTTTCCTCGCAAAAGCTAGTATATTGGCATGACTGTTGTGTTAATGCGGTGTTTTGCTTTAGGTTGTGTTTGCGCTTGTCTTGTTCTTCTTGTACCTCTTCTATTTGTAATTAGTTGTACTCCGCCCAGTACTTTTTTCCACCAGGACTGCTTTAGTTTATGGTCATGGAATTGGAAAGTAGAAATCAGTC